CAAGCACCACGATCCTTCAAGTAGGGGTAGCAAGGATGAACAGCGCAGCCCTTGCGGGCTTATAGGCTGCACCCGAAAGTTTGGAACTCAGTGTACGAGCGCGGGTGTCACCAGCCACAGGTGAGCACTTCGTGTGACTTTTTGCATATTGCTCCTGAAAATTGTCCGTCGTGCTGCTGCTTGTTGTGCTGCTGCTGCAAGGTCGCGACTGTTAGCAGCAACACATTGGTGTGTCTTCATGAGCTCTGGGAAGCCTGAGTGTGTGTAGACTCTGCGCAAAGCCGAATCAAAAAAGCTGTGAAACTGAGCACGGCTACTACTGAGGTGGGAAAACCGTGTCCTTGCGCAGAAACTCAAGACCGTTAATGTAACAGAGCCTTGCTACTCTGCACTCTTCGGGATCCACACCGTAATCAGTGCTTACCCCAAATATGCAGCCCGTCAGACCCTAGTTAGATTCCGGACTTCGCGCTCACGTTGCTGAAGTAGCCTGAAACCCGAAGGGCACATGTCGTACAAGCAAGGAAGATCTTTTCGATCCCAGAGCAAGCACCGCAAAGAGCCCTTGCCGCCTACGGCTCGTAACCGGAAACTCTCAGCAACGACCGCCCATAGTATCCGATGCCCTTATGTATTCGAGTGCCTCTATACTCAAATTTCTCAGATGACCTAACTAAGCCCTGATAACGTACCAAAAGATCTTAGAACCCCAAACCCCAAACCGCAAAACCCTATAAACCTCGAACCCTCAAGCCCAAAACACTAAACCACAAGCCCTAAACTAAACCACCAAAGCCCAAACCCCAAAAGCTTTGACCACACAACCCTTAAACCACCACCCCTAACCTCAAAACCCGAAAGCCTAAGCCTCACGGATAAGCCAGTGGCGGAGCCTTCGAAGCCGCCGGCTTAGCCGTTGATTGGGCTTTCCTTGGGCGACAGTTTGAGGTTTATGGCTTCGAAGGCTTGTGGTTTGCAGCTTAGGGTTGTGGGTTAGCGAGGGCCGTGGTGTAGGCTTGGTGCTTTCGAACATGTGCAGATGGTTATAATACGCCAGAGCGAGTCAGGGATATGTGCCCAGCTACTGAGCTGTAGGCTTTGGGGTGCGAGGATTACTGCGGTTTCAGGTTTGGGGTTGGTAAGGTTTGGGGCTGAGGGTTAGCACTTCAGGACTTGGGAAGAAGGTCTGTTGCTTCAGACATGGCGAGCCTATGTCGACAAATTAAACCCTAATTAAACACTAAGCCCTATTGATGGACGGACTTCCGATAAGAGCTGCAGGAGCTGAAGGATGCCTCTAAGGCGATACCCAGCCTTTCAGGAACCACCAAAACAGTGCCTCGGGTTAGCGGTTCCCTGTGCTAGGCGGCGTGGTAAAATTTGTGGGCCGCGGTAGCCAGACAAGGGCGCCCTAAACCTGTAAACCTCAAAGCCTGAACTCTACAGGCTCCAATATCCCCAACCCGGTAGCTCTTGCGTACCGACATTGATATTGGAGCCGAAATTAGGGACGCCGACTTCAAAGGCGTTTCTGAACGGTTCTGCCACCGTCGCGCCCTTCACTTCAAGGATGAGGGCACTGAGTAAGTATGGTTATAAGTTGAGTTAAATATAGTTGATGTATCTTCTACTTTCAACTCAGTCGAAGCACGTGCTTACCACCCCAACTTTCTGTTTCCCCCTTCCCCGATCCAATTGGAGCAGCCAAGGTGCCTCTTAGACTTCGGATTGTCTGCGAGGGCTTGCCGATCACCAGGTTCGCGCTGGTACCTGAGGCGATCAACCCCAATCCAAACTCTGAGCAAAAAACCATGCAAGTTCAGCCATGCACCCCCAGCAGAGCTCCGAACGGGTATTGGTGTGTAGGTGTTGCAGAATCGAAAATTTCGGCTTGGGGCTCTGCAAAATTAAAAGCATAGTGTTTGCTTGCCCTTGGCTGTTGTTGATCGCTTCCTCTCAACACCCCCTCACCCCCGCGAGCATGAAGGAACCATTTTCTCGAGGCACGTGGTTCGGGAATGCACCCCAGAACTGTCCCGGTGATATTGGAGTGTAACGGGCGGGGTCTGGACATCAGGCCTGCAGGCGGCCGACTTCAGGGCCAACGAGACTTCGGGATGCCTGGCACCTTCGACGTCCTTGAACCCTACACCCCAAATCGGATAGCGCTGGAACCTCCACTCCGGCTTGGCTCCCCACCATGCCATCTTCCTTGGCGACGTGGTAAGCATGGCCACGAGAGCGGTTGTGAGGCGCCTGAAAGCAACATCTCTCTCTTCGGGATGGGACACCGGGGAGACCTGAGCCCTAAGTCCTCCAGTGCTTTGCTTAGCTTTCAACTCTTTAGGGTTTGTAGGCTTAGGGTGAGCCGTTCAACGGTTCGGGAAGGCGTTTGCGGAGTTTGCTCAGAGGCAGCTTGTAGGGTCCGGTGCTTCACGTAGAGCGGAAGGCCCAGGTCCAGGGTGGTGGCTTCAGGGCTTGGTGACTTGGTGCTCATGACGTTAAGGGGATGGTCCATTGGTGCAAGTACCTAGAAACCTAGAAATCACTCACTTCCTGCGTTTACTATAACCCCAAAAACACGTGCGTTTCTGGGGGTCTGTACCCTCATTCGGTAAGCTCAACGCTGCTCACCTTGGCCTTTGGCTTTCCAGTATTCGTCGGTTGCCTTGCAGTACAGTCCAAAAACACATGTTTCAAATAGTTAACCCTAACCCCCCAGGTACCTACTATATAGGGTACTAGAGCTCCGAGGGCCCTATATAGTAGGTACCTGGAGGGTTAGGGTAAGCAACCAATAACTCAAACATGCCCAAACTCGATCCTTGCACTTGATTCTGCGGATGCAGGTGCCTGCGATAGACTTTCTGCAAAGCTTGCGCCACGCGCTCCACCTGATCTGCTGGTCAATCAATGGACAATCCCCCTGAGTCTAGCATAACAGTAAAGCCGAAACAATGAAGTCAGAAAGAAACTTCCATGCCGAACGCGGACGATACTCTCCAAGGCCATGCAAGCTGTCGACGGGCTAAACAGGCTTCGCAACACAGAGTGCAGGTTTCGGGCTTGTGTCTTCAGATTCGGCAGCCCGCGAGACACACTGAATGCCGAGCACCAGGCAAAGCAACATTCACAAGATTCATCCAGGGCATGCTGAAATAGCCCGTGGGATCATCGGGTCTTGCTTTGGTTCACTTTAGTGGGCAGGCCGTCAATGGCAAGCGGGCATCTGCATGGGCTGCAGACATGCGGTTGGCAACAGGGTAGCGCACAAGCCCTGAACCCCAAAATCTCAAACCACAACTTCTGCACCCACAACCATGACAGCCATGTTCAAGAAAATCATACGCCAAGCTCCGCCCCCCTATGGGGCCGGTGCTGGAAGCATAAAGCGCTCTGGACGCGCGGCAGCAGCTGCTTCCGGCTCCTCCGATGAAGTCGACAAGGATCGCAAACTTCCCTAACCCTCGGACTGAAGTCCCCTAAACCATGTAACCTTTTTTCTGCGGTGCTCTGTGACCTTGATCTTTGGGTCCTCATAAATCTCTCAACCGCCATGTAGCACACTTGCAGCCCTGCAGTTACGCCCAGCTGTAGCCTTGCCCTCCATGAAGCTTAAAGCAGTGATGGAACTTCGCAAGCAGTCGAGATTTGAATTGGGCTTTCTGGGAAGCTCCTATTAATTACAGGCTACTTACACATCGCACGGGACCCTTGCTGCCCTGCTTTCGACGTGTATGAATGAAGATAAAGCCTGAACCCGAAATTTTCATCATTCCGACAATGCTCTTCAGATCCTCAGCGGTTCAGGATTCAAGGGTCAAGCAACGGCGCAATCTCCGCGGCTGGCAGACTGTATCTGTGACTGAGATGTTCTGGCTACAAACCCAAACGCTTCAATGCTGTCGCTCCGTTGGGAACTGGATGCCGTTGTTGTGCAGCAGCTCCGTAGCCGTCCTGGCCTGCCAAGCTGAACCCCACACGGCAACTAGCAGCCCTGAGCCCTCTTTAGGCATCCGCGTCATGAGCTGTTATGCACGGTCCAGGTGTGCGAAACCCACAGTGCATGTAGCAGCAGAACGTCATCCAAACAAACTATACTGAGTCTTCGTGGATCGCTGTAGAATTGCGCGTTCTTCTGAAAATATCAGGACAGTTTGCAATTCGGTAAGTCTTTGAGGCATGTTTAGCGACAGGTACACCCTGCACAGCCGGTCGACAGAAAGCGTGATGGGCACACGTCCTTCCGGCTCTGACAGGCTACTATAAAATATCTCAAATCCTCGAATTCTTAATTCTGCTCAAGTTGAAGTGCTGGACGCACCAACCGCTATAAGAGGCACCTTTAAGCAAGGGCCCGGGGCCTCAGACTCGGCCGTTTTCCTGGCAGACATCTCCACGGTGAGGTCCTGCTGCACCTTCGGCTTGAGGTCTCAAGTTGGGGGTTTGTGGGTTTAGGGTTGCTCTCTGGGTTGCAGGCTTTAGAAAGGGTCTTGCGGCGGGCGTGCTACTCGGGTTTAGGCTTCTCTCCGCGTGAGTTCTTGTCAATGCTCCGTAATGAAGCCTCGGTTGTGTGGATACTGGGGACCTGCTACGTACGACGTGTTTAACTCACACTCCTGAAACCGGAGAGGCCTCCGGTTGTGGAGAGCCCTCGCAGAACCAACATTTGGGAAAGGAGATGCTCAAAAAATCAACTTGCACATGCAGCAACTCCGAATCTCCGTAGGTCGTTGCCTCTATCGGACTCTATCGCCAACCTTTCTCATTGCATGGCACTTCCCATCACGCCTGCTGCATCTGCGCCTGGCCACAACAGGCGAAGGAGGCACCAGCTTCGAGCTTCGGTTCTTGTTCTGAGTTGAACAGACCATGATGCTTTCGTCTCTGCCCTAGCCCCCATACGTCGACGATGACTCTGAACGACGCTGACCATGAGGATGGGGATGGTGAAGCGATGCTGATGCTGACGATGACTCTCAACGACGATGACGATGACCATGACGGTGACGGTGATGGCGGTGATGATGGCGCTGACTATCTGCGCTCATTTTTCAAGGTTTGAACTAGGGATATCCTGTAAATGTTAATTTCGTTAGGCCAAGGGTGCATACAGTTCAGGTCAAAACATGCAACGTGTCCTCTCAGCGACACTCCAAAACGACTTCACTCCGCACCAATAATACAGATCGAGAATTGGAAGCATCTACGTAAATTGCAACACCGCTTTCCAGATGAAGCCCTAATCCGCTATGAACGGGAGGATGGCGATCCTATTGGGAAGTTGCGTTCAAACGCTGGCATCCTGGCTGCTGATCGGGGTGCCTGTTCTCAACAAAGTAACAAGGGTTATCTGCTGTTTCCTTACTTTGAAGATCTTTCGCTCTAACGTGGAGGCCAAACATGACCCACCGCGCCCCGCAAGATGCCTTCCAGGAAGAGGAGCCTTAGAACTTACCGCCTAAACGGAAAAATCTTGAACCCTAGGCCCCTTTGCCGTGAAGCGGAAGCCCTGCTCTCCAGCCCTAAAGCCAAAAGCCCGTTGAATGCGCCTACCCCGAAGCACCTCGTGAAGAGCATAGAACCAAGACCTAAATTCAAGAACAACCTTACATCCCCAAACACTCAAGCCTTACTTAACCCTACGTAAACTGTAGCCTCTGAACCCACATGAACCCTAAACCAACCAGACCTTACCTTTGCTCAGCGGCCTCCACTGCCTGGCGCTTCTTCTCCTCGGCTACCAGCAGATCGGTGGCCATTTTCCCTGCCTGGCAACGGGGGGTTCAAGGCTTCTTCAGCTCCTAGAGGGGGGGCCTTCTCATGCCAGGATGCTAACTTGATGTTGCAGCCTGTGTGGTTTGAGGTTTGGAGTTTCGGTGTTTCTGATGGGAGGACATTGGAAGCCTCTATTGCTAGGCTTCCATAATTCAGTGATTCTAGGCTTCGTTAGGGGGCTATAGGGCCGACGCGGAGCATCGGCATTCCAGGCTTAGGCTTGCAAGGCTTTCACATGGCTCAGGGTCCACCAGAGCCCAAAAAACAAAGCACTCGGTGTTCCTGGTGATGGTCTTTCGGTCTGAGAGGGCCTCGGGCTTCTGGCTTCAGGTGCAGAGCTTCTGATGTCGGTGTTGACGGGGTTTATATAACTTAGGGCTTAGGGGGTTTGGGTTCGGGCTTCTGCTTGTGGGATTCTACGGCGTTGAGGTTTGGGCCGTCTTGCGTGGACTTCTCCGGCTTTTGGCTGCCAAGGTGCCTTGACGTCCGTGCACCAGCACACGAAGCATCGCAGCACTTGCTGCATGTCCTGTCTCTGGCTGGCATCGGCATCTACAATCTACAGTAGAATCTACGGTTGGGGAGCCTCAATCGGAAAACGGAAACCCTAAACCCCGAACTCGAATCTTAAGCTGATCGCTGCCGTTCGGAATCGGTCCATGAAGCTTCAGGTGTGAAGAAATTGCCATGTACTTGCGGATCTGTACATCGACTTCCGTTTCCCTTTCTGGCGTTCCGAGAAAACAATCCTGGACACCCATTCGGCACTGTGGGTCTAAACCAAGGATCAATGTCAGCGCTTCATGCTTCAGGGTTGTTATGGCTACAACGTATAGTGCTTTGCGCTTTGAACCCAAGGCTCTGGGCTGGGGCTTCTGGCTTTAATGGCTTTGGATTCAAGGGTCGACGGCTGAGGTTTGTGGTTTCAGGTCTTGGGGTTTATGAGGCTGTAGAGTTGAGGCTTTAGCAATCAGAAGATCGCTCTTCCTAAGAAGCCTTGGCAGCACCTATCTGTATTCTGAAAGATCCGTTGAAGAAGGCATCCAAACAGGGAGTTCTCAACTGTGGATCCCTTTTAGTTTGAGTGTCCTCATAGTGAGGATAGAACTGTTCAGGATCTAATTATGTATATTTGGGTGTCATATTTTCTCAGCAATAATGGAGCCTGATGTGGCCCTATGGGATTCAGCCTCTTTCGGTCGATAACATGGGTGCACGCGGATTGTGGGTTTTAGCAACAGAGAGCTTCCCCAGAACGACAACCGTCATCAGGGAGTCATGGAGCAATCATGCAAGAGTGACCTCAACTGTCAGTGTGAGAAGCACACAAGCACTACTCCTGATTCATTCAAGCCGTCTTAGTGGAAATACCAGCCCAAACTGCCAGCCCGACGGTAATAATTTTAAACAGGAGTCAAAAGCAGTCATGCACTGTACTACCGAACTACACCTGACCTGTAGTTTCACCCTGCATACAAACTACGTACTAACAGTTACTAACACAAAGTGCTTTCAAGACCCGCACGGGGTCCTTCATGTCATTTTCCCGGCTGTTGGACGCCCTCAAAAGATGTGGCTGCTGGGAGAAGTGCACAATCAGAGTGGTTCACTTCTGTTCCCTTTAACCCTTCGGCTGCTGTCGCTCCTTTCGATTCTGATGGTAATATGTTCTGCTGCTCCTTTTGATATTGATGGCAGCTCGGGTGCCCTCTTCACACTGCAACATGGACGGCCCACCACCTCTTCCCAAAGCTATCTCTACACCCCAAAAGGTTGATTTCTAGACCTAAGGCCCACCCAGGAGATAACATGTCCAACACGCGTCTACTGTGCAGGCAAACCCTACAACCATTATTCTGATGTAGGAGGATACGTGATTCAGCAATGCCTCATTGAGACCATTGCCGCCTTGAGTCCCATACACCAAGTTTCAAAAGAAGAAGCATTCTGTGATTCTGCCTACTGCCGAACCCCTCATCTGGCAAACCGCTTTGAAGGCTGAGGGTCGTCTCGGGCGTGAGTCTTCGGCCCTGAGCATTAATTTGGCGAAGCGTGGGTATTCCCCAAAAGGGATGCACATAACTTTGATGTGACATAGACATAAACTATTCTGTGGGCTGGCTTCTACCTGAAAGCACCCGTCTTGAACCATTTGGCAGCCTTTCTAGAAAATCACATCTGGAACAGCGGACCTGCATCTTGACACCCCGAGCGTCAGGTTTCGGGCGCCTGAGCTTGGCGACGGTGTCTTGCCTCAGCTCGTACAGCTCCTTCTTATGATCCTGGCAGGCCGGGGGGCTGATGCGTAAGCCAGGGTGGGCCATAGCGAAGCCTAGGAATAGCAGTGGTCTTACAAGTATCGGACTTCACGGCCACGGTGCGTAGCCCACGTGTGAATCCTCGGGCACCTTTGTCGACATGACCTAGATTTCCAAGACGTCACTCAACAGCCAGATCCCCGAAACCTCACAGACCATAAAACCTGCTCGCGCCCAAACACCAACATGGTGAACAAAAGGCCTTCCCATATGCAGACTTCGGAAGCATAGCAAAGTCGAGCAGTGCTAAATGAGGAGACAGATCGCCGTCCTGACGTATGTTTGTCTTCTGGCCTCGGACGCTGCCAAAGTGCGTAGGGATATTTGCCGGCAAGTATGCTGCAAGGAAAACGTCGGGGCCTGAATCTGCCTGGAGTTCAGGTTTTGTCTTTTGGAATTGGCCTGGCATGGCGTTCGGGGTTTGTGGTCAAAGGCTTTTGTGGTTAAGTGTCGAAGGCTGCTCTGAGAGGCCACCCCCGAGCTATTTGTACATGATCTCGGAAGCAAGAACGCCAAGCATGGGGTTCTCGCATGTTGCGCACAACATCAGCCCAAGCCTTGTATACAACTCCACGCGATACTCCTCCAATCAGGGTGCATAACCGGTAACTGAAGCTTCTGCCACTGGAGCTTCATGCAAAAGCCTGAAGCCACAGACTGCATCCTAGACTCTTCACCCCGGATCCCACGAACCTACACTTCCGATGCCCCGGAGAGTACCCACGCCAAGCCCTAAGACTCCAAAACATTCCAATTCCATAGACCTCTAAACCCCAACACCTCGGCCCTAAGCCCTAACACAACTTCTGAGGCTCTAGACCCGCCCTCTTTTTCTACCGGGTCGTGTAGCCTCCAGACCCTCCTTAGTCTAGAAGCAAAAGCCCCAAAGATGCCAAACCAAACAACATGTAACTAGCCATGGACTGTTCGCGGAGTGCTCTTCTCGAGCCGTCGAGCCGACTTCTGCTCCAGAGTCGCGCTCCGGATGCAGGCCGTCACGCACCGTGCTTTCTGGGGGAGTGTAATACGAGAAGAGAAGCTCCTTGCAGCGCAGAGGACGACAAAACTGAAGACCCGATAGATGTACGAGGCATAAAGGAGTGATTGACGACTTCAAAGAAAGCTGCACGCGGCACCCCATTATGCTGGTATCCGGCTTCGCGAAGCGAAGAACAAATTGAGTTGAGTAGTGTGTATACGAATGGTTTGGCTCCTTCCGGGACAAGATCGATCTTGTCATGAGGAGCGGAACAGACGTCGCTTCTTCGAAGCTTGCTGCTCACCATTGGCATGCTCAGGCATTCCCAACAGCTTCCGAACAGCCGCCGGGAGCTCGCCTTTCTTTAGCATCTCCTGCACTTTCTGATCAGTGCTGCCAAAGGAGGCACATGCTCTCGCTAGCATCTCCAACCCCTTCAGCGCTGCAGCCTCTGCGATAGCCACGAAGCTCTGAGAGTCGATCATGTCGCGCAGCGCTACGCACAGTGTCTGCACGACACCATGGACTTGCCAGCGGTGGGCCAAGTCCAGAGCCACAAGCATGGTCTTGTAGTCAGGATCCTCGCGAGTGGAGCTGGTGTACAAGATATCCAAGAAAAGCGAGACGCCCAAGGAGGTGGAATCTGCAACTTCAATGCGCTTGCTGGTGCCCTCTTTCATGGCGGATGCGAGCATCGCCTTCAAGACTGGCGAGGCCGCCATAAGGATCTGGTCGTGGGCCGACACCTCTCCGTCTGAGCTTTCGAAGATCACGTTGTGCGAGTGCGTCATGTCACGCATCGACTCCCATAATTCCAGGGTACTCTGAGGCACGATAACGTCTGCACTGCAAGGATTCTTGCCAGCGGCCGAGCTCGCAAAAAGAGCTACCAAACTTTCCAAGAATGCTTGCTCGTTTGACCAATCGGCACGGCCTTTGCGGAGCTGGAACTGACTAATCGTGGCAAAAGCAAACGAAACTGCCGAGTGCCCTTTCCAGTCCACCGAGATTTCGGTTTCTTCTTCACGTCCTGTTTTGAACAGCACGTATTTGCGATCCTTGTTCGTGATGAGGTGTCCTGGCTCTGCTCCAACTTGCAGTAGCCACTCCGCAATCTTGTGCAACTTTTCTTGCATCTGGTGATCAAGCATCCCAACGCACATGATCGACACCAGTGGTGGCACCTGTCTTGTACCGATAGGCTGGTTCCAGTCAAAACTGAGTGGCACAAACTTCTGCAGGCCTGCTAGGTTGCCCATGCGGATGTATCCAGCAACCACATCCGCATCAATCGTCGTTGCCATTGGTGGACGAAAAGACTGACTAAACCCCCTCCCTTCACCAGTGGAAAACTGACACGAAGCTGATGCAGCAGTGAAGTCCAACTGAATTCCTGCTCTCATTCCGAAAAGCTGAAGCCTAAACCGCTGGCGACGGCGAACCCCTCAATTCTTCGAACTCCAACTCTCCAACAACCTTTTACATCCACTTAAGTTTTAAAGTTTGGGCACTTTGGGCATTGAGGCATGCCGGGCCGGCAGGACTCACAAGAGCTGGCAAATATACGTGAATAGCGAGGGTCCACAACGATGGCGGCAGCAGCAGCAGCAGTCGGCGGCAACCCCGCCCGAACTTGCAGATCCAGGTCGGTTACAGGGCCACCTGCAACCAAGAGGCGGTGTTCCTTTTCCTTTCGTGTCAGGATCTCCCAAGCACGGAAGGAAAACTTGACCTGGTCGGAGGAGGTTTCGGGTAGCGTTAAACCTTTAAGTGCCTTTTAAAGAGACTGCCCGAAAAATGTACGAGTCGTCTTGGCTCTTGGATGGCTTCTTCCATGGAGTCAAATTGGGACAAGTACATGTCAAGTACACCAAGAAGGATAATGAACAGATGCGCAGAGAGGCATGCAGATGGAACAGCGGGACATGCGCAGTTTGAAGAAACACAGCAAGTCTGGACTTCTTATGATGTTGAGACGACTCCTAGGCTCATGCACAACTTGTCTGATTGGTCGCTTATGTTTCGCTCCGATTCATGCGCCCACTCTTACGGCGATTCTGTCTGACTGTCTGAGTCTGAGAATTCAAATTTTCAATCGTAGAGAACATGTTCCCAATGTGCATTAACAAAACCCTTGATTAACCCTGGGCACGAACAGTCACCCACAGCAAGAATGGCAAACTACTTGCTCCATGTTCTGTACTCAATCTCGTATAGAAAGATCAGCGAGAGCTTTTAAACTCAAGCCGCGACCTGGTCGGAGACTGCGACTCAGAAAGCCCTCTTCTTTCGCTTCTCAGCAGAAGCTCTAAGCCCGTAGACTCTCGAATAGACCCCATTCCCAAAAGCAAACAGACTTCCAGAGCTTCAAGACCAAAGCCGCGTTAGCATTCCCTACCAAAGCCGACTCGGCAGAGCTGGGCCAACAGCTGAGGAGATCTCCCCTGCAGCAACCATGATGTTCGACATCACCACCTCAAAAGGCAGGGGGCTGAAGGCTTTTTGGCATAAAGGTTCAAGGTTTCGTGATTTGGCTGTACTTAGGCTCTAAGGCATCCGTTGTGGTAGTGTCAGGTCGCTTCCTTAGTTGTCCATGGGCAATGGCTGTCAGGGGCTGAGGGGTGTTGGGTTCAAGGGTTTAGGGATTTTAACTAACGGAGCTTGCGATCTCATGGATTCCAGGGCCTTGGGTGAGGACGTCTAGCTGCACCCCCCCCCCCCCCCCCCCACCACCCATCCATGTGCCTCAGTGCCACACCTGCTATTCCTTCCGTGATTCAGTTGACTTGCGTCCTTTTGTTTCCGACACCCTCTCCACCTTGGTGGTTTCGCATCCCCCCAATAACTCTTCAGTGGAAGCCCTTGTAAGTCGACGGCAACCGACAGTTCTTCGATGGTTTCAAAAAGCCTGCCTGATGGGATGTGTTCTACAGGTCCTGGATGAGTATCCACAGAACGACTGCATTATTAAGCTTCTCACCTCGTCCTTCTTCTGTCGCTGCTGCACTTTCATCCTCTCTGCCATGACACGGGCCTGGCAATGCAACTCTGGGACATAGTTCTTTACTGGCTACCACGTCCATCGCGTGGGCTAATCATACGACCTGGAGCCCATCGAAATTTCTAGGCCCCAAAAATGATTCAAAAGGAACTGCCACTCTTATGCGGTAGAGCTCAAGTCCTATGGCTCCTGTGAGGACAAGCGGAAAGTGCTGAACCTGCCGTGCGCCCGTCCCACGAGTGGCAACTGTGTAACTTACCAAAATGTCGAGAAGCTGTGCCAGGCAGTGGGGAGCTGACAAATGCACGAGCGGCCAAGAAGGCCAGGCTAATCCGGATAAACCCTGAATCCTAAACCCTAAGACGTAAACCAAACTGAGCCTCGGTGTGGTTGTTGGCTTTCGCTTGGACTCTCCTGGCTCGAGAGCTTGGGGCATCAGGAGTTGAGAGTTGGGGTTTGAGGCACTTGGGTTGGTGCTTAAGGCCCTTAAGGCTTTAACTGTAAGAAGGCACATGGTTTAGGGCTGCAGGATCAAGTTCATGGACGAGGTTTCGGGCGTTTTCGAGGTCTAGGGCTAGGGTTCACAGGTTCTCACCTAGCGGAAGAGCACAGGTTGCCACAAGGGTGACTGTGATGACTATAAGGGTTTCAATACGACTTACTGCCACTTGTCTGCCAAAGTGGGCTGCTGAGTCGCGGGCGAGTGCACCTCTTGCAAGTGCCAAACGCGCCAGCCTGCACCAGGCCGGTTCAGACCCTAAACTTGTAGGATTTTGTGGGGCTTTGGTCTGTAGGGTTTAGGCAGGGTGTAGGTAAGGCTTCGGGTTGAAGTCTGAGAAGGTTCGGGGCGGGGATGCAGGGGCTGTTGGCCTCTGAGCGGACAGCGAGGGAGCAGACTGCAGCGGTACCGAAACGCGTCATGCTACGGGCTTTTACTTCTGACTCATGTTAGGACGCCTACGATGCCGTCTAGGACAATGGGACGATTAGGCGTGTATGGTATCTCGCGTACAGGCCTAAGTTGTGCAACCTTGAGGCTTCACTGTACAGTTTTGCCGCTTCTAGAACCCTTTCCTGCATATTTCGTCTCCTGACAGCTTTCATCAAGAAAGGCCAACTGCCGAAAGACACAGCAAGCAAAAGAGTTCTTCTGGACATGGCCGAAGGCAAGCAAACCTCAGTGGTAAAGACCAGCACCCGGCATCTGCACCCAAAACCCTAAAACAACCAAACCCGGAAACCTCACCGAATAAATGCAATGGATGCTCAGCTTCTGGCAGCCCCAAGCGCGGGTCGTGCTGAGCTCCTGCCAAGGGCAGTGTCTACGAAGCCGTGCACTGCAGAAGACTCCAGGTTGAGGGTGTAGGGCTTGGCACACCGTGAACCATATTCGAGCTTAAGAAAACTCCTAGACTGTGTTCGGGCTTCGGGTATAGGAGGTGCGAAAACCCCTGCCTCGCACCCCCAAGCCCTAGAACTCCTAAAACCCTCAGGCCGAATTACAAATTCGACCAAAGGCGCTGATGCCCCGTAGCTGAAGTGTGACCAAAGCAAGTTCTAGCATATCACTGACCTGTTCAATCAATTCACTTCCTTATCCCTCAACCCTACAACCCAAAACATGCCCCAAACCTTCAACGATCCTGATCCTGCAGAATCTCCAGACCCCCACGCCCAAGGCCCAAGGCCCCAAAGTCCCCGATCCCTCCCCCGGGCCATCAGCAGCTGGCCCGTCCTAGGAGTGGAAGAGACTGGGGTTTGGTTAGGGTTTAAGGTTTAGGCCTTCAGGGTTTGAAATTGATGTGCATTTTCGGTCGTGGGAGGCGAGAGTGTTCGCACTTTCTGGCTTCGAAGTTGCATCTTGAATCTTCCCGCTGTTCAAAGTTGTAAGCCTCAACAAGCTCTACCCTAAACCTTACCCTCACCTTCGGTTTTCGGGAGCCCCGAAAATCCGACACATGTTTCATCAGCAGGCCACAGTTCCGAAAGGGCAGCGATAAACGCCATGTCGTGGTACCCAGCAACTGCGGAAACAGTGATTAGATTCCCATTGGACTGAGTCGAGGGGGTGGGCGAGGGTTGTGTAGGAATGGTCAAGATCGACAGCGACTTCAACTACTGCAAAATGTGTATATAGGTAGTAGGTTAGTAGGCACGAGCGAGCTTTGCCAGCGTTGCAGTAAGCCCAAAGACCCCTCAAATCCTGCTCGAATTCTACATCGGAGCAAAATTCTTATGGAGGTTCCATAAACATAACCAGGGTCCGAATATTGATGAGTCTTTCCATTCATCCTGGCCAGGACGAAAGCAGAAATCTTTGCTGCAAGGCGGCCACTCTCCCATGTGGCGACAGGTGTCGGTAAGGTCCTTCGGGTCCGAAAGCATAGTGCTACAGCCAAGGGTCCGAGAAAAAGTTCCATATCTGAAACCCCTAAACTCAAACCCCCAAACCCTGAAACCATGCACCGTCAGAGTCGAATAAACACATTCTGACAGCTTCGTTGCGTTAATGGCCTTCGGGCTTAGACGTTTCGGATTTCGGAGGTAACGGCGAGGGCCTGTAACCTAGGGCGACATAGGGGCTTCACTCAGTCGAAAAGTATAGGTTCCGGTGCAAGTCAAACCTTGAGCACCTTGAACTTGTCAGCGGATCGGGGAGGAATAGTGATTCTGATTTATTGTTGCTGAAGCATCTGTGCAACACGTCCCGATCTACCAGAGACTCAAAGTGTCGCTGAACATCCAAACTCGCGGTTCGCAGTGAACCCTCGAAAATAAGGTACCCTTTTTTCGCTACTACTATTCAACCCTTATTCTGGAGACACTCATGCAACATTAAACACGGGCAAGAGTACTTGCTGCTGTTCTGAAGCCATTCCTCGGAAAAAAACTCCGCAAGACCCTCCTTCTCATCTTGCCCTGCCTCTTCCTTCATGTTCCCCCGTTTAGGGCTTCGGGATCTTAAAGCCTAAATCGTAACAGTGAGTTAGGGCAGCTCTGAATCGAAAGGCCTCCTATGAACCCTGTGTCAAACCCTAAACGGCCCTGCATGACAGTATCCAAGATCATGATGAAAAGCCGTCAGCCGTCATAAACAGAACAAGTAGAGGTCGTACTCCTCGCTACAATATTCAACTAGATCACTACTCGCACGTCAAATAACAAGAATCTTAAACATTATACCCTGAGAGTTACAACATGACCAAGAACAATCATGAACAATACGGAGAATAAGCGGTCCTACAACAATCCTTTTAAACTTCCGAAATTCTACACTTTCAGGTCCTTGCCCTTCTTCGTATCGATTCTGAGATGCCAGGTCTTGTCCTTCAGCTCTTGGAGGGAACGCTCCAACTGGCAGCTCAGGGCATGGTGTCTGCGAGGCTCATGGCTTTTGTAAGGTTTTAGTGTTTGGGGTTCAGGTACAGGGCCATGGGGCCTAGGGTTAAGTTCCGAACTCCTTCCTCCACCCCTGAATCCTTAAACCCCGAGCTCTACAAGACTTCCCTAAAAAGCCTTGAAACGAACCTGATAAAGCCCCCCCACCCCCCGCCCCCCAACACATACGTTCAAGCCCTGCTTTTAGGGAGTCGGGCCTTCCAGGCTGCTCTGTGGGCTCTATCCCAAAGGCTCCTAGGTACCTATATATATATATATATGTATATAGTATAGGATGTAGGGTGATCATTACATTAGGAATTATACTGTAGGAATCTCGGAAGCATCCTCATAACAGTACCTATAGGACCCTTTGGGCTATCAGCAAAAGCTGTCAGCTTTACGAAGCCTCGAAGCGCCAAGATCCCGTCACAGGCCCTTAAGGTCGCCAAGCCCTAAAATCGCCAAAGGAACCCTCAGCTTCAATCCGAAACCCTTAAGATTCCGTATATACTCGAACCCGATTTCAACCTTATAAACCCCAAGAAGCAGAGCAACATCGGAACCCAAGGCCTCAAGCTTCACTTCCCGCTGCTCATTCCAGCGCCGCATGGCCATTTGATCGGAAGCCACCTGCCGATAGACCAACCGGAGGAGCTTCGCAGGAAGCTCAGGACTGTTTGCCCAAACGGAGAGACATGCCGCACCCCATGGGGAAGGGATTGTTATATGAAGTAGTGTATTTCACTTGTATCCCCAGAAAGAAGCTCGACTTCACTCGCACCAAGCTTCTTGAGGAGTCCTCGGGACACTCACCAAGCCCACAGTGAACTTCATAAGATTAACGATGCATTCGGGGATATAGGGCCTGTTGGGTTGTCTGGGTCTCGGGCTCGCGAAAGAGTCTAGGCCCTGTTTAGGCTTCAGAATAATTGGAAGGCAGAGCTGCACGAGATTTTTGGGTTTAGGTTGCGGCGTTTGCGGATTATGAACAAGCGGGGTGCCACATGCATAGACGAGAGGAGAACCAGGCCGAGAAGCCCAGACTGCCCTTGCCGAAACACGAGGAGCTTGCTCGTCCACAGTCCGAGCCCCTTTCCCTTTGGGGTCTGCGTAAGTCGGGGTTCCTAGAGCGCATTTCCCAAAGCTGAACTTGCGAGGTTGCGGCTCCGATCACAGTGCTTGTTGTTGTACCGGGACTATAAGGGATATCCTAAACTGATATTCAGACCTGTGTCTTACAGTCTGTTGTGGGATTCCGGCTCGAGGGCCTCCGACCAGATGACCAGCACCAGGGAAAGGATGAGCTGGTTCTCTCTCTGCCCTGGCTCATCTTGCGGCTCTAAGCATGCCTTAATAATCCTTAATATGTTGATCATGTCTTTTGTTGAGGGGGAGGGGTCTCCGGGGATACTGTTACCAATTGTCGGGGCCTCTGTAACAGTAGTAGCAAGCTTGCCTGAGCTCTGGAGTTCGGGACCTGTCTGATTGTTGCGTTGACTTCGAGACCGGCGCTGTGATGAGGATGGAGGGGTGTTGGCCTTGGGGCCTTAGTTAGTAAAGCAGCTCCTACTTATGGCCTTTATTAGGGGGTTCCTTCGGATCTACATCATGAGATCTGGAGTTGAGGTTCCTGACCAGGCCTGCGGTTAAGGGCCGGCTCTACAAGCTTGGGGTGCAAGGTGCCCTGAAGACCCTGGCGGACCCATGCACGGATGCAAGGTGTGCGTTCGTCGAAAGCGGGTTCTTAGAGTGCGCCCGTAGCCAAAGTTTACATCTAGGCGCATTTGCATTTTGAACTTCCCGCGGCAGTCGCCATAATGATGTTGTTTAGCACCATCATCCATTGTGTCAATAGGGGGTTTTAAGGGGTTTCAGGGGTTTAGGCTTCATTGGTTCCGGGGTGGAGTGCACATCTTGTTCAGCTCCCGCGCCTCGCCCCCACAATTCTCTCTTGGCTTCGCAGGCTCTTCAAGGCTGACTTCTCACGCCTCATCTGCAGAATTATACAACCTGAAGCCGAAAACGCCCCAACTCCTAAAGCCGAGAGAACACCCTATCAAAGCAGACCTTGACTCGAAGCTTTCTGGGCCTCGGAAGAAGGCGAGGACCTCTCCGGCATCGGCCTTGTCAGCTTCAGGTAGCACTGAATGGTTGAAGGAGGTTTCAACGGATTTCTATAGAGCGGGGTTCTGGTGTGGAATTCAGGACCTGCTTCAAGGATACAAGCAGTCAGGGTATAAGTGGAGTATGCTCGGACCAAAGATGACCAAGTCTATGCGGGGTCGCACAACGAATCGTTGGCTATCCATGAGGTGAAGTACGAGGTGGAGCTGTGCGACTTGTAAGCCGAATTCATAGCCCACTGACGTCCTGCTTAAATCATACAAGTCTGAAAAGTTGGTGCTTTAGCAGACTTTATAACAACACCCAGAAGCCAAGCAGCCACAGACTTCCGACGCAGCTTGTAGAGATCAGCGATTTGGCGCTCACGCTTTTTATCCAGCCTGGCATCAGGATAACATGTTTGAGGCTTAGGCCCGTGCTTGACGCTTTCACTTTCTGACAGGGAGCTGCGGTGCTGCATTCATTGATTTTCTGGGTTTAAATCTACAGGGTTTCCAAGTTTTAAGTCAGGATTAAAGCTTTCCCCCACATCCCAGGAGCCTGAAGCCCTGAACCCTGAGCCCCGTATAGCATCACAGAGCCCTGTTACAACGATGATGACATACTGAATTGCATTATAGAGCCGTTATACGACCTTCACTTGCAAGTGCCAACATGTCGGGCGATCTTCTCGATCGTCTTTTGGAGATGCGCTTCGGAATGGTTCATCTTGGCAGGAACATCACAGTCCGCAGAACCGCATTCACAAAAAGTGACACATGAACAACTGCGCATGTCACTATACAGACAAGACTAGATGAGCTGTTCTTGTCTAAGTGAAGAAACCTCAAATTCGGGCATAGGGTATCAGGTTCAAGTCTAGGGCCAGAGATTCGAGCTTGTACAGTATCGCCAAAGTCTCACAGCCTTTGCCTCACGGCCCCCATGCTCACATGCTCAGAGCGGGACGTAGGGTACGAAGATGAAGGCGGGGAAGTAGCGCATCAACACCATCTGACCTGGGCAGCGAAGGGCCAAATACATGACCACCAGAGAACCAAGGAGATCGCAGCCTGCTGTGGAACATGCGCGGTTTTGGGACTGTGCTTCAGAACAGTGAGGCTAGCCCAAACAAGAAGAAAAAGCTTCTGCAATCAAACCCATCCGGTGAAAACTTGACGCAATGTAAGTCTCTCTACTAGTGAATCTGTGCTTCTTTGCTTTGGCCTGCCCATGATGGCTCACACTATATCCAACTGACTTGTTGCCACTCTCCTTCCTGCAACGAAGAGCGTTTGTGACAAAGGCTAGACAGACGGAGAAACACGGTAGGACCTGGCTCTTGTGCAGAGAACCCGAAAAATTAGAGGTCAACCTGAGAAATTGCGTGTCAAACTACCACAAATAAAGTCAGTAGCTTCTGGTCTTGAACTGGCCGACTGCTAACACCGACTGCGACCACAATGATCTCGTTTGCAAGGGAGCCATGCCCTCGGAAGGCTGAAAAGGTTTCATGTACTTTGCTTCTTCCCGTGTCGCCGCAATCATCGCACGCCAATAAAATCATGGTAAGTAACAAAAATACACGAGCAACAATACCAACAAGCCAAACCTTAATGTGCAATGCATACACAATGTAGACAAGACACAGCCAGCACCACCTCCACTACATGTTGTAAAAGAGCTTGAACCTTGAACCGCAAAGCTCAAGCCTGCACTATCCGGCGTCGACGTGGAACTCTCAGCCCCCTGTACAGCGCCGGAAAAGACCTGGACCTGATCAACAACCCGACACGCGGCGACAATATCAGCCCCTGAGAGCTCAAACTCTATACCCGCAGGCCAAACCTTGAACCCGAAACCCTTAAACCCGAAACCCTTCAACCCAAAACCCCCAACCCATACAGCATAAACCCTTAAGTCCAGTCCGGGAGACGCTTGAGACGAAGCCAATAGGGAACCAAGGCATCCTGGAGAGCTTCCACTCAGCATGCCATACAGGGCTTGACAATACGTAAGACGTAAGACCATCTCCTGTTGAATCGCAACATACTTCAGACTGAAACACACATGTATATATATATATAGAGAGAGAGAGAGCAATAGAAAATCGGACTGAATCTGGAGGGGTGCAATTCTTTGTGCAGAATTGCGGATCTGACGCTTGACGCTTTACATTATAGGAGCCGCGGTCTTGCGGGGTAAGGCAGTCCTGGTGCTTCTCCATTTTGTTCTCGACTTCGACCATGGCCAGATCATGCGCCTCCTTGTCGCCCTCACATTCGACACCATGGGCGAGAAGACAATGAGCAAGGAATTCCGCTTTTGGGCTTTGGATTTGTAGGGTTAGGGCTTCCTGGTCCAGGATTTAGGGTTTAGGGCTTCTGGGACTTGGGGGTATGGGCCTTTGGTTGAAGAAGCTTGGAGTTTAGGACACGTAGACAAAGTTGAGTACTCCGAAAGATAGAAGTCGGAACACTAAGCAATGTTAGGTCACAGTCATGGCGCAGCAGGAAATTCAGAGTCTCGTACTCCTGTGAGAGCCCTTGTAGCATGGATATCAACCAAAAGCAAACCACGATATTGTCATGCAAGACAGTCGCACCCGCTCTACAACCATAACATCACGTAAGAACATATATGCAAGAGAACCCATTATCACACATACATACATACATACATACATACATACATACATACATACATACATACATGCAATATATATATATATATATATGTGTGTGTGTCTATGTGTGTATGTATATATATATATATATGTATATATATATATACATATATATATATATATATATATTTGTTTGTTTGTTTATACACATGTATATCGCACGGTGCAGCTGCGGACATCTGGAATTTCCAGATGCGGACATCTGGAATTTCCCTAGGCCGGAAGAATGCAGCTGCCTCCATCTTCCGGACAATCTTAGCGTACTTCACCTGCGGTGGGCCAGGGCAAGGTCTTTACAGGCTCACGCCCAAAACAACTACACACGCACACCAACCAATACGACTGCGAAAGGCCCCTGCAAAGCAAGAACTCGATTCTGCGATGAAGTGCTGCGAGCCTCGCCGGACCAAGCAGCCAGCCACTTAGCTTGGTTCTGGAGCTCGAGGTGCAGCAGCCACTTCACCAGGACCTATCCAAAGCAACAGGTTCTGCGAGTTACAATTTCCCCTAAACCCCAACATCATCCATTTAGGATCGAGGAGTCGGCGGGTCTTCTGGTCGCGAAGGGCTGCTCTAGGACTTTAGGGTTTAAAGGGGCGAAGCCGCTGCAGTTCAGTTAATCTTCGGGGTGGAAAGCCTCTAGAAGTTTCGGGGCCCGAGCCACTGCAAGACGGTGCTGAACAATTATACTTTGCAAGTCTTATGACGGAAAGATGCTTCGGCGATTGAGACCCTTCCTTTGAGCCTTTGGTGTTCCCACAGGGGTCACCTTGCACGCCTGATGCGCTGCACACCCACACGCACACACCATCTCTCTCCCTGACCCCTGTCCTCCAACTGTCCCTCCAAATTTTTGCTGATCGACCTTGCTGCTGTCTTATGAAGCACAATAAAGAAAATCTACCAATCGGAACCGTGGCCGCCTGTGCACGCTTTGAGCCGGCGACGCGCTCGTTGTGGACGGAGGTCTTTACCCTGTGGAATTTCGATTTCCGCGTTTTTCTGAAGGATCATGTGGTCTGGCAGTTCGGGATACTTACGACTCATGTAATCCCAAGTTGCCCTACATCTATTCTCGGAAATAAAATAGCCAAGTACCAAGTCCCCGAAGCTGGACGAAGGGAAAGTGGGTTCGGTCTGCGGCTACTCAGCAATCCTATTCCCAGGCACTCACTCAGCACGTCTACCACAATATGCTCCTCAGCTCAAAACCCCAGTCTATGATGTGTCTGCATTCGAGAATGTACCCAGGAAACAGCCGGGATGAAAGGTGATCTACTTTGAACGCTAGGCCCAAGAGATAAGGGTCAGGGCTTGGAGTCCTATCTCAAGGATGATTCAAACTCGCAGGTTGGAGTATACATGCATGCCGAAGTAAGGGCTATGTTCAAGCACACGAAGACCGTAGCTAGCCTGCTTGTAACCCTACCTGCTTAAATCCCTCTCATGCTTCAAACATGAACCCTCTCCAACCCCTAGATACCCTAAAGACATCATGCGTTGTAGCAAAGCTTTGCTCAATCTTGGGATCAAGTCGTTCTTTGGCTGTAGCCGAGTGACTGAGGCTTTCAGAAATTTGTGCAAGAAATGGACAAAGTCTTTGCAAGTGGTTTACGGAATTTGAAGAGGGATTCCAGAGAGCTTCATGTGATGCCTAAGAACGGTTAGCTACATTCCACTCGTGTATTTTTCCATCGAAACTCTCATTCTCAAACTCGCCAGCTCCCCACCGCAAGATCCAACACCCTAAACCCCGAATGTCCCAAGCCCCTCATAGAACCGCTGTGATCCCTCTACATAAAGGCTCTGAAAATACAGATAAAGACGCCATGACAACGGGCCTTTCGACGTTCTCTTCGTCCTTCTGTTCGAGCGACCGTTGGTTTGCCTCTCGTTCGACGACCTGCTGTGGATCGAGCATGGCTCAGGGTGGGTTTGGGTTTATTGCTTGGGGTTGCTTTTTTGGGGTTAAGGGCGATGAGGGTACGACAAGGTAGTGCGCGCGTGTTGCACTTTACCTATGCAGCGTGTTGCAGTGTTCTCAAACCAATCTGGAACAGTCTACATTATAGGTATTTGGCGAGGCTGGGTGTTATTATGCAGAGAAGCAACCAAAAAAGAGACCAGCTCAATCGCATGAACCTCATCGAACCCATAACCCTAGTCCATGACCCGACTATGTCGGTACCAAGGAGTAAACGCCAAGGCCAGCCTGCTTCCACTGGACCATCACCTGCACACAGAGTGCAGGACTTCGAGTTTGGAGCTTGAGGCTGGAAGCACGGAGGTTCCAGCGAGACCTTCGGAGCTGAACAGTCGGCTTTGGCATATGGTATACAGCTACTAAATGCTGGGACTGTACACTGACGTTGTTGCCTTTTGCTCAGACTCAGACCCCGATGTTGTTGGGGTTTCGGCATACGCGGCATGAAACGATACTGGAATGCTGGACGTCCGCAGGCCCTCTTCCAACTTCCGGGAACTCTTGTTTCACGTCAAGTTCGGGTAAAACCTGCTACGAACAAAGCCTCCTCACCGATCCCACGCAGCTTTGCGCAAGACTTAAAAACAAATCCAACCACGAAGCGGGCACAGACCCAGACAGAGACATCATCATCATCAGCAGCATCAGCATCATACTGTACTCGTCACACTCACCATCACCATCATCCTCGTCCTCATCCTCATCATCCTCATCCTCATAAACAACAAGGTTCTTCTTGGAACAAACAGAACCAGTGCGATGGATGGCAACCCTTCACACTGAGGGAGAGAGGTAGCAACCTTGAACCCCAAACCTTGCGCTTGAAGAAGACAAGTTCCAGACTGTAACCGGAACCACAATGACAAAAACAAGCTCTGCCCGAATCCAGAACCTAAACCTTCGAAACCACAACTGCGTGAACCCGTCCGTGACAAAACAAAGGGCCTTTGTCAGGAGCGAGAGATCCCGTTGGTGTGCCAGCATCTGCGTCACGAGAAGGCTCACCTCTGGGTTGTTCAGATTTCGTTCATATTGTGCTTTCGAACTCTTTTCAGCCTGTCTCAGTCGGCCTATGTTCATGTTGTGTTTCTGATATCTCGTTTCGGTTTGCTGCGAACACGGTTCGATTTGGCGCTTGGAGACTTTTGGGGCTGAGTTTGTGCCATTTGGGAGCAACGCCTACAAGTAGTATAGATTCTGGGGATTGCTGCTCTTTGCGACATCATTCCTAAGACGATGCTGCTGTCCTGAATGACATACAGTAGTGGGCTATCAGCAGATCTGACCAGCCTCTTTGCTGTGGCTGGCGATCTCCTGCCCTTGGCGCCTGGTATGTGTAGGACGATGGGGTTTTGGGGCTCTAGGGGTTTATTTAGGGCTTCGGGCTTTGGGCTTGTAGGGATTTGGGGTAATCGCAGAAATGCGAGCGACGAACCATCGCAAAATCTCATGATGATCGCAACAATGACTCCTGTCTGGGCCCGAAGCCCCTTGCATTTCCAGCTTTTCCAATACGACTTTATAGTAAAGAGCCATCGAGTTCCTCGTAACCTAGCTACTCCGGCCTTAACGGCCTTAGTCACTACACATCAAACGTGATGAACAAAAAGAAGGCTTCTTGACGAGGAGCTCTCGGATCGCTCTGGAAGGGTCTGGACTCTATAGGGATCAGGGCCGCTAGCTCGACTGATAGAACTTTTTTTCGGGATGGCCTGGGGATGGCCCTGGAATCCAAGATCTTGAGGAGGCTACGCAAGCGCGGGAGCTCCAGTAGCTCGAAGATCTCTGGTTCGTTTGAAGGATCGAGGGAAACTCGTAGGTAGGCTTCCAGTAGGCCAACCCCGAAGAGGGTTCTTGCAAGAACGCCTGCAGCCTACCATCTCAGCTCGGCCCCTGATCCAAGGAGGTTGAAGCTTTGCGTATTTGGAGAAGTGGATAGCCGGAAGAGGTTGTTGATGCACGTTGGGGACTGTCAGGGGATTTAATTACTATTTGCTGGGACGTCTCAGTCCTAAATCAAGTAGAATACCACAAACCAGACTAGCTCGCCAGGTCCAGCAAAGTTTAGGGTGTCTGGACATCTGTGGTTTGGCATGTGTCGTTCCGGGCCTCGGTGCAGGGTTTCCTACTGCAAACATGCTAGGCACCCCTGGGGGATGAAACTGCACACGAACCCTTCAGGCCCTATCTTGTGTTCGCAACCGTTCGACAGGACCAAGCACCTCAAACCGGACCCTAACTTGGAAAAGGCCCTGACCTTGAGCCCTAAACCTTGGATCTTAAGCCTAGACCGTTCGACAGTAGACGCATGACAAGCCGATCTATCTGTCTTTCACCACTGGCTTGGTCATTTCCCACTCACGCCTGAGGTGCTGCAAGTGGGCCTTCTTGCTCCACATGGAGGCCTTCCAGAAAGAGGGTTTAGGGGTTTAGGGTTTAGGTTCATAGCTCACCATCCTTCTTTGCAACCTACTCCGTATTTATCCCAATGCATACAACCTTTCAATCTGGAGTTTAGGTTCTAAGCCTTGAGACCTGAGATGCAGTCCTAGAGCCTAAACTGAAACGGTGACCCCCAGACCCTACATTGTGCATTAGTGCAGCCGAAACCCGCGACCCCGAGACCCAGAACCGCAACCTGAACCCCTTACCCCGGAGCACCAAACCTGAACCCTTGGTGGGCGGTCCAGGCCTCCCGCCAGTAGTGGAAGATCGCTAGCCTGATGATGACTCTCTCGCGAACCTCGAGAGTCGAGACTGTGGGTTTAGGGTTTGGAGCTTAAGCATCGGATGTACGGTCCTAGAAAGTGGGGAACGGGGTTTTGGGGTTGAAGGGTCTGTGAAGGAAGGATTCTTCCGCCTAGAGCCCCTTTCGGCTGTAAGGACGAGTCTTAGTAAGGATTGGGCGTTATATCCTCAACCCAAGCCCGACACTCTCAGCCCAAATTCAGCCATGAAACTAGTGGACGGCTTGCCCTCGTTCTTGTAGTGTGATTGAATCTGGGCCCTCTCTTAAGGTCTCTTTCCATTCGTACCTACCGATAAACGACTGCATACAGTTTCTCCTCTGTCTGTGACGAGGATTGCATTTCTAGTCAGTCTTTTCGTAGTCCCGCGAAACGGAACTTGTGGGAAGGCTGTAGCATATGTGATAAGGACACACGCAGAGACCAAGAGACAAAAGGTGCCACATGGCATACCGTCTGCGACGCCAAGCCAAGCTGGCATTAAAGCTTTGCATGGTTTCGCTGTCATTTAAACCTTTGGCCCGAATCTGGGCTTCAAGTTTAGCATGATGTGGATCTCAACAAATTCTTGGTCCAAATCTGGGTTTCAAGTTTAGCATGATTTGGATCTGAACAAGCTTTTGGTGCGAATCTGGGCGTCAAGTTTAGCATGATTTTGGTCTCAGCAAACTGAAACCTTTGGCCTGAATCTGGGTCTCAAGTTTGGCATGAGTTTGCTCTCGACAAAACGTTGGCCCGAATCGGGGCCTCAAGTTCAGCATGATTTGGCTTTCAACATCGGCCCGAATCATTCTGGGCTTCAAGTTGGCATGGTGTGACTCTTAACAAACCTTCGGCCCGAATCTGGGTTTCGAGTCTAGCATGATTTGGCTTTCAACAAATCGTTTGCGAGAAACGCAGCGTCAACTTTGGAATGATTTAATTGGATCTCAACAAACCTTTGGCCCGAATCTGGGTTCCAAGTTTAGCCTGATTGGGCCTTCAACACACCATTGGCCTGAGTCTGAGTTTCAAGTTTAGCTTTGGCCCGAATCTGGGTTAAAGTTTAACACGTTTTAACTCTCGAGAAACCTTTGGCCTGAATTTGGCCTTCAAGTTAAGTGTAGCACGTTTTGACTATCAAGAAACCTTTGGCCCAATCTGGGTTTCAAGTTTTGCATGATTTGGCTCTCGACAAACATTTAGCCCGAATCTGAGTTTCAAGTTTAGCATGGTTTGGCACCTAAGAACTTGAAGCCTTTGGCCCCTATCTGGGTGTTTAGGTTTACTGTGATCTGGATCTCAACAAACCTTTGGCCCGAACCTGGGTTCCAAGCTTAGGACGTTTTGGCTCTCAACAAACCTTTGGCCCAAATCTGGGCTTGAAGCTTAGCAGGTTTTGACTCTCAAGACACCTGTGGCCCGAGCCTGGGCTTCAAGTTCAACATGACTTGGCTCTCAACAAACCTTTGGCCCGAATCTGGCATTCAAGTTTGGAATGGTCTGGCTGGCTCTCTACATTTGTTGGTCCTTATCTGGCACGATCAACAACCCATTGTCCCAAATCAGAGTCTCAAACTTGGCATGTATCCTCTATGCTCATCAAGCTCAGCATCTATAGCAGCAAAAGCCCTCTGAAGATGCTGTCAAGACATCTGCAAAGCCCCATCATACAGGCCAGGGTTTTGGGGCTTTGGGGGTGGGGATTGTAGGGCTTTGTTGCAAAAACTTCTTCTTGCGTAAAGGGCCCATGATAGCAGTTGTATATAAATCAAGCCACAACTCCGTGAATCCCACTAAAAACCTTGAACCTCGCAACCGCGAAGCTCTAAACCCCCATCCTGGAACCCCTCAGCCCCTCAAGACCTCAACCCCGAACACCCTCAAACCCTCAACAAAAACCTTGGACCTGCGTTTCTAGCACACTCCCTACCCTTGGGGATGGGCCAAGTAAGAAAACGTCGCCAGCTGCCAGCAGGCCACCTGGCAGCGAGCCCGAGCCGGTAGGAGCTTCGTGTAGCATCCCTTGGTGGATTCTTGAAGAGGCTCTAGAAAGGGATGCGAATCATTACAAGGGTTCCAGTGAAGGTGCCAAGAAGAAGCTCTAGAAGTCCTACAGCTGTGAACGACATTAGCCCACCTGGACCCACTTGCAGCCCAAATCCGAAACCCTCAAACTCAAGCCGAAGCCCCAAACCCCAACAGCCAGGAGCTCCAGGAAGCGCTCTTGGGGCGCTCAGGGCTGCAGGATTCCGGATACAGACTACTTCATCTCTGCAAGGGGCTGTGGTATCGCCTGGGAATGCCAGGCCCTCAAGATATCTCTGTAGAAAACCTTATACAAACCCCAAACTTTATAACATCCATGACGGACCCAAAAAACACCCCCGAACTCGAAACCACATAAGCCTTGTAGAACCCATAAAGGACCCCTCGGGCTGCCTCTTTTTTCGTCTCCTTGCTTTGCAGCAAGTTCTGGTGGTGATCTCGCTGGTCTTGGGCCTCGCAAAACAGTCTTTAGGGGTCTAGAGCTTAAGCGTTTAGGGTTTAGGGTTTGGGGTGCAGGGTTTGAACGTTTGGTGTTTCGGGGTTTCGGGGTATAGGGGTTTACAAGAGGTGTGGCCTGTGGTGCTTATCGGAGTGTACGTTTCTGCCTCAGGAGGTTGCAGGAATTTAAGGAACAAGGGCTGCAGTTTCGGGAAGTCGGGGACGGCGCCCTTAGGAGCACCGGCGACGCATCCTTGCTGCGTACGTTTCGGATGAGAGCAACCGTCTTCTCAACGACAGCAGCTGAACGGCTGTTGAAATTAGATTTTGGAGGCTTCCGCAACTATGGGAATGCTCCTTCACTGGTAACAATCCTAAATGCAGAAGGACCGTGACTATGACGACGCCACAGGAAAGCCCTGTTCGGAAACTCCAGTGTGGGCACGGCTGCGTGAGATGGTCCCAGAGTCCAAGCCCTAAATCCCCAGCCCGATACCCCGAAACCCCACATCCTGAACTCGCTCAGACCGAAGCGTTATAACTCTAAGGACTCACAGGCTTCTCTTTTTGTTGCTTGGTGCGGCTTCGTCCTTCACGATGGTGTTGAGTCTATGGTTTAGGGTCCAAAGTGCGTCAGTTTAAGGCATCGGGTCTTGAAAATCTCTCGTGACTTGGATAGTTCTTGAAATATTTTTGTAAAGGTTTTGATGCAAATACCCCTTCTTGTACCCAGAATTCAGAATCTAGGTCGAACTAGCTTAGGTCGCAGAACTTTGGTTTGCGTGGCAGTTCTGTTGGGCTCGAAGCCGTTGAACAATGTCCATAAAGGGGCTTCAGAAAATGATGGGTACTTGGCCAAGGGTCCTTACATGATGATCCTGCGAATGAGGGTCTATACTAAAGTCCACTATTTCCATATTACCTCAATGAGCTTGGGCCTCCGAAACAGCTAAAATTCCACCTACAGCTGGTATATCACATGTAAGAGGACCCCCTTCAATGTATGCTCTAAGCCACGGGATCCTTATTCCTACAATCATCCCCCCCCAAAAGAAAACGCTTGAGCCTTGTGTCGAAATAATGGGAAGCAGAAAACTGCTGCGGTTGGTCTACATTTTCCTGCCTCCTGCTGCATTCTTGCGGCGTGTTGCTGATACTTCTCTCTCTCCTGCTTGAGTCACATGTTCAGCATCCCAACGGACGTGAATGCTTCGTTTCAGTGCTGCCGGAATCCGGACAGTGGTTCGGCTCATGTCGCAGCTTGGTAGCAGTCGTCGTAGTGGCGGACGTAGATGCAACACTAATGGAATGGTGGTAATACAGCAGTAGTAGAAACAGCATCAGCGGCAACAGTCGTAGTATGTAGTAGGTACAGTAGTATGTAACATGCGGGATACACAAGCGAGGACTTAGCCAGGATGTCATGCGTAGCACGTCCTGCACGATGTGTCGTATTTAATACGCGACACCTGGTAAGCATGCTGTGATTACGCATGAAAATCAACTGTTCCTACGAGAGCATACGAAGGGCGTGCAAGCAGACCCCGCTGCTAAATAAGCCCTAAACTCCCAAAAACCTAAATCCGTAACATTAAACCTTAAGGTCTTTCGTTCTATCTCGCGAACCCTACACAACACACCCTCCGCCCCTACATCAGATGAACTGAACCCGTAACCCACCCATGATGACGGTTCATCATGTCATTCCTCGGACCAACCCTTACAACTTCTCTGTTGCTTCAAATTGTGAGACCCGACAAAAATCGCCCGCCTAAGAATTCGTTTTGCATTATGGGGTCTCGACCCACTGATGCAGACAACTCCACTTTCAAAGCTGCTGTTTTCAGGATGCAAGATCACGCGTCCGGTTTTCTGCCATGGGGCTTACTGTACTATAACCACGTGACATGGTGCACCTCTAGCCGCTAGTAGCCACACACAAAACCACAGAGGTAGGACTTTCGAGGGAGGAGAACATCCGGGAACCCTGTGCCCCACAAGACGGCGGCTTGATCGTGGAATCCAAGCAGAACTGAATAGCGCGCAATATTATCGATCGACGAGCTGCGTCGCCAATGACGCAACGGCCAGAGCCATGGGTTGCACACAATACTGTTAAGCCATTTATAATCATTTCCGGCTCTTTTTGAAGAGGCGTTTCGGATTTAGGGGTGTGACAAGTAACATTTGGCTCTTCAAAAAATATATCTGGCGGGTTTGGGCTAGGCTAGGCGTTGGTCTCCGGCCGAAGATGTCCTTAGGGTGTTATGGCACCGGTCCAGCGCTGATGTATCTCAGCTAGAAGCAACAAGAATCCAAACTTGCTCGTCTCGGTGGGCACCAGGAGCTTGCAATGATCGAAAGAACGGTTGCCAGGAAATTTCTAAAGTCATATGTAATTGGCAACGAGGGACCCTGAACTGAGGGACTATTGGAGTCTCGAGGTTGATGGCTGGAGGATTGACGGGTTTGGGGTGTTGGAATTCGGGTTTGGGGCCCGGGGAAATCATCCCGAAGCCACTGCATACCCGGTGCTCAAAAAACATACAAACATGACACCCTGGACCCGAACACCTTCAAATCCCAAAAACCCATTCCGACAAATCCGAGCACCCTTGAGCGGAAACCCCTTTAAATTACACACCCTCAGACGGCGAAACCCCGGACCCTGTAACCGTCTGGGACCTTAATGCACAGTCACAACCCGAAACCCAGCTGGTCTCACCCCATTGACCCTGAAGACCTAAACGCTAAGTTCATTGACCAAAGCCAGCTGCCTAAAATCGAAAGCCCAAAAATGAAGAAGAAAGATCTCCGAAGACTGTTCCAGGGAAGCGAAAGCGGTCCTGTACCATCCTCCAGTTCACAAAGACCATCACTAAAGGCTCCTGCTCGTGTTTAGGGGTTCAAAAGGCTTAGGGTTTATAACAATTGCATATGGTTTGGGACCTGGGGTTTTGGGCGGGTTTTGACCGGGTCTCCTCTGAACCCTGAGACATTGTACTGTTCACCTACGATCTACGAGTGCAAAGAGCCCAGGGCTCCAGCGCGCCGATGTCGGAGTCAGTTTTCAGGGCTGTTGCAGTAGGCAGTGCTGTGTTGGGCAGCTGTTTCTAACGGATTCAATGGCCTGAGGGCTCTACAACGGTTTATCTCCACATCAGTCCAGCTGCGTCTCCAATCTTTGTCGGGACAAGCCAAATCCAAAGAAAGTACCACTAGATGATCTCATAAATAAGCCAGCGAGCTGCCTAGAGCCCTCCAACCGAGACACGACTAGCACAGCTACTCAGCTGAACAGACAAAGATATGTTGAAGCATCTCTCTCTCACACATGTCACAAGTCGTGCAAAGCTGCTACATCGCAGCAAAAGCAGCTCTGAAACGCTCAGACTAGAGCGTCCAACTCTGCATGCCGTATGAAAAGGACATTGAATATCGTACGTATATACTTTATTGCTATACCGCACCCAAGTGATATCCTTCATGCGCCGCCGGATGAGCAGCTCCGCAGAATGGATGGCAAAGCTTGACAGCTGCTCCCTGGAACAGGCTTTAGGAACATCATCCAGAGGGCTGCAAACAGAGTCCGGATGCTTGGCGGGAGCCCTAGACAGTCTCGATTCTCAATGCGAAATCTGCTCCTAACACAGAAATTGCCGAAGAAGCGCAATGAACACCGAAAGATCCGAAACCCATGCACGATCACCTACCATGAATGGTCAGGCAGGATTCAGATGCCAACATAAATCAGTTCATCATTCCGTGGCATACAGATTCGACGAGCAGGCTTCAGAGTGTGCCCGCGATCACAGCGTAGACCCGGAGTGTCCGCGGTTTCGGGCTTAAGATCTCTGGTTTCTGGTATGTGTTCCGCCATGAGAATATGAACGACTGAAGCACCTGACCGAATGCACCCAGCCTCCTCAGGCGAAGGGTCGAAGCACCTTCAGCCCTCTTTGAATTCCTGTTACGGAACTAAGCTTCAAGATATTCTGAACTTAAGTTCCCTTCCGCAAGAGGAACCCAGCTCTGCATGGGTAGTTGAAATAGACCTCAGTTCCCCACGAGACCGCTACTGAAATCTAGGAGAGCTCCCTTCACAGAATCCGCAAGCTTTCAGGCAGCTTCTGCAGCAAGCCGAGTGCAGACAAGTGCAGGATCCAAAACAAACCCCTGAAACCTTCACCCGGTGCCCTGAACCCTATAAATCCCTGGGGTCCCAGCACGGTTTTCTTCTCCTTTTGCTTCACTTCCTGGGCGGCCTGGCGATCAAAAGCTTTCGAACCATATCAAAGTTCCGCTTCAGAAAGGCTTGACACATTATTTGCCTAGATCCTAATTCCCCAAACCTTTGGAAGCCCCAAATCCTACGCCCCTAAAGCCCTAAATACTACACACCGAACACCTCAAACGCCTTCTCTAGCTTAAGGGAGTTGCGGGTTGAGCTTGAAGAAAGAAGAGCTGCCCGCACCGTATGAAGACAAACATGCATGGCTAAAATGCTCTTGTCCGAAAATCCTGCTGCTGAGACCTGAGGTAGGAAAGTGACTAAAACATTCGGGTTCTTGTTAAGGTTCTTGGTTTCGATGCTGTACAGTATCGGGATCAAGGAAAAGACATTTCCAGGTTTTGAGGGTAATGAAGGGCGTACTTCTCTGAAGCGCCTCCTGTCGAATTTGATCCATCTCTCCATGGTAGTTCCGGTGGCTGCGCATGTTTTTCACCACTGCTTGCCACTGCCTCGGCCGCCGAAACAACTTCGGGCTGCAGGTCTCAGGGGCAGATCCCACACACACCTTAAACTCTGAACCCAACACCCTAAACCTAAAACTGGTTTGTGACCAGCGGACCCATGGAGAAAAGTGCGGGGACACACTTATCCTGTTAACCAGGCCCGAAAAAATCAAGAACGAATGTACCTAGTATGCAAGAACCCGATGAACACACGATTCCACCTTTGTGCTCTTGCCCTGGCCCTAGCATCCGGCTTTTTTTCAGGCATATACTTGGAGCAACCACTCTCTGTTTGACACTGCACTGCACTGGGGCGCAACATTTTCTCAGAGTGCACCACGTTGAAAGCCGCCTGTGATGTTAAGCTACTCGGGGCTGCAAGAGACTCCTGCCCAAACCATAGCATGAATGAACACAGTCGGTGCAGGATGCTGCGCTTGAACCACACACCTCGTCCCACACATGCTTGCGAGGCTCTTTTCCGAGGGGTAATAAGTCAAAGCCCCATTGGCGGGCTTCAACAAGGATCGTCAACCACTGCTGCCCCAATGACGACCTTAATTACACCGTAAACACCTGCAAATAGTGCCGGGGACAAAGCACCAACATGTCCCGCAGGTAGGACTCGCGACCTAGCTGATGTGTCAGGGTTCAGGGTTCAAAGTGTCGGGCTGTAGCGTTTAGGGAAGTTTAGGGGTGCAGAGCGTTAAGGGTTAAGGATGTCAGAGAGTGCTACGGCTTACGGCTTTTAACGCTTTCAAAGTACAATGCTGCGTGTAGCTGAACTAGGATTTTGGTAAGTTCCTTCCCCTGGAAGTCCCCGAGGACAGCAGAGAGCCGCTCTGTTCAGCCCTGTCTGCTGACCGAAATCAGTTGCAACTGGAACCAAAAAACGTGTATCTCAGGGACAAATTTGGCTCGCGGCGTTCCGGTACAGTTTCCTACGCATAAAACGAACCTGATACAAGTGGCCTTCAGAGCGCGGCAAAGAGGTAAGGCTTAACTCAAATGAGTTATGGGTACTGTGGATCTTTCTCATAAGCCCAGCAGGACGCGGCTCCTTCATAATTGATGAATCTGGAATGGAGGAGTTAGCATGCAAAGCATCGGAGGATTTTCGAGCAGCAATCACCTTTACTTCACCAGTGCCCAAGGGAACATACTCAAGATTAACCTCTTGAAACTGTAAGAACACCAAACAATCCGCAAGGCTAGTTACTAGTTCTTGGAGGACTGAGTTTTGTTCAACGTGCAGGCGCTCCCAACGGCACTCCACTCGAGATTGGCCGGCGACAGCAGATTCAAATCTCACCACAAGAGAGTGAACTTTTCAGTCTGCCTCCTCGAAACCTAACCTGGCACCCAAGACGCCAAAACATTCTGCAGGCCCCGCACACGAATAAACTGCGACACCCTAAAACCGTAAAGTCCCCCAAGCCCGCTAAACTGTGGAACCTCCAAGCCTTTCTGAAACACCTAAACCATTCCAACAGAACAAGAAGATGCGCTCAATCGTAACCCCTACCCTTTCTTCAACACAAATGGAACCCTTGAACGAAGCAAGCGACACACCAAAACCCTCAACCCAAGTTCGATCCCCCTTCAAACGAATCAATGACGCACAATCCCGACGAGGGTAGGCTCGAGATCCCTGCCAACTTGCTCCAGCTCGGAGTGCATGCGCTCGCCGAGGGCGGTGTGCCTGAGAAAACGAACCAAAGACGACGCTCATGGGGGCTCTAACATAAGAGGCACCACCCAAAACGGCATAGGCACCGGACTCGTCTGCAGCCTCCCGGCGAATCCGCTGAATCTCCTGGCCGTGATATGGTCTGACTGTAAAGGAATGAATCGCGAAAAATATCACCAAGATATCCCCCAAACCGATTCTGCTTAACAAGGTCTAGCGTTTAGGCTTGCTTCTGCATATAGCTAGCTTCACTGGCTCTTCGAGGTCTAGGCTTTCAACACTTCTTGATCTGGGCACGAAACAACCGGGTCTCACGGGCAGACATGCTACAGAAACCCGATTGAATCGAAGTTCACATCTACTGCTATGCAACCCTAGCCTTGGTACGTACCCTGAGCCCATAACGGATGCCTATTTTTTCCAAAAACCCAAACTCTGCACTCGGGATCCTCTACACAGCGTCGACCCGAGCCCCGAGACCTGACATACCTATAACAACCAAGATCTCCCATAAAAGCGGCTGTGAAACTCGAAAGTACAAACCCAAACCCCTGCTTCGAACCCATAAGGCCCTCCTTCAGAGAAACTCAATCCCTTACGAGCCTTTCGGTGCGATCGGTCTTTGCGATCTTGCGTCTTCTCGAGGCGGTGTAGTAGCACCTGACATTCGTTGAGCTATGGCGGTTTGAAAGCTGATGAAAGGACCTGTACACTGCCCGAACTCAGGGCTGACCTGACAGACACGGCTGGGCAAGCACAAAAAACCATTGTGCTGCTCAGAGGTAGGGTGTGGGTTGTATAGGGCTTTAGTGGCGGAAGATTGTAACATGTGCTGAGGATAATTACTCTGGGATTCCTCTTTCCCTCGGGCTGCTCAGACGTAAACATGTAGACACTCCGAGGCGCCTGATGCAGCCACGCGAGCCAGATGTCCTCACAATGGCTTGTGTTGCAGGGCTTTGCATGTAGTGGTTTGAGCTTTACGAGGTTTATAGGGCTTGAGGCTTGAGGTCTCAAGTTTCATGCTTAGGCTTTGATGGCTTCAGGTCCAACCGCTACATCAACCAGCTTCGGCTTGGACTGCCACAAGACAACAACCAGCAGGGCAGAGAAGTACTTAAATTCTAAACCCCAACCCGTTGACCATACGACCATGCACGCCGAAATCCCTAACCTAGACAGCAAGCCCCCCTAACAATCACTTCGCAGGATCACACTAATATCGAATCCTTGCATACCATCTACATACCGAGACGTAAAGAAGATAGTGTTTCCCCCCAAGAAAAATATCAAGGAAGTGGGACTGGGCAAAAGACCTCCAAAAAACAAAAAGCAGCTGAAAGCGAATCTTCGACGCAACCCGAAGAGTCCTTGAGTCGAACGAAGTTGATGGTCTTCGAGACGTGGTGCACGACGTGGTCTTTCAGGCGAAGGGCCTGGAGAGTCGACTCGGGTTCTAGGCCGGCCAGTGGGCCAAGCACATTCTATAACTGCCACGGGCGCAGTCGATCTCTCAATGAGTTACTGATTGTCAGTCACGACTGGTTGCTAGCTGGTGGGTTGGGTTGTTGTCTGAACGGGGGCTTAGGCTCTGAGAGTATTCAGGTTCTTTGGGTTCTCCCGTATACATTTCAGGACACACGCAGAGGTTTCTGAATTCTTGTTTGCCAGAAGCGGACAGCGAAGATGGGGATTGGATGTTGCATTCGCGGGAATGAGCGCTGATGTGATCTTTCGAGACGCCCGACCACCTGCGCGAAACAATACGAAAAAGACAAAGAACCCTGAACCCGAAAACCTTACAGCTACAAAGCCTAGAACCCCATACACCCATCACTACAAGCCCAAACAAAAGCCCTCGTCGACAAAGAGAAGCTCCAGTAAAGCCCACAGGTCCGAGGTCAGATCCGGCCTTCAGGTCTTTCACTTCCATCTCCTTTCGAAGTTCGGTGTGCGCACGTAGGAGTTTGGGCTTAGGACTTGTAGGGCTTAGGGTTTAGGGCCTAGGGTGGGAGTGTCGAAGCTTTGGGGTTTGGGGGTCCGGGGTTCAGGACCGAGAACTTCTCGGCTTGGATCTATAGGAGTCTTGGATTCGGTGAGACCACAAAAACGCCCCAAAGCCGACAAACATTTTTGGATAGTATCCAGGCGAGTCTTATCATTGATTGACACATTGACACTCAACTTAGTTTGGGGTACCAGGCAACATGAAGTCTGGACCCTGGAAAGCATGGTGGCGGAGTCCTTGCCCAGCTGTTGCTTGGCCTTCGCCACCGTCAGCAGCTCTGCAGCGGTGGAGATGTTGAGACGCTTCACGTGGGACCTGACCCAGGGCTGCTGACAGAGGTCGAAAGGGACGTAGGACTTTATGCTCCGGGCTTCTAGGGCTTCAAGGAGTAATGTTCTCCAGTCGGAAGTGCCTTGAAAAAACCATGATTTCTGCACGAGCATTGTGATGGGTATCGGATATGCACATACCTAAACTCTCAAAGTTGGTAAAATGATGGCACAACACCTTTTAACGGCTGTTATTCTACATGCTACCGGGTTTAAGGTACAGCTTTTGTCCAGGTCGCTCCTGCTGACTACTGCTGAGCCTTGAAGGTTTATGCAGCACCTTACAACAGTGCACGGAATCGTCCAAGCTTCTTCGCAGCCCACAACGTCCACGCGCTTGAAAAGAAACTAGGTCGAAGTGAGTCGGGGTGGCAGGGCATACGCACTACATAGCTAGTATAAAGCACCGGGACCAATTCGTTAGCCAAAGCAGTCCGAGCATCACATTCCACATAAGCTTCTGTCGGGTGCTTGCTTGGACTTCTGGAAGCTTCTTCAACGCCAATTTTTTTAACCGAAGCCGGAAAACAAGACAGGGCACGGCTAAGACCTTGCATTACCTGGGCTGGGGAGTGGGCCATGCAAGGAAGTGGCGCTGGAGCTCTTGCCGCATCACCCCTGCGCAGGGGTATGGTCGCATGCTGTAGGATCCGTGCCGAGAGTTCGAACGTTTCTTCGCTCCAAAGCCACAGGCTTCGAGCATGACAGTCGAAATCAGATATCGACTGCTGCGATGGCTTATTGGCAGCTTCGGCTGAGCTTCGTCACTAAAGTGTGTCTTGTGGCGGTAGTCCCTCAGCCGAACCCCTCAAATTGGAACCTCAACCTCTCGACACAAAGGCTTCATTCTACTCAAACCACTTCAATTCCGAACCTACACCCGCTTCAAAGACATCTGGCTATCTCTTGCTCAGGCGTGGACCCTTCAGAAACCGATCTTGGCTCGTCTGGATCATCCTCCGAAACGTCAGCTCACTACGAAAAGCCCTCTATAAGGAACATAAGATAGACCCGAAATATCAGGGTCATTACCGTCAGGGACGAAATGAGGATGGCAACGCCAGTTTAGGGTTCAGGGGTAGATCGGCGCGCAGCATGATGAAACATGACCCAGCGTCCAGGTGTTTACATTACAGATGTCTTCAAATTAAAACACACATAATCTATACTCACCATAGCCTTGGGGAGCCCTACACTACTTCACCTGACACCTGAATTTGAGAATTCAACTTCTCATCCGACAGGCCCAACAACACCGTGAGCCTCTCTGCTAAGCCTCGCCAGGGGTTGAGGCTTCAGGGTTTGGAGGTGAAATCTCTTGAGGTTTCAAGACGGTGCAAGCATGGTGCACCAAGTAGAGGCAACCCGAAATATGGAAATGCAGTTTGCCACCCCCCAAAAGAAGTGCACGACAAAACAAGCAATTGATAATAGATCTCTTCTTTTGTCTCTGTCAGCCATTGTCAGTCTCTGCTCAAGTAAACGAATGTCCAACCAAAAACTTTTGAAACCCTCCCTCCTAGCGCCAATACCGTGGCTGAACTACCCTTCCCCCCAAACCCTTCCATGTCACGGCTCTGTTGACCCTTGCTGTCCTGTGCTTGGCCAAGCCCTGCGCATGGACCTTGGTTAGGTTGTAACAGCCCGGTCGCAAGATCTAGGGCTCCTTGAGTGGCATCGACCGTTACACACCCTTCTACAGCGCTTCAAGAGCTGGGTGACTACATGTGCCAAGTCAGCCCTGCTTTCAAGCTCTTTCGTGGCTTCCTTGTAGCAGCTCTCGAATGTAGTAGCCATTGCCACCAACAGCAACCGGTCAAAGGGATCATAACAATATCATGTAATCTGACATGTTGCCTTAGGCTTCTGAACACAGGGATGCAGGGTTCGATTCAGGATTCAACTGCCCCCCCCGACGTCTTCACAAAAATCTGCGACTCTGAACGCTGGGAAAAGTCTGCACACCAGTACGACCCATCCACCAGATGAAAGATTGTTGGAATGCAAAGAGGCTCGGCAAGTTAGTTGTCAATCTCGTGGGCCGAATGCAGAAAACTTTACGCGATCATATGAACTCGTATAAGAACCCGAGCGCAAAGGCAAAGGGCGGGCCCTAAACTCACAGCACTAAAAGCCGGAAGATCCTCAAATCAAACCAACTGGACCTAAACCTTTCAACATAGGAGACGGACCAGCTCGGCAAGCTCATCTTCGTGACGCTCGTTGATCTGGGATAAGGTTCTGGGGAAGAAATTTCAAGCTTTTTGGGGTTTGGGGCAAAGCTTAGGCATGTTAAGCGTTGACTGCGGGGTTCAGTGAGCCTTCTGGGTTGCTTTGGCAGTTGATGAGTTTATTGGCAAGACTAACCGCACTGCTCTCTTGAGACTGAACTGAAGGCAGCAAGATAGCCGATGTCCAGAGTCTATGATTGGCCATAGGAGATCATGAACATGACACAGAGCACTAGCCCTGAGTGCCTTCTGCGTTCAGATGCTATATAGGGCTAGACTCTAGGGGATTTAGGATGTGAAATTGGGTTTGGCAGGGAATATATCAATGGAACAAGGTGGTGGCAAATTGGGCGATGCTTGCATCAGCACAACACGGGAATTTACACTTAGACCTGCTAGAGTTTCATGGCTCTCTGTGGAATAGTATGTTGGCTTCTGCCGGTTTTACTCCTGTGGCAAACAGAATTAAAATTCGAGTGCATCGTTCCGGGAGGCAGGCGCGGCACACTTGTCGGACCCCCGGCAGGATCCGGTGCTTCAGAACTTCTAATTATTGTAATTGCTTGAAGCTCGGAAACCCTAAAGCCCAAGCCTTACAGCCTCCAAGCCCTCTCCGCAGCCTACGACTGACCTGAAGGATTCATGCTTGGCTTCTTCAGTCGCACGGAGCCTGCGCCAGCTCATTTTCCAGACTGCGTTGGTACTTGCACTCGTCCCACTTCTGCCTCATACTCCAGCAAGCAATGTGTCGAGGGTTTAGGCTAAGGCTTCTGGTTCTAGTGATCCCGCGAAGACTTCCGCATCCTTATATGAAGGACTCGACGAATTGGAGCCCTTCTCCAACTCTCATGTGGTAGAGGCAGAAAGAATCAGGGGGTTGTTACCCGAAACATCATGCGATGAAACCCATAACATAGCTACTTGACACTTCATCCGAAGTACTCTTTGCCTATGCTTATTGAGTTGTTCCTGACCCCTCTTTGAGCAGACAGGGAGTCTCCCCAAACTCTTTGCATGAAGCCTAGAAGCCCGCGGCGTTCCTCGGAAGCCTACAGGTCTGATGCGCTAGCACCACAATATGGAGAACCTGCGCCGCTTTGGAAGCGACATGAAGAGACTTCAGCCGGTTCGAGCTGTGCGTTCTCAGCCATGCCTACACAGCACTTGCCAGAAGTGACTGGGACCTTCGGTCGGTGGGCAAGGGGTTTAAAACTGGAGCCTGCATTTCAGGGACATGTCGGAAAATGAGAATCTCAAGTTCTTGAGAGCTCTTCACTCAAGGCCACGGACTCAGAGCAAAAACTAATTGCGAAGCCCTAGAAGTTAGCAAACGCATCGTTGTGCAGCCCTGCCACCCCAGAACAACCTGAATCCTGCATGAAAGCCATAAACCGCAAGAACAGGACGGGGCCCCCGCATGCAGTACTGAAACCTCGGCGTGTTAGGGGGCTGTGTGAAAGGTGCTCTTGAGCGTTCCGCGCAGGCTTAGAAGGACAACTTTGGCAGCTTTTGCTCGGGCTTGAAGAAACTTCCATGGCATGACCCGAATGTGCTGGCTTGTGATCGTGGCGTTTCAAAGTGTTATTTGCACTCCTTAAGCTCCTCAGAACCCTGGACAAGTCACCCAAAAGAACAATACTGGGCTGAGGGCTGAAGTTTTGCGTTTGTGGTTTGCTCCCGGCAGCTTATTAAAAGGATGTTCAATCTTCAGCCTCGCGAAGCCTTGCTTGGAACCTGCTCCGGGGTTCAATCAAACGACGGACACGCGACAACCAACGTGGAATTTGGATGGATGTTGACCGACAAGAAACGACGAAATCGGACGGCTATGGAATGACAGATATTGATTGGCGACAAGAATTCGGGACCCGCGTCAAACATACTGACCCGCGACAAGACGTATATGAGTTGGATGGGCGCTGACAAATACCCAAAAGACAACGCCAATCACAGACCTTGGATGTGTCCCAGGTAGTGTCCTACAACAGCCTGTACATAGCACGTGGATGTGTATTGATCGGCACCAATAAACATGACGTAGCATCCGCATGAGTTTAGGGTGACGCCCCCGCCAAAACCAGCCGAGGATGCACCCACAACAAACACCCGGATTGGATGTGACCAGGACAGCGCCGGACTCTTGCTACGAACTAGTCAGACCTTAGGTTGGTGTCAGGGGTCAGAGTGCAACCTAGGGCTCCAAGTGCCCATTATTTGAAGACTTTGGGGCCTTTTTGGGTACCTAAAACCATAAATAAGGACTACTTGGACCCTTAGGGGAAGAGACCTGAATAATTCGTCCCAAGTGGCAGCAACTTCCTCTCGCTGCTTGCTTTGAGATCTGCCAGGGCCTGGGCGAAAACCGAGAGAGGAATTCGATTGTACATTCAGAGCCCAATTATCTATACATGTATGTATATATGTCTGGATTGATGTATATACATGTGACCGTATGTATGTACAGATGTCTGTAAGCCTAAATAAACTGTAAGTATGAAGGCATATAGGGAGGGTGCATTGCTGGGTTCAGACTACTGTGGGCTTACGAGTGAATAGAGTTGTTTCGGAATCTTCTAATATATTGAAAACAGGGAACCCTAAGTTATATACTTGTTTAGGCCCTTAAATACCTGCTCAGCTACTCAGCCCATCAACCGGTGTCAAGGCTTCGAGGTGAATGGTCATCCACTCACAAACTGGCTGACGGCTTGCCGTGGTTTGCTTTTTTTGATTAATAATGGTTTCGATAGACCCTACCGGTCCCTATACCCAACCTGATCACCATTGTTGCACCGTGATTGCACAGTGGTTGATGCCAATAGTCTTAATATGACGCAGTAACTTTGCAGCATGACGCCATGACCAATTTCTACACCTCCAACGGTAGCGATCGTAGCAGTTGTCGTCCTAAGCGCCTCCCGTCTAAGACTTTCCTGCACGACTGCAGATGTGTCTCGTAGGGCTCCTTTAAGGGTTTCGGTAGGATGAGGAGCTTCATTGCATTGTTCACGAATCCTCATGTTAAGGATCTTATTGTCTCCGACTCCCGAAATAAAAGGGTCCGATGATAAAAGTCTCATATGGTGAACCGGAGGGCTGAAAGAGGCTTGACCTAATCTTCCACGCCCAGTCTTCACTTACAGTGAAAGCTTTGCGGCAGCAACAACCAATGAAGCGTTTCTCTCACTACGGAAATCATTTTCTCTAATGCCTGCCGTTCTTGTTCATCAGTAGGCAACACGGGGTGAAACCAAATGGGGTTCTGTCAAGCATCTGAATCTGACTCAATCATCGAGCCAGAAGGACCCATGTAAGGGAGCCCAGCATGCAGCAAAGTCAGCTGAACGCGACACCCCCCAACCCTGAACATAGTAGCCCCTTATACTCTTGCACGAGGCGCTAACGAAAACCTTGCATGTACAAAACATCGCCGACGCGTCCCAGCTGGGGCTCCCTGGCCAGACGCAGGTTGTACATCTTCATCCCTTGAACCTCGGCATAATATAGCGGTTAGTGAAACCCGAAGATATAAGTCCTAAACATCTAGACGCGGGTGGTAGGGTTTGCCAGGATGTTTTGGACGGGTTTTCGTCGTTCTTGGGCTCATTGTAGTATCACTCTACGGGGAATACAACTACAAACGCCTCAGAATTGCAAGGGAGACCGGGAACTGAGTTTTGGAGTTCAGGATACCCAGCGCTCGAGATGGATGGTGGTGTTGGGGGTAGGGCCGGTTCGCGTTCAGGATTCGGAGTTTTTGGTCTGGGGATGGTAGGGCCTGGTAGGGCTAATGGGACTCAGGGGGGGGTTGTGCTTAGGAGTCAAAGCTCAGAGTGGATATGATGTAGAATTACGAGAGAGAAGGTGGAGCTGACGAGATCCCAGCATTTGGGTTCGGGGTTTTAGGGTTTGCAAACTCATGAGCCGCGTGAGAGAGCCTCAGCCAAACCCGAATGTTTCAGGGCGTACAGACTGTGCATGAGCCGTGTCTTGCAGCGATTGTATAAGTTCGGGAGACAAAGATTACTCGATGTCCGTGAACCTGGATTTGCATGTATGCTTACATGCCTGCAGTCCCGAACCCACCAAGGGAGTAACCCTGCGATGGGGCCGGGCGACGGCATGCATCGCGGTATCGCAGCTCTCTGCTTCGAGTGAGAAGCTTGCAAGGAGAGAAAGCCCCGGCCTAGGGTGCGGCTGAACCGCCCCCCGGCTCAGTCAGGCGAAAGGAAGACAGCCCCGGCCTAAGGTAAGTTCAGGGAAGCTACATGCTAGCTTTCCAGGGCCTCCCGCGTGACCATGTAGCTTGCTACATTCTAGACTCCAAACGCTTGGCAGGGCCCGGAAGCTACCGAAGCAGGTAACACGAGTCCCAGACGTCACCAGATATTACGCAGGTTTGTCCGAAAAAGAACTTGTTGTGTAGCGTCTAGGGATTGATGCACACTTTCGGCCTTACAGGCGCCCCTAGTAGGGATCTCAACTTTGGACCATGCAAACACGAAAGGCCCTAATTCCTGCCTTTGATGAATCCCTTTGTCACAGGAAGCCATCGCAAGTCCTAGCTTCTGAAACTCCCGCTGAGGCCGGCACATGCATCAACTCGGCAAGATCGTCCTCGAACTGAACATTCAGCCTTTCCATGTCAAGGGCTAGAGTTCAGGCTGTAGGTCGAGCCTTGTAGGATTTGGATTCAGGGCGGGTTCAGGGTTGAAGATGTAAGGTTGAGGTTTCGGACGCAGGGCCGGGAATGCAGACCTTCCTCCGCTTTCTACAGAAGCTCAGTGCGAAGCTCTGCAATCTTCGCCTGGTAGGCGCGGTGGACGGCCTTCAGAAGCAGAGAGGCTTCAGGCGTTTTTGGTTCAAGGTCGGAAGGGAGGCTGACTCTAAAAACATTGTAATAAACGCTGCTTTCAATAAAGATCTTACGGAGTTTAGAGAAGGTTTTCAAGCTTACGTTCATGAGGCTTGGAGTCTGTGTGGGGTGATCGGTTTGAGATTTATCTGGCGTTTAAACACAAAGGGCTTGCAAGCGCCCCAGGGCTCCTGAGTGTGAGGCTTGCAGGCAGGGTTTACTACAGCTCAGTGTTCACAGGCTCGGGTTCGCCTGACTGTTGCTTGGATGATCAGGCTTGGGATGAGGACTTGGGGTTCAGGATCTATAGTTTAACGGTTTAGAGCTTACGCGTTGTCAAGATTATGGGTGCTGGATTGACTGCTGTGGACCCTGAGATAGGGATCATGTACAGGATGAAAGTATGGTGCTTTAAACACCTGTGGTCTACACTCTGCCTTGCAAGGCTTTAGGGCTGGTAGCTCATCGGCTTGGGACCCATGGATCCGTCACTGTCACTCTCACGCCCCCAGTCTTGCGGCGTTCGGGAATGGGATTTTCGATTTGGGGGGGTGTCATAGCATTTTCGTTAGGGGTTCAACGTGTAAGATATACGAATGAATCATGCCGAAGATCTGGAGCATGCCATGCTTTCCTACTACACAGGACTACAGATGTTACTCGCACAGGGTCCGTCACAAATGTATCCTGGGCAGAGGCCGGCTGACGTTGACCAGCAAGGCTCGGCTCGGAACAAAAACCCGACTTTGCGACCCCTCCCCGTCACCTGCTCCGCGCGAAACTCTCGCCACACCTGGCATTCAGGGACTTCGGAGACTGTGCAGCTGGTGATGTTTCCAGAAACCAAGGCGAAGGAAGGGCTTTCTTCAACACGACTATTTGTCCCTGCAACCCACAGGACCCCCAACACGCAACCTCGGAACCCTGAAACCCCAGAATGCATTGTTTCCTACACCCAGACAATCACTGAAAACGCCCTCAGTAAGCCGTAGAGTCTCGAGATCCTGGAGTGCTTCACAAGTCCCGCCGGGCCCACGCCAAGCATGCGCCTGGGGGCTCAGAAGCTTCGCTATTGGACTCTTCAGTGGCTTCTATGTGGTTGAAGCCCTTTGGCCATGTTTAGGGATTCAGATTTCAAGTGTCGGGCTTCCGGCTTAGGGTCTCTCTTTCTCCCTCTGCCTCTCCCTCCTCTCTCTCGCTGTGCCTTTGCTAACTTGACCGCTTATCCCAGGGCTCGGCATCTTAAACAATCACAACAGAATTTTGTGGTGCAAGGACTAGGGCTGGTGCTTATTCAGACTTCTGTATTATACAGTGGCACAAAGATACCCACACATCCAACCATCATATTGTCGGCCAGGCGCTGCAGCAAGAACTGGTGGTTTGCAAGCTCGTGGCCTGCAGAGCTTCGGAGTGCCAGGTTCCGGGAAACGTACAGGGGAATTGGGGCATAGCGCACTATAGTTACGTAGGAACTATCTGCATCATAGGATGCTGGCGGCTCATTTCAGGTTTCAGGGGTGAGGGTCGGGGTTCAGGCATGCGAAGGTCCGGATTTCGGATGGCTGCAGAGGCTTGGGGCTCACGGCTTTGCTGAGGTCTTGGACGCATACGGATGTGCTACGGCCTCGGGCATGTGATGGCTCAGACTACGGGGCTTCTTTCGCTTCGGGGCATTTCCTATCATATCCTAGAGCTGTCTGGAACTTCATAATTTCATGACTTGAGGGAATGAAATTCTAGACTCCAAGCCCCATACTGCAGCTGCTAAATTGCATGCCGCACTCACATCGTACAGCACTACTCTTCTGAATGCCATTTCTAATTGCTCTACTGGATTGCACGACTCGGGAATGCTGTCGATCAACAGCACAAGTGACCAAAGACATATTAGTCTGATCAAAGCCTTGATGTCTTGTCCTTCCGTCTGACCTCTGACTTTTCATGCGTGCCCGCCCCCCGAGCTGCATTGGCTGGGGCTGGACCGGGAAATGGCTCATCTCCTCAGCATCGCCTCATCTTAGCCCAACTGCTTAACCTTGCCTTGTAGACTAGAAGAGTATACCTCAAATACACCCTAGTCTAGCTCCTTCGCCGCCTAGCCCAGCTGGTTGAGCTTCTTGAGGAGCTCCTGTCGCCTGTGCCAGAGCGGGTCCTCACTAGGACCAGGTCGGTAGTCGCTGTCAGAGTCCGTGTCGGGAGTCTGCGGTTCGGGCGCCGGAGCTGGCGGAGCTTGCCAGGAAGAGGCCTCCTTGATCTCGGGAAGCAGAGGCTGCGGGGGTGTGGGAGGCTCAGGGAGGACCGGGAACGTCTCCTCCCAGAGCTCTGAGGTGTCTTCTGCCAGATTCAGCGGAAGAAGAGAAGCAGAAGGCAGCACAACCAATTCCTCCTCTTCATCGTCATCGTCGTCGTTCTTCTGCGGTTCTTCCTGCATCGCGTCGCTGGCGTCGAGATCCGGCAGGTGTGGACCCATGACTGGAAGAACTGCAGACGACCCTTTTGCAGTGGATTTCTGCCTCTTAAGTCCAGTCGCCTCATCTTCACCAGGCTCAGCTGCCTGAACTTTGCGGGAAGCATTTGCATGTTGGGATCGCTCTCGGAGCATGCGACCGGCCTCCCGCCCAAACCACCTGGAGAGGTAGTCCACGAGCAAACTGGGCTGCCCGTGTTTACGCACGTATGCCCAAGCCTTCCGCTCGCTTTCAAGAGCAAGCGCCCGAGCCACTGCGCAAAGAGGAGCAAGCTGTCCATGGAGCTGGACACTCCGAGAGAAGTTTGCACCAGATTTAAGTGTCTTCTGTCCTACGACCGCACGCACGCCTCTGGAAGAGGAAGCAGCAGAGATCGCGTCGGTAGTGAGGGCACAAGGCCCGTCAGTTCGAAGCCAAACATGCAGAGAACCATCGCCGGAGTCTTCGCATGAGAGTTGGACCAGAAGCGCCGAAACTTCGACCGCCGCCGTCAGCTTGGAAAAGCAGCAGCCAGCAATCTCCAAGCAACCTGGGCCCGGTCCGTCAGCCCGCACTCGAGCGCTGGCCCCCGAGTCCTCCTGGATCTGCAAGAGCAGATCCTTATAGGTCTCGGAGAGTGTGGACTCGCATCCCTTCGGCAAGCCAAGGAGAAAGTTCTCGGTTGACACGAAGTCATCCGGTGGATCGGACTCCAAGAGCATGAGCGGTACAGCTGGTGGCTCTCGCACCTTCACGTCTGCCCAGCGGGAGTAGCGCCGAATTCGGCATCTCACAGTGTGCACGACAGAGCCCACTCGACGTGGATGGCCCGAAAGCAAGAGCTTGCGAAAGCGCCGTCCGCTCACCTCAGCATAGCCCAAGAGCTCCATGTCGACCGTGCGCGTTGGAGCTTGCAGTGACTCGCCGGCCTCCGCCTCCGCCTCCTGGCCCCCTTTCTCCTCCGAAGCCAAGGTCGTCTCATCGGAAGCTGTTTCCACTTGCTTCCGCAGATCGGAAGTGACCCAGTCGGACAAATCCTCGAGAATCAGCACCGCAAGCTGTACATTGGCAGACGCAAGGCCAATTTTTGTGCCTGCGACCCGGAGCTTCTGGATGCGGGCGAGGTCATCCAAAAACAAGAAACAGGCATCATCAACGCATTGGCAAGGTCCGCTTACTTCCACGAGCGTTTCGTCGCTGCCTAAGTCCGACAGCTGGAGTCGAGCACCAGTGCGGGCTTGCAACTCCTGGACGTTTTGACCCTTTTTGCCAATCAGGCGACCCGCAAAGTCGCCAGAAACTGCCAGGTACAACAGCGAGCTGCCGGAGGCCGCGGCGGCTGCCGAGGCGGCCGTTCTCTCGCATCGCACATCCGTCATGCCTGCAGCCCTGACATTGCTCTCATGGTCCGGCTCAGTGCCCGGTACTTGTCCGAATAACAGCTGATTTTGATGAAGAGAAGCAAGAGGAAGACACGACAATGATGATGACGATGGAGATGAGGGTGCTTGAGATCATGGCTATGTCTATGATGCTGGTGGCGGCGACAATGACCATGACATGGTGACGATGGCGATCGTGATTGCGATGCTACAGGCGTCGGATGTAGAGGCCGCTGCAAATGACATGACCATAACTTTAATGTAAACACTTGTGCGTGCGTTCAGAAAAACATCAGCGCATTGGGTCGGCTAGTGCTGGACGCTGTCGAGTAGCATGTGTTCATGCTTCTTTGGGCCTGGAGGTCACGGCGGACGACATGTGTTGCTTTAATGTGTGGGGAAGGGGGGGGGGCGGCGGTTGTAATCGCTTCTAAGTCCCGAAAATCGGAAAGCAAAATCTGGAGAATCTTCGGCTTTGCTCTCGGCTTCTGTGCCATGTCTTTGTCGGCTCATTTCAAATGTGTCTGCATCCTGAGAGACTTCGGATTGCAGGGTTATTACTAGGATCGGGGTAGCATCGGGACCGGTTTTGGTGTAGGCTATAGTATGGTTATGTCGGGACTATCAGTGCATGTTAGAACGCAAACTTGAGGCCGGGGCTGAGTGCAGCGTAGACACCGTTCCTGAGCCCATGGCAGGAAAGGTTGCTCGCAGATGGATTTCGACTGTTCATAGTGGGGTCATGTGGGGTGCGACGTCTTGTCTTGGAACGATAAGGTGCAACCAGCTGCCAACAGACCCACCTACTTCAAGCTAACATCGACAGGCTTTTGAATGGGCACTGAGCGGTCAAATCATGTGAAGCCTGCTGTTCGAGAGATCCAGAGCTAGGTTGTTTCTGTCCGACTCACCGCAGGCCCCCAATCTGTAGATAAATGACTGCAGCCAGTATACATATGGTGTATACGCGTATGCATATGTTGCACCCTCAATTCTCAAACTATAAGGGGTCACGACCCTATAAAACCTTGAACCCTTCATCTCAAATCACTAAACCCGACATCCGAACCCCGAAGGATTGAAACCAAAACCTCGACCTTAATCCGAAACCCCAGCCTTAAACCAACGAGCCCTGCACGTAACCCCCACCCAGATTCAAGCCAGGATTCCTCCAGCATGCTTTTACTTTATGTATGTATGTCAATGTATGTATGCATGAATTTATACGCATACACACTGAAGAATCCTTCTTGTAGCAGGTAGGACAGAATCCCAAAGCCCATAGCCCCAAACAGAGACCTAAACCCTAAGCGGGAAGCTCCAGGCAAGGTGCTTCTTCGAATGGTCGCGAAGCTGTGACTTCACTTCGTTCATCTCCTTGGGACGTGTGTTTGGATGTCGGGAATGCAGTGTTATACGCCTTTAGGTTGTTATTGTAAGTCGCCCAAAAACATAGGAAAGTCAAATTCGGGTTTGGGGTTTGGGGTCAAAGTTGATAAGGTCTAGATTAGGATTATCGATGACAAGTTGAAGCAGTGGCTATCACGGCCGACTTTCGTGCATGAGATGTTCTGGCCCGGCGTGCGCATCCCGTCTAAGAAAGACACGAGAACCCAGAACACCACTTAACTCATGAGTACAGTTAGCTGAACCGCAGTTGTAGCCCCAAACCTGGCAAAGGAAACGGGAATATGAACATGTGTAGTACGAGCCAGAAGTTCTGCTCTACCGGTTGCCAGGGCATCATCCGGCCTCTCAAATGAAAAATGGACACCCAAAGGCCAAGAACTTTCCGTGGGTTTCTGGGGTCTCTGGCCTTAGGATCCCGTAGGGTCTGCCAGGATTCTGTGGAGTGCTTCTCTTGTGCTTCGCTGCGCATGAGCTCCATCTGACTCTCCACCACCTCCATGCACATTCAATCACGTGTGTCAATTGCGCATGTTGCACAGCTTTGCGGCATCGGAGTCGTATTCCTTCGAAGCCCGTATTAAAGTGATGCGGCGCATATCGGGTCGGGAGGATTTTGGGGATCATGAACGAAACCAGGAATTGCAGGAACTAACGAAGATTTGCTCGTCCATCCCATCCGTCACGGTGAGAACCCCCAAAGAGCGCATGATTCATGTAGTACTTCGAGTCTGCATTTTCCAGAAATGAAGCATACGCCGCAAATTGGTCAGGCGTGTAATGCTAATGAACAAACTGCTGCATTGCTTTGGGTACCCGAAGCTGTGGGAAACATCGTGCGTTCGTTATGATGGATACTGCAGGGTCTTGACCATCAGCAATATAATACCCCTAAGACCCTAAGCCCTTGACTCATGAGAAGAACTTGCTAGCTCAGATTTTCGAGACAGATTCGATTTTTTCGGGGTTTCTTTATCGCTGAGCTGTCGGCACATCAGTAAGACCGATCTGCAAACCCAGGACCAGTAAACCCTCTGCCCCATCTCAAGACGCAGCACCATGTTGTCTTTGGTGGAGAAAGGCTGGGGATGTGGGGTCCATGACGTGGGGTTCAGGGAATAGTCTAGATACTGGCCTGAATTGGGCTCTCTTGATACCTGCTCAGTATCCTGAGGCGGTAAGGGTTGATTGGCTTGCATGAAAACAACTGCACATAACCCACATGAAACCTGAGACACTGACAAGAACCATAACCCTTGCTTAAGAAGAAATTTCTAGCTTCGCACCGCACCTGCTGGGACCACGCCACGAGACAGCGCCTCAGCATTGGCGAAATCCGACCATCGGGAAACTGAAAATGTCAGTTTCATGTATTAAACGGCCCGACCCAAACAGAAATACGGCTCGCATCCACGTTAGGCCCGGCAAACACCGAACCAAACGCCAGCAACCATCCTCCGTCGACACCCCCACACGCGTAACATAGGGGATAGAATACATATAACTCAAAGTAAGGTTGTGGGGACTTGTACTATGTGAACATACCGGAGAACACATGGTCGCTCAAAAGGCTTAGCCATGAGGCAGGTCGCTGTCTCCGTCGTTGTTGGCGTCACCTGTGCCGGCCTGTGCCTCCCGACCAGCTGTCTGGCATTCCCGAGCACATGCAGCTGCCCTGGGAACATCAGCGGTGGGTTTGCTGTATGCAATACAATACTGGAGAAGGATGTGGTAACCTCAAGAGGCGTGCAAGTTCTTGCTGTGTCTTGAAACTCCCTAGAAGAAAATAGTGATTGGCAAACCCGAAAACCCAAGAAGAAACCAGAATTGGTGGGCAAACCCGAAGCCCTAGCATCCACGTGGAGATGCTGGTTGGCAAACCCAGGCCCACAAAACACTAAACTGCAGTCCCTGTGAGCCCACAGCCCGCTGAGTTCAGATTCTTTCACATTTCGAAACGCTGAAGAATTTGCACCCCAACCCCGAGAGCCCTTCGCGTTTTGGCATGTGCAGGGCCCTCACTCCTGGAGCACCTATGAGCCCCCGGCGCGAAACGCGGAAGAATTCGCACATCAACCCACAGCCCCCTTGAGCCCCCTCTTAGGAGGCCTAGCAGGCTCCCTTCTTCCATGTTTTGGTGTTACCGAACCCTTGCACACCCCTCACAGCCCCCAAATAGCCCCCCAAGCACCCCGTGTGCAGACCCTTCTGAACCCACGGTTACATAAAAACAGCGAGCATCGGAAACACGGAACCAGCGACTAACAGAATCTAGTGGAGACGGAATAAATCAGTATAGGAACTCATCAGAAGTGTCTCCTATGAAGTCACACTTGCGTAAATAAATAGCAAACCGTCGGAACCGCCAACCGGAACTGCAACAATCGGAAACGCAAGAACCGAACCTTAATGATTCAGGTTCGGTTCACGGAAACTGCACGGAGGCATTTGGGCTTTGCAACGACCGCTAACGGACCTACACTGCCAGCACATCTTCCGTATCTGAGAGCTCTGCTTCACAATGGACAGCAGCATCATCCGCTCTTTCCCTGCGTGTTGGTTGCTGGAGGGTCGGTTCAAGCCCAACAAACTGGTTTCCCCGGAAAAAAGGAATCTCTGCTAGACTAGACCTCCACCCAGTCAAATCCAAACGCAAGACCGGATCCTTTAGAGCTGGATCTCAAGAGGGCTGTGCAAAACGGAGTGTGGACAAGCCCTTTACCCCCCGAAGAAGGCGGTACATGGAGCGATCTATCTAAACCCTCGACCCCCGCAAACCTTTAACTTTTTAACTACTTTTACGTGGGGTCCTCTACGCAGGACAGCTCTTGATGCCTTAGCTGGCAGCTGGGGTTTAGGTTTTGGGGGTTTAGGGGTTCTGAGACTGTAAGAACCAGCCTTGCACCGACTGCGCAATGAACTTCGCCCGCCGGTCATCTTGGCAACAGGGGGCTGCGTTATTGGGCTCGGGGAAGTTGTTGTCAGACGAGGAGTTAGAGAACATGATAGCAACGTAGGGTTCCGGAGCAACTATTCAGACGGCCATGTTAGGTGTCGCGGGCTCATGGTTTGAGGTTGCGGTTCAGCTACAGAATTTTATCTTTTCGCAGAAGATGTCCTTCTCATACGGAAAATCCCTGCTGCCGGTGTGTAAGGTCCGCTCTGTGCCGCTGCTCCATCTTGCGCCGGTCTTCCTGGCATCGTGGCTGTTCAATCATTCAACCAACCTGAGCCCAAACGCTGTAGCTGCTTCAGACCTCTACAGACTTGGTCGCGCCATGACTTTGCAAGCAGGGCCTCGTGCTGCCTCTTCGCCTCCTCGACCTTCCGTTCTTCGATCTGGATCTCGACAGACTTGCCTGCCATGGAAAACAGAAGTCAAGGGTTAGTGCGTGAAAGGACCCGTCATTTCTGAGCCCCCCATAAACACCCATATAGCAAAAACAAACGACCAAGGTAGGAGTACGTCTCTGAACCTTTGGTCGCGGCTTCGGGAATCGGGGCTTCAGGTATGCAGGCTTTCGGTGGTTCTGTGGCTCGTCTCGTTCCTACATTGGAATCATGAACAAATATGAGACCGAGTATTACCCTAAGCCCCAAGAGTTGCAAGCCCTGACACAAGCCCTAAGCGCGAGAATCCCCAAAACCACAAAATCCACTCCAAGCCCCTGAATCTTCAAGGCATCGAGATCGAACCCCAAGCATGCGGAGCTGGGCGGAACTGCATGAACATCTCCTGGGCATGCATGTTTGAAGTGATTCATGAAGCAATGGAGTTTGAAGTGTCTGGCGAGGGGTTTCTTAGCGCAAAGTGGGGCTTCTTATGGTTGTCCTAAAGGTCCTTTTGAAGGAGGAGCGGGTAGGAGCGCAATCACTTGCGTATGAGGAGATCCAATCCGAAGAGGTACCTAGATACCTGGCCACTACACTTGACTTGAGGCTGTCGGATTTCAGGCGTTTTTTGGGTTTCACACAGAGAACAATTCTGATATCCCTAGTGCTGAAGGGATGTAGGCTGAGGGCCGTTTTCGGGACTTCTCGTGAAGGGTCCTCCCATTTCAGGATCTTCATTTTCGGAAGCTGCCGCTCAGATTTAAGCATGAGGCAGACACTGATGCAGCATCATGGCCCGAATATAACAGTGGCCTCAATAAGTAGGCTAAGATTTGCTTGAAAATACAATGATGTGGACCACGTCTCGAATACAACTCCTAATGATGCACACCATCATTAAAAAAAACGCATATGAACCCCATGCAAACTCCATTTTTTTGAATCCCGGTGGAAATCCCTCCTTCAAATCATGTCTTAAATCCCAGACCCTGTTTCATTTGTGGTCAGAGGTGCCGCCAGGAGAGACTCGTGGTGCTTCTGGAAGAACCTTGCAGCGATACCTTGGGGTTGGGGGTTCTAGGGGCTTAGGACTTGAGTTGTAGGATTTAATACGCACGTTTCCGGCGATTACGATTCCCAGGGTCATGGGCCTCGTGCTGCTTGCTTACCGTATGTTGCCGAGATTCATGAGTCGCAACCCTGAAATACCCTGAGCCCCACAAGCCTTACATCGCGCATGCGGCATACGAGCCCCCCGGCCGAATGAATGGAAAGCCAGTCGCAGCAGAGCCCGAAATGCATGTCAATGTGTAGCAAGCATCACCGTGCTTACACCCTTCAGCCTGGGTCCTAAACCAACTTCATGCTTCGTATAGGGCCATAGATGTACATATATATATATATAGTTACATGCAGATATGAAGAATCTAAGCCAACGCACGTCAATCCCCAAAGCTTACACCCTCATCGACTCTGGCCATCAGCGGGCGGAAGGCCCGATCCATGTTCGCCACCTGGCGCGGTTTTTTCCAAAAGCTTTGAACACCATCATGGCTTTATATGGACTTCAAACTCGTCTAGGCTTCTTTGTAATTCGGTGGTCAGGGTTGCTTGCGCATGTCCGCCGCCCAAGAGCACTATGCAAGCGCTTAAGATTACAAGACGTGAAAGCATGAACCCTGAACCTGCAAGCTAAAGTCTTCTAGCACTATAGACCTTCTTGGAATGAAACCCGCCTGAGCCCTGATCCCCTAAACCTGATTCTCCTTTTCACTTCCGCCATTGCTGGGTCAAACGAGGCTGGAACAGAACCACAGCGTCGCATGCAATGTGACAAGACAGGCCACGGCCGGAAGGCTTTCGCTTTGGAATGCCTGGGTTCCTCTCTTTCATAATGGGTTTGGGGTTTTCAAGGTAATTTTATGCGGGCCCTTGGGGTTTGAGGTTCTGCACGTCGGGCTACCTACGTCGGGCACTCCGACTCCTCTATAGAAAACCTTCCAGCGCAGGCAAGGCATCAGTGCACACATACAGGTGGATGTGAGTCCGCCACCGTTCGCGGCCCTTTCCCTTTCGAGTCAGGAAGAGATGACCCAAAACACAAGAGTTGCGGATTAGAAGTTTACGGTCTGGGCTCCATGTTGTCTGATCTGGGATGGCTGAAGGGAAGATGGGAATGCAAGGGGGAGCCCTAGCGGGCTGCGCCTTTGAAAGGGAAAGGGGCTTCCTCGGTTGCCTAGACTTCCACAAGGTCCCCGTCTTTGCTTTCAAACAGGAGGAAACGTGCCCGGGTCAGGCAGCAGCATGCAGCGACGGTCGGCACTGCGAAGCTGACAAGCAACAAGCCTCGGGGTATAGGCATCGAAAAAGGTGCGAATGCGAAGTCGAGCATGAATTGACAATCGGACGTAGCCTTGTCTTCCCACACTTCAGGACACGTTGGGTGTAGTAGGAACAGGTAGGCCAGCAAAAAGAGCATGCTCGGGACCAGGGCACAGCTTCCTAGCCACACCCAGGCCCCCGGAGAGTCTCCACAGCCGCCACAACAGCCAACTTTCCGCCCTTCCCTGCCGTCCCTGCCGTCCCTCTGAGCTCCTTCAAAATGAAGGCAGCTGACCACGGCCAGGAAGCTCAGTGAAAGAGAAAGCTGTCTGCCACGAAGGGGCAGGTCTGGGCTAATCCTGCAGCGGCTCTTGCAAGTAGCAAGGCTTTCATGCGCCTTCTGCTCTTCTTCCCAGAGCAAAGCACACTTTGGACAGCTGTCGTGCAGGGAACATTTGTATCTTTCCCGGCACTTCCGGCTGTCGCCGATGCAAGCACGTGGGCCCATGGCAGGCGACTCGTAACATGAAGACGATTCATTACACTTCTCTTGGCAGCTGTTCCAGGCCTCCTCCAGGGGAGATGTGACCCCCAAAACTAGGAGGGCTGATGCGGCCAGGCACAAAAAGGCCAGAACACCTGGGCTTCGACAGTGTCGCACGACTCCTGGAAACATGTTCTGGCCACCACACGCATCGTGGATACTGGGCAGAGTAGGCATTGCCGGCCGGAAACGGCGTGCACTACAGGGGCCGAAAGAGCTCTTGAGTATTGCTCCCAATGGTCAACCGGGAATGGCTTCCAAGCTTTAACTCAATGAATAACAGAAGCACAATGAGCAACCATTAAGACTGTGAAGTGATTGAGGCCCCTCGTTTTGGCAGCGTCAGTTTTTGAGCCAAGATGCCACAGAACACCCAACCTCGAAGATTGAGCAAGCAGGATACGTGCAAGCCTGCGAGTCTGGTCAGCTGCGGCAGCAGCAGGAAAAGCATCAATGCTTCATTTTCACAATACCGGCACTGATAGTGCAAGAAAGGCATAAGAATATTGCAAGTGGGGAGAATACCATCGGTAGCAATACTGACAGTCAGCAGCAGCAGCAGCAGCAGTAGAAGCATCTTCATCGCCAGCACCTTATTTGCACATCTTGTGACCAAGTTGTTTCGTGACAACAGGATGGTCGTTGCAGACGTGTGCTTTCAGCCGGTGCGCTGCGGACGTCCTTCCACGAGAGGCCCAGTAATCTGTAGATCTAGCTATCCATCTATCTATTTGTCTATTTTGGCTGCTGTCCCTATCTTGTTTCCTCCAGTCATGTAACTCCTGGTGCTGACCTGCTTTGCTACAGTGGTCGCCAATGGCTATAAGATTAAAGATTCCGCCTGACAATGCCCAAACGCGGCCCTAGCTTGCCTTCTTGCGGTAGTTTACATTTACGCCTCCACAGTCCTGAGGTCTGCGAACAGACACGACGGGTCCCCAACAAACTCGACGAGGGCACCTCGAAGTCTCTGGTAGCTGCCGGCATGAAGGACGTCGCCCACACAAGTGGCCGCAACGAACACCCCTCTGACTCCCCTGACATCCTAAGCCCTAAGCGGGTCACGATTCGGCGTGCGGCCGAGAAGCGAAAAAACCCAATCATCCTCAAGTCCGAAACCTTGTACGCAGCCCAACATTGAAATCCCCGAAACCCAAACAAACACAAACACAACCACAAGCTACAGTCGAAGACCATAGCGACCTTGAGGTCCCCACCCACCCGACACCCGAAGAGAGACCTTCAAAAGCGACCGTTCGATGTACCTAGGCTTAGACGCAAAGTCAAAACTCCACAGCCGGTGGACCCGGGAGCTGCAGTTACCATTCGCCTGAGGTTTGTAGCACCCAGATCTGCTCTGAGACTGCATCCTGCATCGTATATTCTGTTATTCTTATTGGTGTTGTTATTCCCATGGTTGGTATCCTGACTACCCGTATCACTGTTATTAGTGTGGGTACCATTACAGTTAATATGTCTGAACCACTATGCCTCTTGCATCGATTCTGGCGCCATTACGTACAAGTTATTGAAGACAAGGGCAATTAAGGGGCACTTGGGAGTGTCTCTCTGCGAAGGGCCACACTGACTAGAGCCCCGAATGTCAAGGCCCAGACTGTGAGCTTTCATCTTTGCGGCTTCCTGGCTCGGGTTGAGGGATATGATATAACCAATGTAGTACTCAGGTTAGGAATTTAGGCCTTATAGGGCTTAGGGTTAATTGTTTTGGGTTCTAGACTAATGAGGACCCCTGATGACTTCAATATTAATTCAACATTCGGATCCCAATGTTTGCCCTCATATCGGGAAGCGCTGATTCCTCAGGGGGTCCTCTTTAAGATTTGTAGGTGGCTTCTGTTTTCCAGGAGCGATGGGTTTGCTTCACCCAGGAAAGTAGGAGGCATAAGAGTCGAGCAAGCTTCGCAGCCTTACGTAACAGACGCGATCGAAGTGCCAAATGCCGAAGCCCAAAACCCCGAACCAGGCAGCCGCAAAACCCTGCGATCCCAGAGCCCAACAGCTCGAAACTCGTAAAGACCAAGAAGCCTAAAGCCTGAAGCTCTAAGCGGCCCAACCCCAAAGCCAGAGCCTCATAACACCATGAGTCTAGCCAAACACAAAGCCGGCAGGGCTCTTCGTAGGCCATCTAACCTCGCCAACTCGATCTTGTTGGCTCGATCTTTGTCAGCCTCGTCTCAGGAGTTGGGGAGGGTTTAGCGGTCGATATGAGCCATGGCTCTTGGGCTTACGGCGTTTGGCGGTTCCCCGCCAGTTTCCCTACAAAGAAGTCTGATAAGGCTTCAAGATTCCCACAAGGGGGTCTACAGCCTGTAAACGATCGATCGCGAGGGCTCCTGTAAGTGGCTTCCAGAGCTACTCGCTGCAAGTAGGGCCACGAAGAGACAAACTGCTAATCCTAGGCCTGATGAAAAGAAGGGACTCCGAATAGGATTCTTAATTGAAGAATGTCTAGGACCGTCCAAGACAAGGGACATCAATTGCCAAAACCTCAGATTAGGTGAGTCTTGCAGGAACTTAGAACTCTCGGGCGCGGGCTTGCTGCCGTGACATCTTCTCCTCCTGAAACATTCCAGCTTAGAGGCCAGAAGCTGTTCTGGGCTGGAGTAAAGGTGGTTGGAAGTTGCTTGTTCTTATTTTCTGTCCTGGGGACACTTAACGATAAGCTGCTTGTGGAGTGTCGCGCGCGAGCTCGAAAGCTTCTAAATACCCTTCCCTGACGTGCAAGGATCAAAGGCTGAGAGGGTAGAGAGTACTGGCAACGTAGTTTCCTGGCCAGGACCCAGCATGGGGCCCCTCAACCCAAAGCCCCAAAACTCCACAGAAACTAAACCCCAAACAAGAGCCTTCCTCACTCACCGGAGTGTTGGGATATAATATCCCTGCGCAGCTGCTCTTACTCATGCTTGAGGCTTCTTTAGTTAAACCAGCCCAGAGCCCAAAACATGGGTCCTGGGCAGCACCTCTCCAAAGCGTGAAGACCGCGGAGAGGAGATGAGTTTGCTGGTGACCTGTCGGGATGGTGCCCAGGCTTTCCAATGTCCCTTAATTTTTCTAGATACCTTAATCCATATGAGAGATCCGACTTCATTTGAAGGTATGTTCCTTAAGTGAAAGGGATATTGGAAGGTCTGGTGAGGGGACGTTGGGGTCTCTAGTCAGACTCAGTAGTCAGCCTCCCGTAAAAAGGAACATGCTAGGGATAATTCAAGATTAAACAAAGCCCCTACAGAAAACAAAGTTCATCGGGCGTAAAGCTCAATACAGCGGCCTTGGTGAATAGAACATGGCTTTAGGGCATATGATGCTGTGAAGATACAGACGATAGCGGAACTCTGTTGCTGACATCGCGAAGTCTGTGAATAAAATGGCGCAGTCCTTCACATGGATAATGCCCCCCGAAACCTGAACCCTTATGAGCCCTGTCGAACGACTGCTGAGTAAGATTTAGAGCGGAAGAAGTCTGCTAACATGCAGCTTTGGCCATCCTTTGGACCAGCAGGCTGCGAACAAACTTGAACCCTCACCGCCTTGAGCCCTGAAGATCGCCAACCCTACACCCCTACCCCCTGAACCCCCAAAGCCTCAATGGAGGCTATACTTCACTGGGGCCTATTAGCGCGAAGGGTTTAGGTCGGTAAGCCCTGAGAGCCAGAACCCTCAAGCCGAGAAAGCTTGCTGAGGCATCCGCCCAGAAGCCGGACGGCCATCCGATCTCGCGTCACCTTGTCTCGATTAGACATGTGACCAGGGTCTTGGAGGGTTTACTTCTCGATTATGATCATACGTTGAGGCAAGCTTGGAACAAGATTCCGATCTATCTTTAAGACCCGCAGAACTGGATTCAGGGCTCACCATCTGTGATGCAAACAAAGTCTTCTTTTAGCTTCCTTTTCACCTTTGAACCATTGGTGCATGAGTCCTTGGAGCCTGAAGGACAGGGCTAACCACAACATTATTCACTTTTGGTTGGATCGAGTCGGAGGTTTTGGAGTTTGGGAGGTGCCTTTTGGGCAAGGGTGAAGGAAGTCCTCACGATAGGGGCCTTAATATGTCGAACAGAGTTTTTGAAAGTCTCGGACGAGCCGCTGAAACCATAAACTCCTTCAAGTACTCACAGGGCTCCGACGACGAGTAACAAAGGGCCCACAACCAGAGTTTTGGGATATAGTATTGTATATGTATGTAGGGATTGCAGGGGCATTGCAAGCTTCACAGGACCCGAATCGAAGTTCAAGTTTTCAGGCCACCTCCCGAACCTGAAACCCAATTTGCTCCTTCAAGCTATCCTCAGTAGCCCTGGGCTTTTGCTGTGCGCTTATGAAAGAAGGCTTCGGAGTCCGCTGCTGCATCCAAGTAGCATTCATGGCCTTGTCTTTCTCCAGCTTCAGTTGGGTGTACTCCTCGCCAGAAAGCCACCGATGTCACGCGCACCACTGCCCTGAAGTCCAATAGCAACGAATCCTTTCCTGGGAATTCTTGCATTCCGTTCGCTTTGTCAGTCATTCTTGTGGATGGGTGCACGAAATCGAAAAGAGGAATGTATGTAGCCTGCACATGCCTCTCAACATGTACTTATGCTATGTTGTCTGTGCATTCCGAGGCGCTTGGTAGACTCCCACGATGAAGAGGAGCCGACTTGGAAACTCCAAACCCCAAACAGCAAACTCAATGAAACCTGAACACACGTCTCCTGCTGCGCCTTCTGGCGACCCAGAGCCTGTTCGCATTTTGTATAGGTCTAACATGTGATGCAAGGTCTGTTAGGGTTTTATATCTGGGGTCTGCCTCGAGTTCGCCGCTTTGGGTCAAAGAGTTATATGGTTTAGGAATTTAGGGATCTGAGGCGAATCTAAGGCATCGGAACTTTTCGGTAAACTGGGAATCCTAACCCCATGGGGACCCAAAGAACTTCAACTGTTTTGAATTTACTAGCTCCCTGAACCCTGAATCCCTGGAACTAAACCAACCAGACAACCTACAGCTCATCTGGTTAAGACGCCTGAACCGAGGACCTGAACCCCACACTCTGTAAATCCCACAATGCTAAACTCTGAAATCCGAGATCCGTTAAACGCAACTTCCCGAAACTCTAGACCCGCAAACCCTAACCCTAAATCCTAGACTCCCAGACCACCCTCAAACCAGATCTCACACCAAACCCTCCAAGAAACGGAGGATCTTCGGAGAAAAGGCGAAAACCCATGTATGAAACCCTAAACAATGCACATCCTTATTCTAAGAACGAGCACGGTGTTCGCTAATTGCTGTGCAAGCCCATAAGCTGCTTTTGGGGCATCGCCGAGCCTCATCGGCTTCGCGCTTCGAAGCCTAGCACAATTCGGTGCAGCAGCTGAGGTCCAACAGGACGGAACTCATTTTACCTGAATTCCCATACCTCTCAAACTAGTAGTTTTTTGACCCATTAAGTACCAGGGTCTGGTCTAACCTTCAAAACTGCGGGTTGTTGGATACCCGGTACGGATTGGGGACAACTCCCCCATCTCCAGATTTCGTTTTGGCTTAGGCACTTGGCATTTCGAGCTTGGGGCTGGAGGCGAATGTGGCTTCGGGCTAGTCTTCGAGCCACGCTCCCATGGATACCTAATTTTCGCAAAACCTCACACCCTTCGCGGACATGATCGGCATCAGGATTGTAGCTGTCAAGGCGCCGAGGCTCCGAAAGCCGCCAAACTGCTCCAACATTCTAAAACTTAAACCCCTGCATCCCCGTACTGTCTCTAGGTGCTGCATGGTGTTGTTTTGCAAAGGGGCGGTCTACATGGGGGTGCTTCGGAAGTCACGGCGCCTGCGTGGCCTGGCGCCATGCAACGACGCAGACGGACAAGGTGCTGTTGCGCTCGAAGCCTGGGTTTGGGAGGGTTTGGGGCTTTGGGTTCGGCGATTCGAAGCTCTTAGAGGGGGTACCTGAACTGGTAGGGTCTTGATCCTTAGGGTTTTTGGGGGTACCCGGGGTGGGGCTGTAGCACTTTAGTTGGGTGGGATTTGGGGATTGACGACCAAGTTTCTAATGTTTCGGTGAGCATCAGGGAGATTAGTTCCTTGCGATTTTAGAGTACTTCGAAATTTTCTTTGCAAAAGACGATCAGGAGATGCGTTTTGTCGTTTAAGCTTTCGGAGGACTGGAGGGGTGTGTGAGTCTGAGGTGAGATCGGGTCCTTTCTGGTTGGAGGTTGGAATTAGGATGTTTGAGGATACTGTTGTGAACACCGTGAGTATATGAACCATTGACAGCCTCATCGATGCAAGGCTTTGGATATTTCGGGACCCGGGTCCAAAGTGCTTGGAGCTTTTACTTGTTGTAGGATCGTGGGATACTGGCTATATGGAAACGGATTCTGCCCAGCGCTGTAGACGCACGTGGAGAAAATGTGAACGAAGAGCTTCACCAGGCACGATTCAGGAACATGAAAGACGAAGCGCAAAAGATGATTTTTTGGCTGGTTCTGCTATGCAGGTCCTTTGCACTTCGTCTCTGGTTTCCTACCATTCCAGCGTTGAAGTTGTCCTTTCTCTCCCGCTCGGTTCAGGATTCGGGGACGCCGTAGGTGGGGTCATACTTCAAGCCCCATCTCGCCAGAAGAAGACTCCGGGTTTGGAGTGCGTTCTTCCCAATCTCTGACGTCCCCTAAACCCCAAACCCTGAATCCTAAACCCTAATTAAGCGCCACAGTGGTGCCCAATTTCTCTCTGAGGTCCCCTCTAGTGAGAAGGCTGAGGCCGGAGCTGACCATGTTCAGGGCGATCTGCCGGGATTTGGCATCCTTATCTCAGCTTCGGGGATATCAGCCGAGAGACATCTTGCGGCAAACGCAAAGAACTGAAGACTGATCCTTTACAGAAACATTTCAAGGTTTGGGATCTAGGTCTCCACAGTTCAATCTTGCACCCATACACCGCTCACCTATGATGCAGTGCAGCCAAGCTTCATTCAGCTTCTCTGCTTCCCGCTTCTGACGCCGAATCTCCTGGTGAATGAGTGGAATCATGTTGCAGCCACCAGGCAAGAATTACAAACCTCACAGACTTCAAAGCCCAAACCCCGGAAACCGGTAGTCATACATGCTCAACCACCCCAGCTGTGCAAAGCCTCTTGATAAAGCTTTGCATACCGAATCACTGCTGTCCCTGTCCTCCTGCAACTGATCCCTCATTTCAGCCTCAGAGCAGAACACGGCCGGACTCTGCTTGTCTCTTCGCTCATGTTTGGCGATGCTTCTGCGGGCTTAGGGCGCATATGGGCTTGATCACAGGCCACTGCGCGGACCTGTGGAAGCCCGGGACGCATCACAACTTGGATGCCAGATGGGCTTGCGGCTTGCGGGTTTAGTATTCAGGGCTTCCGCTGTTTAGGCGTTTAGGGGCTTTGTGGATTAAGCCGTTTAGGCTTCTTGGTGTGTTGGGGTCAGACATTGCCGAGTTTAGGGTTTAGCCTTGGCGAGGGTTTTGGCCACCACACCGGATTGCTACAGTGGTGTTTTAGGATGCGAAGAAATGTTTGGCCAAAACGGAAAGCTTGATTCTTGGAAGAGCAGCAAAAAAAGGCAACGATGTTAACCAGCAGCTTTCTGGAACGATGACCTTGGACGACACGTGACACTTGGCTGCCTATAGTACCGTACTTAACACCAACCCATTATAATGCTTGCCGTATTTTACATGATGATAAATTATCTAATATTCTAAACTGCGAGAATATCTGATGCCTCATCAACCGCCTGGGTGGCGAACTTCGCTCCGTTCCCGCTTGCTGTCCTGAATCAGCAGCTGAACGGGTTCCACATCAGGCAGCATGTAGCGCTTTTTCTTTAAAGGGCCAGAAAAGCCCGGCGGAAGCAGGACCATCTGTCTTGGCTTCGCGTGTTTGGAATGATATACCCTGAGAGGATGTATTGCCTTCAACCCCAATCGCAACACCCTCAGCCCTACACCCTGAATTGCCCTTTCTGGTTACCATTGCTGGACCCTGCTCTTGAAATGGGTGCGCACGAGGATCAGACAACGACTCCGGGTCTGGGCCTGTCTTAATCTCCCCACCATGCAGGGGCCTTCGTGTAGCTTCGCCACTGGAGGAGGCAAACGGACAGAGTGGCCCCGGTCATTTGGCCTCGGTGTGGAGGGCTAAGCAGGGTTTGGGGCCTAGGCTTAGGTAATTGTGTGGGCTCAAGGTACTGGCACGTAGGGTATTCGGGCTCCGGGCTAAGGGTGTGGGGCACTGCCTGTCGATCTGAGCTTGAAAACGAACGTCGCGATCGTACATTTCTCCCTACAAAGCCGACACCCCCATACCATCTAGGCCATGGACTGAGCGTCCCCTTCACCATCTTCTCTCTGGCCAGCGCCTCTAAGCCACAGAAACCGCACAAGAAAAACGGATTAGGGGTTTAGGCCGAATCTTACAGTAGAACATGGCGTAAGGATGGCTTGCTAGAAAAAGCCGGAAGCTTCAGCATTCGAGGTTTAGGGCTTGTGGGCTTAAGGCCTGCGATTCAGAGTACAGGGTTTTAGGCTGTACTTGCTACCGATCTCTCACACAGGCCATTCATGCCGATGTGGGAATCCACTGGAATCCGGCAATCTTTGCATTGAGGAAAATACCCATCAAAAGTCCTCACAGGCCCAACAGACTCTTCGAAACGGAACATTCTTGGGTCCCGCATTGATTGGTGATGACTTTATGAATTAGGATCCTACTTCGATATGCTGAAACTAGGGGCCCTCAGCGTGACTCCGGCTTGGAAAGCTGCCCAAAACGAAAGGGTCCCGCGAGAGGTTTTATGACAACAAACCCCTATACGGATGCCAGAGATCTTCTGCCAAATTCATCGACGAGGCTTGTTGGTGGTGAGCCTCGCCTTCACGTCAACCCTAAAACCCTGGATAACCCTAGTTGAGCAACCTAAATGACCCTCACGTAAAAGCTCTGGATAACGAACTAAGAAGAAGAACAACATACACTTTGCAAGGGGCCTCCATGTCCTTCTGCTTCTTATGCATGACTCTGAGGTCCTTCGTCAGAGTCTATGGGGTCTAAGCCTTTGGGCTTGTGTTTTAGGGTTGATGTGTTTGGCATTTGGGCGGTGATGGCTGAAGGATTCGAGGGTGTAGGATCTCAGGTTCCGGGATATATGCGTTTGGAATTCATGCTTCCTGCTGGGACGGAACCCGAAGGATTGCTATGTTCGCTGTTTTTGTTTGAGAGAACTGTGGTGCCCAGATATACTGGGTATCCAAAGCTTTGCAAAGTCCCTATGCAAGTGAGGATTATACGTAATGTAATGTATATGGTATACTCTAAACTATAGATTCATTATGTATTCTATCTGATATGATGCAGGAGCTTCAGAGATCAAAGCCCCGCGGCCCTCCTTCTCATAGCTGCTCGCGAGCTCCTCCTGGCCCAAAAAGGGGGTGCTCTGAAGCCAACGGCGGGGGCGCCGCACGGGCTTTGGAGCCCAGTTCCTTGTAATCGAGCCCTCATGCCAAGCATCGGGGCCCCCGGAATCAACAGCGCTCTGAGACTCACTCCCCTAGAAATCTCCGAACTCCAAAGTCCAAGACACCAGGAAACGCTTGGACACCCGAACTCTGACAGGGAGCCACGGCGTGGCCTTTCGACGAAGAAGATGCTCTTCCTGCCAGTGACGGTTTCAGGAGAGCTGCATTCGGTCACCGATGAAATCACAACTTGCGAACTAAAACAACACCATTGAACCCTGAACACTGCATCGTAAGCCCAGAACCCCAAACTCCAAGCCCTAAATCCGCCTAATACCATGGAACCCTTTCTGGCCCCGGAGCAATCCGGCCTGGCATGCCGTGGGAAGTGTACACGGTCTGATCGTCTGATAACTGGCCCTAGACTATCGAACACATAACCTACTGAACCCCGACCTTAACCTCTTCTTGGTGCTACTTTGCAGACAACAACCGGGACTCCTACATGCCTTTTCTCGGCTTTTATTGTTGGCCCACCAAACCCCAAACCATACCGCGAAGCCCTAAGCTTTAAACCGAAACTTTCGTTAAGCTCTAACCCTTGAGAAAACTTGATAAGCCCGAAACTGTAGGCCCTATAAACTTACTCTATAAACCCTAACAAAAGCTAAGGAAGCCTTCATACACCTGCCGGATGCCAGGGCCTTCGCATCGGCCTTCCACGCTGTGAAGACCACAGACAGCAGCTCTGCACGCTGACGCCCTGAGCCACTCTTAGGGCTGTCAGCACCACGGTTTAGGATTTAGGGTTTGGGGTTTAGGGTGATCACTACGAAACCCAGCCTTTTCTGGACTTCCTACAACAAAGGCTATCAGTAGCGACTAGACAAGTTTCCAGGTCCAGGCTTAGAGCATGGCGGGCACCTGCCAATCCCCCAAAGACTCCCAAAGCCCGAATACACAGGAGTGTTTGCCGAGCCAAGGTCTCTCTTCACCCGATTTCTCCCGAAACATTGGCCTGCGAAGGCCAGGAAGATCTTGTCCTGCTTGGTAAGTCGGGGCTTATCATATAGGAGCCTTAAAGACTAGGGGTCTGTACCTACGCTTTCTGACGTAGCCTAATTTTGTGGGAAGTTTCCCGGAAACAAAACGGTCTGGGGGTGTTACTCGGGGTCTTAGAGGCTTTGCAACATGAGGTTTGGACGCTCTGATCAAGGATGCTTTGGACGACCACATGGAACCGCCTGTGATGAGGATTCAGCATTCATGTTGCAGTTGGCAGGTGTGGGACGCCTAGGAGTGCAAAACCCTGCAAGACAGGTCAAGGGAGAAGCTATCAGCGAAGCTTTTGAACAACTTCTGCCTCCGAGATCCGAGCTGGCTACACACATGCAGATCCCTGAGCCAAAACAACCCAGACGCGTCGAGTCCCTTTCCTGAAGCTGATTTCGAAGCCATACTGGGCACGATAGGCCATGGTCCTTCGTGCGATTGATCATCTCATTCCTCTGCTTGTCCATCTGCCTGTGTAGCGTGGGGTGAGGAGCTTCGTCTTCAAGAAAATGGTCTTCTGTATGAGTATGACACTAACTCTTTATTATTGACACACAAGTAGTGGTAACAAGTAAATCTATATATGCATACAAGCACACCTGTAGGTGTTTAGGTATATACCTATACACATAAATGCAAAGGGGTGTATTCATTTACGTATTTGTTTATATAAACACACATGTCATGGGTCTGTATGACTCAGACTTTACATGTCAGGGGCTTCGCATCTGGCAAAAACCATGCTTAAACTTATGAGGTGAGACTGAGGTGAGGATTTCGCACTCAGGCATTGCAGGCATCGGCGGGGACAGCAAAACAAGTTCAGTGCTGCAGCAAATCGAGGTCCCAGCGCTAGGGCGGCTAGGGGGAGATTGAGTCAGGCCGTAACTCGAAAGTAAGATGAAGCATGTAGATTTTCCAAACAGGCCAGGGTTGTGCAACATATAACGGAATCTCACCAAGCAAGAGTCTTCTGGTCGTAGATTTATCCGACAAAGCGTTTGGAACTCCGAGCCTAAGCTGTGGGCTCACGTGCGCCCCTCCACGAGAACCGAAGGAGTCCCAAATGAATACCTTGACCTTTCTGAAGGTCTTAGAGTTCAGAAGCCCTGCCGGGCAGCCGAAGAGAGTCTGAACCTTAAACCCCATAATCCGCTGCCTCATCTTTCCCGTGAGCTGCTCCACCGCCTGGTTCTGCTGCCGCTCCGCAATGGCTGCCTTTGAGGTTGCAAGCATTTCGTTCAAAGGGCTGTGGGTTTAGAGTCGGGCTGCCGTATTTGCCTAACAGGCGACCGGCATCTCAGGACTCCACAAGCCAGTACAGAAACATGCTATTCCTGCCCTTCAGCCTTTCAGTTCGGCTTGGGCATTCCCCAGCTCGATACCTTGAGACACTTCCCGGCCACGTCCCCGCCACAAGCTTCATTCCCCAATCGGCCCAAGGCCTGATGCCTGCTCTTCTTAATTATGCATCTCTCTGGAGGGAGACTCAAGTTGTCAAATGTGATAAGTGTAGCTGCTACACAACTAGTACCCTCAGGATTCTTGGCCAGGGGCTCCACTGCACCCAGCCCCCCCCCACCCCCCTCGAATCTTACACCCTTGGTCAACTGAGCCTCCCAAACCAAGCGCCAGTTGTTGACCTCAGTCGAAGCGCTTCGTTCTAGACTGCAAGATGCTTTAATTAGCGAGTTTGGATTCAACTTTTAGGGTTTGCATGGTCCAGACCTGAGGGATTTGGGGCTGCTGGGCCTACGAGTCCAAGGGACTTGGACTTGTTGGGTTTTGGGCTTGTGACTTCTGAGTCTGGTCTCTCAGCTTAGCGAAGCCTGGGGACGACGAGGTGGAACATGCTTAGGATGGCAGTGGCTGCAGTTCTCGTGTTTGCGTCGTGGTTTACTCCGATCGCCTTCTCAGTCGGGAGGTGTCGTGTGTTGAGATGACCCAAATCTGGCCAAACTTCAAACAGATTCTGGTCCCGGTTTAGGGTTCCCAATCGGCCCCAAATGAGGGGCAGGCGCAGAGATGCAGAAGGGAGCGATTTCCTGTCGTGCCGCTTCTCAATTGTGAGACAAACTATCAGAGGCTTTAGGGCTTCACGGTGGAGCGTTTTTGGCACTCTCGCGACCTTCGTTTTCGGGCGGGGTCTACACTCAAGACTCCGTGGTCGCTGCACTTCGTGCCCACAAGTGGTCATGACACGTCCAACTGGCCGAGTTCCAAATATGGTTCTGCTGAATGCCGACAGAAATGACAGAGGTGAATATGTCAACAGCAGCAGTAAGCTGGCGAAGGCGGCCAGGTTGAGGAAAAGCAGCTTCAATGAGGGTGGGTCGGCACAGAAAGGTCCAGCGCGACACCACTATGAGACATGAGCAGTTCTGCCTTTTTGAAGAAACCAAGAGACACCAAAGTCATGGCCTGTTGAGTTGAACTGCGATGCCATCAAGCCTTTCATCTTCTGCATCCTCTCCTTGGGCGGCTTCGTGGGTTCGAGGCTCAAGGTTGAGATGTCTTGGGAGTAACGAGTTTGGAGTGTGTAGCCTCAGAATTCCGAATCCGTGTTGCTGCCTTCAGCTAGTGGATCATAGAGGCCATACCGGTGTGCCGGGCATCACCCCAAAGGTGGGGAGTAATCGTGGAATGGCTTCTGCTCGGACTCCCGCAGGTAATCGGGTAGTCACTCCCACAGTTGCTCCTGTTTTGCCCCGGCCCTGAAGACTTTCCGAACCGTCTGCTAGTGCAGCAGGGTCCTCAGGTTTGCGCATTTCTGCAGCTGCGCAGTATACTAACAAGTGTTGCTGCTGATGACCACGAGCACTCAAGCAGCAACACACACACACACAACCATGCTGACAGATTTGCATGTATGCGCAAAGTCATAATTTCCAACACCTAACCAAACAGCCGTCGAATCAGCCCAACAGTAGGTCTTCAGGAAGCATCGCAAACACGCCAAGAACGAGGAAGCCTCTGCAACACATGTCACGACTAATGCTCTAAGCGGCAACCCTTAAATCCCCGACCCAAATCCTTGCCTGACATCCCCAGGTTAGTAGCCACCAAACCTTGCAAATGCTTCTGCCTGCCAGGGATAATCCGCTCACTTTGCCGAAACCCCCGAAACCTGCACAGTGCTTTGGCAGCCCTGTGAGGAGCCACGGACCTGTCACCCTCTTCCCCCAAGATGGATCTATCCGAACCCGGAAAACTGGTGCTCGAAGTCGAAGAGTCCGCTTCAGATCGCTTCATCTTCTCCACCTGTGGCTTTATGCATTCAGGGAGCTGCGAGTGCAAGTTGCCATGACAACTCGCACTACTAGGAAGCAGGAATTATCGATCGGGGCTGCACGTGCTCTGGTAGGCAGCAGGAAAGCATCAGGGAAGCCGGGAAGCCTACTTCAGAGGATTCTCGGTTGCAGACTCTCTGAAGTGAGCTGGGGCTCCTGTGGCATCTCTGGGATACCCTGCCTGGTCGCGATGCTGGATTCTCTCTGCATGCTGCTGCTGCTCCAAGAGGTGCTGCCTCCGGGCGATCGAGTTCGAGATCCCATGATGAGTATGATTGAGGGCACGCTCAATAGAATTGCAGCCGGGACTCTACTTAAGCATGGCTTCTTTCGGCAGGGATGGTTGGATCCCGTGCTGAGTCTGGCTTTTGCTAGGACTCTAAAGGTGCGAAGGGCGAGCTGAACAAGGTGAGGTACGGGCTTGATGGCGCTGGCCTGCCATTCGGATGCCATGCTATGCCTCTGGACCAGCGCTGCCGCTGCTGTTCTCACAAGTCTTGGGCTCAACCAATTAATACCGCTTCTGCTGGCCGTTTGGCAGTAGCCTCACTTTGGCGGTATTCGTGCCAATATAGCAGACCGGCTCCCAGCTGCCCCTTGCCTACAGCTACTTGCCTCCTTCTCCAAGATTTCAAAACATCGAATCACCCACCCTGAACCCCACTCCAGGACCGGACGCCGACCAATGAATCCCGGAACGCTCCTACCAATGACTCGGCGAAGATAATTCCATACTTATTATAGACACCTCAGAGCCTTACTGCCGCAAGCCCTGCGACTAGTCAAGCGAAAAAAATTGACCGGGTGTACACACTGCCACGATGCTCCAGCGAAAGCTACAATCCCCCATTAAGTCTATGTTGAGGTCCTAGCTGTTCAACCCTGTGTGGTAAGAAGTCTGGCATAACGATGCTGCTCTCCCCTGTGAATCAACCAGAGTATGCTGACTGCCCGCATTTCTCATTGAGAAATAAGCCCTTCGGAACACGTCGAGATGTTTATCCTTTCAAGCATTAACTGCTTTACACTGGTAGCTACGCACACCTCTCTACGCTACAGCGTGGTCGCCACATCTTTCTGTCTCGAGGATCCGTCTGTGGAACGGCATCAAGCTGGGCCAGCAAGCTGTGCCAAGCGCTGTCCACAGCTGCTGTGGCAAAGGAACCTTTCGATCGCTTGCTAAACTTTCAAAGGGCTGTCTTTCAGGAGCGCATTGAACATCTGTGCTTTGCCAAAATGGCAAGTTAAGCACCTCCTACCGCAGACTGCTTCACGTTGTCGGTGACCTGCTTGAACGCGCCAAGGATCTTGTCATACCGAGCTGGTGTCACCATGTTGCGCACTGAGTAGTTGTGTGGAAAGCATTCCCGCTGACTCATCCAAACAATCATCTCATCCACTGCCATACTCATTGTCCACAGCCTTACCGCCCGAATAACCCGGGGAATTCAGTAACTGGTGAGACCACCGAACAATCGTAATTTATGTAAAGAAACCGAAATGCTCTTTCCTGTGTACAGACTGGAAATTGGAGATCTACGTAGGCATCAAAGAACCGAAAACATAAGGACCCCTAGGTGCTTTAAGGCTGGGAACTGGCGATCTAACTATTGGACGAAGCAGCTCTTGCAGCATCTGCCTCGTCAATCTCTGTCGATGTTCAGTGCGTCGGCTCTCGGCCGAGCTTTCCAGGCGATCTGCGGTGTCTCTGACAGCATCCACAGCCATTTGGGTACCTTAGTTGCCGAGCTCCCTGGTCCCAGGTAAGCCAATGGTACAACTGTTGGATCATATACACAATATGATATATATATATATATATACACATATGTATGTGTATGCGTGTGTGCACATACATGCATGCGTACCTACATACGCACATACATAAAAACATACGTACATACATACACACTGACTCACTTACCTACTTACTTGCTTACTTACTTGCTTTCATACTTACTTACTTACTTACTTACTTACTTACTTACTTACTTACTTACTTACTTACTTACTTACTTACTTACTTATATATATGGGTGTGTTTATGTAGGTGCACGCACATACATACATACATACATACATACATACATACATACATACATACATACAAACTTCAAAACGGTTGAATCAACGGGCACCGACTCAACTGTCAAAGTGCCCTGCCACATGGACTGGAGTTGCTGCATCTCGACTTTCACAAGGGACTCTGCCTTGGCCATCACATTCTTCTGCCTGCTGCTTTGAGCATGCCAGTAAGCCGACAGAACAGCCCTTCCGCATAGGAGGATCGCTGCTGAAGAACCACCAACGAGTAGACTCAACAGCCATCCTGCTTTGAGCCGCAGCCCACCCTCCTTCTTCCTCATGAGTTTGTAGTGCATGTTTCCGTTCAGATCGCGGTAGACGTGCTTGTACCACTGCCGCAAGATGTCGGTTTTGTCCATGCGCTTCGGTCGGAACAGTGTCAACCAGACAAGCCGAAGGATATAGGCCGGCACCATGGCGCCCACCACAGCAGACATTGCACCAAGAGCTGACTTCCAGGAGTCTTTCTGAGAGTCTTGGAAGAGACTTACCACACGCTGGAAATGAATCTCCGAATGAGCCTTGTAGTCCTCTTGCTGCGTTACGAAGATGTTCTGGATCTTTTCGATGGCATCCTGACGTGGGCATCCCTCATTTCGCAACTTAGGAATGACAAGTGCTTGAGGGATTCTGAAATTCTGCGAGCGCAATCTGCTGAAGCTGCTGGCTGAATCTCGACATGCAGTCAGAGATGCGGCAAGTGCCGAGAGGAGCCCTAAGCCCCACTCTCGCACACGACTAGAACAGATGGTGGTTGCTAACGCTTGGATAGACACTGGCCGTCCTTCAGCTCATCTTGGCACTCCTGGCGCATCTTCTGATCGTAGTCCCGAGCTGCGAGCAATTCTACCAAGATGTGCGCCATCGCCATGATGTTTCCTCGGAGGCTTCGTAGCTTCTGAACTGCGACCTCTTGGTACTTGTGACTCAGCTCATCGAGTTTCACTCGCACTTCCGGGTCTGCGTTGGAGGAAAGCTGGCGAATCTGAGATGCAGCGGCGCTTTCCCAAAGCTCGGGGTTCTTCAACCGTTGCATCGCATCGGAGAGGTACTGGCTCTGCATCTCTTCTCCCAGATTCATGGCTAGGAAAGGATCCGGTAGCCACTCTTTCACAGACTGGTGCCCCGCTTCTGTCACCAGCGAAAACTCCGAGGAGACTTCATGATCTGATGGCTCAGACCCAGCCATTTGCTTCTGGGAAGCTCCGAGGAAGCGGGGACTTCGAGCCGAAAGATGCCTTTCGTGAACCCAAGAGCTTCACGCTCCACTAGGCAAGAAAACCCTTCCCGGTCTTTTGAATTCCAATGGTCTAAGACAAGGCCCCATGCATGTTTTTGAAAGCAACCAGAACTGAAAGGAGGCAAACCTACTGTACTGGTAAGACGAGGCTGCAGGGTCCGCATGGATGGTGCACTGGAGTAAGGCACCCCAGGGTAGCGTGGTGGACATGAGTCTGTGCCGTGTGGGGAAGGGGCGGAAATCTTCTTTGCAAGGGACAAGGTTACTTGCAAACAATCGCAACACCTTGTGCTGAAAGCTACCTGTCTTGGATCAGGTATCGCCTCCAGTTGATGACCCACTTCCCGAAGGCGTCGCTCAACACTTCCTGGCATCAGTCAGCTTTCGGCTTGCGCCGCTTCGCACATTTTGGGCTATATATCTGAATTTCGCGCTTCGCTGCTTCGCCTCCACAACAAGGCTTCGTGGCCATACGGAACAGCATGGCACGCTTTAAGGTTCTGCCGTGACATGAAACGCAAGCTGAAGCGTTTGAAGGTGATTGCCATGGGGAGGGACCAGCGAGCCTCAATAGTAGACGCCCGGACTGTACGGAGCCATGGACCAGGTAGCCCCTGTTCCTAGAAGCTCCATGTAAAAACCCTCCTTATGCCACTGTTGTAAACTCCTCCACCCCGACAAGCAAACGCACATACGCACAACTAACCTGCTTCTAACCTTCCGGTCTTACGGCTTAGCGGCTGGAGTCTGGGGCCCCTGGGGCTTGGGGTGTATACGAAAGAGCCTTCGTCCGAGACCCTGGTGCCTTCTTGTCTTTCGCGAGGAGGTTCTGTGCGACCAGATCCCGCACTCTCTCGCCTTTCGCACGTGCCTCCTTGGGACAGGTGGCGGAGTGTCGAAGGGTGCTGATCTGGCCAGCGTGGGATTTCCCATGCTGGATTGTTCGAACGCGTTATGCGAAGCGTAATTAGAACTCTTCCGATCTTTTTGTGACTTCACATGCCATACCCCTCAGGAAAGGTTTAAAGGACACGCAGGCAGATCAAAGGTTCGGGCACTCCGACTTTCGTCCACAGGCCCTGATGATAAACTTGACATAGGGGCTTGAACAGGCCGACGAGGGCTTCGTGACATCTTCTAGCCAGTATATTGTAGTTAAGACTACTTAAGGGACTATTCCTAATGACTCTTATGCTCCTTAGTCTCTTGCTCTATTTTATTGAAGACGGCCATCAGCAGGGGAAGGTCGAAGTAACAGCGATGATACATACCGAGAAGCCCCAAGCCCTCAGCCCTGAATGACCCTTCTTCCTGAAAGCCCAATGTGCTATGGGCCCTATATGCCCTGTACGTCCCTACAGTCCTAGTTGGAAATCGGTGTAGGATGAGAGGTGCTTGTATTTACGGAATTCCCCAAGTTTGCGTCTCCATCATGTCAGATACGAAACTGCTAAATGGCTCAGAGCCGAGGTCCTTCTTCAAGTTGTCAATGTGGTTCTTCGTGTCCCTCATGTCCTTCTCCAACTTCCTGGCAATGGAAGGTACGGTTTCGGACTGAAGGTGAGGCACTCCCTCACCAAGTCTCCTATAATCGAACGAGTTTGACGATGGGGAGGTCCAACGTGAGGAAAAGTTCTAGGCCTTCGGCTCTGAGCTGTCACTTAGAGGGCTTGGGGTCAGGCTCTATGCTTTGATCTAGCTTGGGGTGCACTGGCTGTGGAGTATCCTACCGAATAATCACATAGGGATTCTGCAGGGATGCTGCTACTAACTGTTGCTAACCGCACCCCTGCTGACCCTCGCAGAAAAAGGACTCCAACGCAAAACTCCCAGTAGCCTGAAGCCCTAGGCTTGTGTACGCCCCGACCTTCAATGTCAAAGATGCTCTTCGACGGTTTAGGGATGTTTAGGGCCTAGGGTTTATAGGGCTTACAGAGGTTTATACAGTTTTTATGGGGCTTATAGAGGTTTACAAGGCCCAAGGGGCTTATAGGAGTTATGCAGGGATTATGGGGTTTACAAGTTTTACAGGGCTTAGGGTTCATGAAAGGGCTTGGTGTTTAGGGTGTATAGATGTAGGATGGTGTAGGGGTCCTGTGGAGGAGCTCGTTTTTGGTGAAGTCTTTCCACTCCGAAACGATGAGGCCAAGGTTGTCGTTCATGACCTGGCAGTGAACGGTTCAGGGTTATGGGCTTGAGAGTCTACGGATCCTGGTTAGTGCATTCTGGGGTCCTAAAGCTCAGCTCCAAGAACCAATTGGCCTAGCAGAAGGGGTCATGTCTCTCTTCCTGCATGCCCAACCCTACACTCTAAAGCGTAACAGCCTCCCGACCAGACCTCAAACCCTTAGCTGCACAGCCGTGCAGGGCTCTGGTATACATGCATACTTCTAGAGACTTCTGCAAACGAACAGGCACGGTATCACGAGAGAAGCTCCAGCATCAGCATGTCACTGCAGAAGGAGGAAAGTGGCGGCAACATCCTTGGTGTTGCACAAACAAAATCTAAACCCCAAACCCAACCAAAGCACAATAAACACCCGCGCCTTGCGGAACATGTTGAGGCCCGCCACCTCGGCCGCTTTGTCAGCCTTCTCCACCTGTGCTAAGGACCCAGGGAGGGCAGTGGTCTACTACGGCTTCAGAACTTAGGGTTTGTTGGAGCTGCAGCAGTTGAGGTGTACAGGCTGAAGGGCTGAAGTGTTCAGAATTATGGCTGCAATGTCAAAAATGTTAAGGGCTGCATTTAAGGGTTTTTGAGGTTTGGGGATCTAGAGTTTAAGGTTTAAGAGGTCGGGTTTCAGGGCTAGGGGTTCTGGGTCTCGTAGTTTAAAGGGAGGTTTAGCTTGGGGCTTGAGGACTTTGGGCTTGATGTGTCTGAGGTTGTCGTGGGCTCTGGGCTTACGGTTTGGAGTTTGGGCTTGAGTGTCCGGAGACTTTCGGGAATAGGGTCGAGGGTCTGCCTGTGTAGGCCTTCGGGAATAGACAAAGAAAGGTTCTACTCTTTGGGGGGGGGGGGGGGGGNNGGGGGCGATATGATTAGAATAGGCTTTTGGTGGTATAGTCTAACAGAATGTCGTTGAACCTATGCCACAGTAACCCCAAGCACATACCTTGTGGAGGCGCGTGAGGCCCCGAGACCCTAGCCCCCTTGAAACCTTGAGCTTTTAACGTTAACTCGTTTTCGGATTATGATGGCTCGTTCCAAGGCCTGCGGTGGTTAACATGGGAGTAGCACCTTTGAAGAGATACTGCCAGAAAGGCTTCTGGCTCGGGCTTCTTCAGCTTTTCGAGTATAGCATTTTGGGCCGGTTTTTAGGATTGGATGGGACTGTATCGGGCTTATAGAACCTTCGGCGAAGTCTTCAACAACTGAAATGCACCAGGCTTATCTCGAAAACCTTCAAATCCTGGTCTGCAAGGCATTCGCGGCCTCCAGACGGCGGATGCGGGCCATGTCCTGTAAAAGATCTTCTTGAAGGCTCCGTAAAGGGCCTACAAAATTTAGGGCTTATAGGGCTTAGGGTGCGCTTCGGAGGCTGTTTTACGACCGGGCGCTCCGTGCCGGGTAAAACGAAACCAAGCCTGGATGACAAAGCCATTGCTGAGCTCTCAGTATCAAAGCCTATCAGGCGTAATTAGACTCCTACACCGTCAACCTGTCAACAAATACCTCTGAGCCCTGAACCTTCAACCCCAGTCAATGATAAGTAGCCCACAAGCCCGAGCGATGAGCCATAAAGAGCATCATAGAGCCATTGGTGTGCGCGGAGCATGAAAACGCACTGCATTCGTCTCCTGCTCGTACTTCTTCTTGGCCTCCTCCTCCTTCCGACTGCTCTGCCTCTGCGACGAAAGGCTATGAGAGTAAAAAGAACTGTCGTCTTTTGGGCAAGTCTCCTTTAAACCACTGCATTTCTCTGTTTACCGGATCACCTCCCCACTTCTGCGTACTTCTGCGCCAAGGGCTCGGGACTGGGAACTGGCTTTGTGGTGCAAGCCGGTTGCACAACCACACAGAGAACTTGTAATGCCAAGCTCTTCTTTGTTCGTGTTGGAAGCACTTTTTGCAATGATCGGCAGCCTCCTGAGGTGGGCAATGTTTGCCGCATGTTCAGGCTTGCACTGTTAGCCAACAGCCTGAAACCCAAGGTAGATACAGGGCACAGCCTAAACCCTACGCCTACACCCCTTGTAATTCTTGTACCCTTGATTATGTGCGTATAGTACGCTTACCGTAGCAACCCCCTCTGCAGAAGTCCCAGCGGCGTTTGGTGCGTCCAGACCCGCCAGGACGAGATGCTCATCTTTAGAAGGCTGTCGCAATGAGCCTTCGACCTCTCAGAGCATTGCTTTAGATGTTGCCTTACTAAATGGGTTCTACTCTAGGGCTTCGCAGTAGTGTTTAGGATTTGGGGGGTAGTGGTGTTTGTTGAGTAGGGTGTTAGAAGCGGTTATGAAGGTATTCTACAAACGTGGCTGGTTGCTTTGGGATATTTGCAGGTGTCTGGTGTTTCCGTTCTATTGGTTTCGGCTGTAATGTTTGAACGTTTGCTGCTTTTTCTTGGGGATTCTGGTTTCAGGACGAAGGGACAGACTTGGCTGGAAGTGGCAAAGCTTCTTCATAGGGTTTAAGGCTCTTAGTGATTGTATCTGGAGTTTGCAGTTTGGTTTGTCTGCTTTCAGGGGTTTGGAGTGTTGTGTTTGCGGGTTCGGGTTACCCTCGAAAGCCGTCGCAGAGCCCCGAAAGCGGGAACTGCTGCCCGCTGAAGGGGATTGTTTGTCAAATCCTGCCAAAACCCCGAAGCCCAACGACAAAAACTAGAACCCTGACCACCCCGAAGTATCCGCTCCTCAACCGTAAACCGCCGAAACCCCTCGTTCCCGAAGTTGACCCTGCGCAACGCAACACAGACTCCAGTAGACTGCTAGAATTCTCCAATGACCTGGCCCCCAGCCACTCCAATATCCCTGATGGTCCTTAGCTACGGGATTTTCGTGTCTCGGGTTTGTGCTGTCCTGCTTCATACTCATAACCCCTGCACTACCTTCGACAGCCCCAGCCGCAAAAGCTGACCGGCTAGGCCTGACATTGGAAACATAAACTTCTGGACCCCGAAGCACTAGTGCTAGCAACGGTTCTTCCCCCCGGATTGGATCTGTGCCCTCCGAGCGCCCGAGCATGCGCCCAGCGATCTCCAATGCTGCCTGATCATGCAGCTCCAGGAAGCAAACAACAGCAAAAGACGCTCAAACCCGTGCGCCTCGTATGTATACAATTTATTTTTTATATACATATAATATATATATATATACACACACATGCATATATATATATATACACATACATACGTACATACATACTCCATACAAAATATTTCTATTCAATGCCCTCACATAAAGTTCACAGGGCCGTGTAACAGATGATTTTGGGTACCAAAGTCGTAGGGTTTCGGGTCAAACACCATTCGGCACTATTTCTTGGACTCTGCCTGTCTAAGCCGGAGGATCCAAAATCCTTTAGCAATCTGAGCCAGAAAAACCAGGGGCTCTAAACCATAGAAGCTCACCAAGAATCGCCAAAACCAAACCAACCCGAGGCTTAATGTACTTTGACGTTGACGAGGGCCGCTTCATTCCAGTAAATGTGGTTTTATCGGGCTTCTGTGGCCTGTGGAGGCACTCACAATTGGAATTGGGCTTTGGGTGTGCACTATACCTGCACCTAAATCTCTCAGGTGTACGAGTCGTAATCATTCAGGTCCCCGTGTCGTTGACTCCCGTCCACACATGATGGCCTCTACCATGTAGTCAGAATCTTCGACAGTTCCTGACTGCCAAAGTCTTTCGATCCAAGAATACACATAGATCCCAAACCCTCCTTGGAATACTGGATATGTCGAAGGGGTTTTGTTGCTGCAAGCAGATTAGGTAAACCCTGTCAGAAAACCGTGTGAGACTTAGCATGGCAGCCTTCACGTTTCAGTGTATATCGAGACCCTGAGGACTACACTGAGGAACCCTAAGGGAAGAGTAATGGTAATCATAAAGGCGCTGATTTTAGGTATGGTCCCTTAGCCTTTACGGAACCCAATACATTGAACACCTAAGCACCCCTGAGCCTAGAGCGCGCCCTGAAAACCAGGCGATTAGGGCTTTCGTTGTATGGTCTTGGGCTTTTTTTTTCTGGGTCAGGTCTTGCTTTGCGGGTTTAGGTTTGAGAAAGTCTGACAACGACGACTTTTGCGCTTCCGACCTTGGTGCCCACTTCCTTGTGGCTGCGCTTCAGCCGTGCAAGCTCCTCGTAGGAATGAGAGGCTCGCTGGCTGTCAATGATTACTAATATAAGTCCTTATGGGGACTTAGGGTTCCTGCTCATATCTAAACCAATATCACAACTCAAAACTCCATGACAACTAGCGAAGCCCTTTCTCTCTCTCTCTCTCTCTCGCTGCTCCGATTCTGGTCGGGCCAATAGTACAGTAGAAGCCCAACAGTTGGAAATCCAATAGCCTAAATCCTGATGAGTAATGTAAAAGGAGCCCCAGCTCGAAGTGTCCCTAATCCTGCTCCCAACTTTTTGAGGTTTACTATACTTGGGGCTGAGGCATGGCTGCTAACTGTAAGATTCTACTCCGAGGACTGGTTTTGCAGGCTGGGGTCAGCCGTGTCCTGTCATTTCCGGCAGCTGAGCGTCTAAACTCTGCAGACATCTAGCCGGCTTTGCACAAGTTTGGACATCGAGAGGAAATCCAAGCTACGTCAAGTCTAAGCTCCAGTTTCTCAACAGGTGGGTACCAGCCTCTTCGTGCTGCCGCCGGGCTTTTGTCTCCTGCCATTGCCAAGGATGAACCCAGGCTTGGAGAGTTTAGTGTTTAGGGGGCTGCGGTTTAAGATTTGGGTTTAGGCTGCTTGGATTCAAGGTAGCCGCCGCGACAACGAGAAATACGCAGTCGCACTAAGACCACCGTGGTCACCGAAAGAGTCTCCAGGCATCTTTATGAAATGTCAGATGAGAGGAAAGATCGTACGTTGCGACGACTGTCCGATCCTAGGCCTTCCTAGCCTTCCTAGCCTGTCAACACCGAAGCCTGCCCGGGCCTGAGCATGGTGCAACTGAAGCCGGAAACTTGAGACAACACCACAACCGCCTAGAACAAGTTTCGGGCAGAGGTTTAAGTGTTCAAGGCAAGCTTCACAATTATGCTACCTGGGTCACAGAAACCTTACCTGCCGGTTCCCCTGCTAGATGCCGCAGGCACAGACCTTCCAGGAAGTCGTTGCCACCACGGATCACTGAGAGGCCCACTTTAGTCAGCACCGCTAGTCGACGCCACAGTTCCACCACCACACCGATGTTATCCTGAACAAGCATGGCAAGTGCGAACAGCCCAGCTACCTTAACCTACAAAGTAGCTTGCTGGATCATGGGTGCGGCTTTCAAGGAACAGTAACCGTAACCGTTAACCCACTACAGTACTCACTTAACTGGACTCCTCGGTCCAAGGCATCAACGGTCCGCTCTTCCGTGAAACTCCTAACGCACCACTCCATACCTGAGCCCTGGAAGCCCTTCACCCGAAGCGCCCGGCTCTGAAGGCCAGGACTCCAAATAAACACCACCAGGTTTCTTTGCGGGGAAGTCCACTGGTGCGATTTCTGGACCAGGTTTTGGGGCCCCTACAAGCGATTTTTGAAGCTGAAGGCGGCAGGACCCAACTCTCCAAACAAGTGTCTAAAGCCCTGAACCTCCAAACTTTAGACCCTCCCCACCAATGAACCCTACATCCTCTTCGAGGCTGAGGAAGTGTTTTTTGGGATGCAAGCCCTGCAATTGGCTTTCTGGCCAAGTGTCATCCCAGTACTTCTTGAACCTTAGCTTCCGGCACACACAAGGATGGAGGAGTTGGCGTTTAGACTTCTTTAGCCTGTGGGGAGCTTAGGAATGAGAGTCGAAGTTGTTCAAGTAGGGGTTTGGTTTGTGTTTATTTGGCGGGAACACAAGCCTTTTTTGTAACAGGCAAGGGCGGTGTAATGTTTCGATATCCTAAGTCTGACCAAGCGCCAAACCCCGAGGCACAATAGACAGCCTGCCCACACCGCTGATATAGAATGAGACTTGTAAAATACCATTCCGCGGTCAATTCAAAAAGGATCAATGCAGGATGCCATATTCGCAGGCCCCTTCAACTGTATTGCAAAATGCCCTTAGCCGCAGTTGGAACCATCAACATCAGGATCCCTTGCATCTACATTTTCTCTGCAAGCTGCCCTTCAATGCAAGGTCCATCGTGCCCGAAAGGTGCGGTCCTGATTCTGCGCCGGCTGAAAATTTGGGGCTCTTAGCAACCCGAGCCTCCGACCCGGGAGCATCAGAAATCTGGGACTCCGGGCATTTGCTCCGCCAGCTTCTGCGCCGCCTTCGGACGGACGTGGCAGAGGCCACGTGCCCAGTTTTGGACTTCAGGTGGTGAGGTTTGGGGAATTGAAGGTCTGGGTTTGATGGATAAGAGACTTTAAGGGTTTTGAATTTGTGGCGATTTTTAAAGGGGGCATTGTTGCGTTTGGGAGTTGCCGTTTTGGGGTTTGGCGGGGGCAAACACTTGGGATTTCACTATTGCTGACCTTTAAGCAGCACTTGGACACATGGCTCTTGCTTCTACATCCACCTGTGTCCGGCAAGAGAACCTCGCCAGAGCCCACAAGAAAGAAACTTATGTATACCAAGAAAACGCCGGCAAGCCTGCGAGCGCCAAACATCTTTTCAGGGCCCAGGTTCCTTTGAGGGTTCCTTTGAAGGAAGAGCCAAGAAGCAAACTGAGGCTCCGGGCCTTGTCCTTCTTCTCCAGCTCTTCCCGACGTATCCGGTCCAGCTCATCCTGACGAAAGAGAGCAAAGTTTTCTTAGAGTTTAGGGTTTGTAGGGCCTGTAGGGTTTCGTGCTTAGGGCTGCTCTACATGGGTGCCCCGTCTTGTGGTGGGATGGTCGGGTTTGGACTTTGAATCTGTCCCCAGACTCAATACAGAACGCAAGAAGACTGTTCTAGATCAGGCGTCAGGTGCTTGTGTTGCCGCTGCAAAGGGAGAGCTGGAGTCTAGGTTACAGGCCATGGTGAGCAAAGGCCCAGACCTAGAAGGTGAACCTCACGGGGGCACGACAATCGAATTTCGTGTGTCTAGGCATAAACCCTGAACTCCAGAGCCCTCAGCCTCAGACTCGAAAAATCCCCAAACCCCCCAAGCCCAGAGACGCGCTTGGTGTTTAGGAGGGGGGTCAGGATATTTAGTTTACGCCTTAGGATTCATGCTTCATGTTTCGAAGAGGTCGAGCAACTTGCTGGAGTGTAGGAGTTTTGGGCTCTCAAGGGGTTTAGGGCTTAGGGTGTGCTGAATAAAGCCCGGGTCCTGGTGTTGGCGCTTGGCTTGCTCTTCTTTCTTCTGCGCCTTCTCCTGGCTTCGCCACTTGAGCCGTGGTGTCTAAAGTCTTCTTATGCCAGGATCTCAGCTACCTATAGATTGTGGGTACTGTGAGTTATATAGGGTTCAAGTAACAGAAACCCGATACAGCATTATGCGAGGATCTCCGTTACCAGTTTAGTAGCTCTGGCTGATGGGCACCAACTTGTGGCTTCAAGGCCCAGTAAGTGACATCTGGCCTCCAAGGGTTACCCCAGCTGACCGGACCATGGTACCTACAACCTAGCCATTTGTGCGAAGTCTCACCGGGATGTTTCAGGTACATACTTGACTTAGGAACAAGCCGAATAGACCGGTGAAGTACAGCGTCGATGTCAGCGTACTCACGGGTCTTAGACCCCATGTTGTAGATACTGTGGGAACGGAATCAACACTAAGTAGGTCGATACTGAAAATGCTTCGTCTCCTTCTTGATGATGCGGTGCCAGTTGTCCACGCACCACTTCCTGAGCATCTGCAACTTCCGAAACCGATTTTTTTTCGTCTACACCTATGCACCCACCAAAGCGGACGATACCTTAAGACTATCTGCGGCCAATCCACTCGACAGTACCGGCCACGGGCAACGTTGAAGTACTGCAACTTACACCGGTGCATATCACTCATACCATAATTCCCATCTGATGCGAGAAACCCTATACTCAGCTCTGACTGAACTGTTGGGATCAAGAAGCATGTTGTCATCCACGATCTTTTTGTACATCCTCGGTGGAGGCAGCGGCTTCGTGTATTGACAGTGTGCGGGCTTCTCTCTTGAATCGTCGCAAGAATGCAAGACATGTATGAATCTGACTAAGCAAACGCTAATTTTCAGTAGAACTTCAAAAAATTGAACAGTGTTGAAATGGATCCTGTGTGTTGGTGGACGCGTGGGGGGGCGCGAATTCTGCTGAGCTTCCTACAGTATGCTGACTCTCCAGGCATCAATATTAGAGTCGAACATGACTTCCGGTGTGTGTGTGTGTGTGTGTGTGTGCGTGTACGACCGATGGATCATCTCATCTGCGGTTGATCCGGGTGCGCGTAGACTGTCAGAGGATTTTAGGGTTTAGGGTTCAACGCTTGGGCTTGGGGTTTAATGTTGGGAGAATGACGGAGTAAACACTCGGGCTGGCCCAAGTCCTTGCCCAGCACGTTTAACTACTTCCATCTATCTCTAGCTTCTTGTAGCATTGCCGGCTACCGGGACGCTAAATCCCTAAATCCTACTTACAGGATTGGTACATCATAGGCAGCGTGCCTTACCTTGGGTTTCCGTAGATACAACGAGTAACTTAGAACACCGTAACCATCCAAGTCTCTTCTGTGCAATCTGCAGGGCAGCTCGCTCCCCGGTTTCCTTCGGCTGGGATCGGACTTCGCTTCAGGGTGCAGGCCTCAGGTATTTACAAACCTAAAAAGCTTTGAACAGAATCGTGCGGAGTTTCTTGCTGTCTTGGCTGCAGTTAGCATGGTTTGGAGATGATGCTGTCTTCCTTTCTTTGCATCTGGCGGATCTGCAATCCTGGCACAACCTTCAGACTGGCTGGATCTCTGCTGCAAACCGAAGAAAGCGCCGTTAAACACCTGACCAGGAGCCATTCTCAAGAACAAGCCAACTCTCTCAGTCACGAACTTCTGGCAATCGCTAAGCCCGTGATCACTAGAAGACCCGACACCCCAAAATACTGAAACTGAAACCCCAGATCCCTAAAGCCCCGAAGCCCCGCAAATCGACCCTAAAACCACCTAAACCCGAGATCCCAACTCTCGAGACCCCCCTCCCCTTTGAGACCACGTTCGGGCTGCGCCTGCTCCATGCGCTTCAAGGCCGCGAGCTCGGCCTGGTCTTCTTCCGGGGCTTTCTCCGACATATCAGGATTCGGGGTTTACCGAGTTTGGGGGAGAAGGGTTTGGGTTGAAATAGTTTAGGCCTTTGGGTGTAGGCTTTGGGCAAAATAGTAGATGGGCCGATGATGGTAATGGGGATGTCTGTGATGATGGCAATGACATTGCTGCTGATTTTTGTGACGGCGATGATCATCAGCATCATCAGCAGCAGCATCAGCAGCATCACCAGCACCATAATCATCATCACCATCATCATCACCACCATCATCACCATCACCAGTACCATCATCATCATCATCATCATCATCATCATCATCTCCAGCACGGCCAGCATGATGACCAGGAGCACGCATCCCCGCGATGCGACTGTGCCCTGCATGTGATTTAGCATCTGAAATACCCTGGTAATCCCTAATGAATCTTCCGTAACCATCACAGTCGCTCTGAAAATTCTCGCAAGCGACAAACAAAAAGCGGGACACCAATAACTACAACACCAGGTAATATCGTATGGAACCAGACAGGCTGTTTTGTAAAGCTCGATGCTGGCGCACCCTAGCTGTAATACAAACCCTAACTGATAGGTAGTAGGCCCCTGTATGGGGTCTGCCGGAGCAGAGGTTCACCTGCCTCGTGCTTCTTCTTGGCCTCCTCGTCGCGCCTCCTTTGCCCCCTCGGCTGAGCTGTTGCAAGAAACTTCAAGGTTTACAATGTAAGCAAACAAACATTTTGATCGCCTTGAGATTGGCTCGGGGCCCGGTGGGTGAGGGCTGCAACTTCACACCCCGGCAACATTTATCCGCCTCAATCCTAAACGAGATCTCGAAGAGAGCCTTCCTGTCCATCCTGTGAGAAATGTGTCTAAAGTCTAAACCCTGAGAGCATGGCGCCGATAGCCCAAGCACAGGATCCATCTGAGACTGGAGCCTAAACTACGGGCACCTCACCTTCGGGCGTTAGGTTAGGGGCTTAGGGCTTGGAGTCTTGGCGCCAGGGATGCCGAAACGAGATTGAGTTCTGTGTATTGCGCAATTAAGCGTCCACAGCAGTAGGGCTGTGGCTACCTGTGGAGGAGTACATGCGCGGCCTCAACTTCAAAGTCCTAAATCCTCAAGCATGACGAAGTGCTGATGACTTCTAAACCCTTAGCCACAACCCTAAATGGCCCTAGAGCCTGAACCGTATCCTAATCCATCGTCGTCGGGGCACTCTGCGCGATACTCGGAAACCCAGAAGTCGAAGCAGAACTTCACATCGTCATTCTGCAGTGTCCTCAGAAGATGGCAGCTAAGCCCCCGTCCCAAAGAGGAGGAAGTGAGATAGCAGAGTCGTGCGTTGCAAAACGTGACAAAGCGCATAGTCTAGTAGCCTGGTTAAGTGCTCTTGCGGCAAAGGAGTCAAGGGTTCCTGTAGGACTTAAAGAGCGCAGTATAACCCAGTGTCTAGGACACTGAGCGCCCAGGGTGTGGAGCTGAGCCGCTTCCGCATCCTCTCCGCCAGCACTTCCGCTTCCCGGAGGTCCTTCTCCTGCTGCGCCTTCGGCGTTAATTGGGTTTACGGTTGAGGGTTTCAGGAAGTCTATGTCAAAAAAGGCGATGGTATGGGGTTGGCATTGGCTGTATAGCAATCTACCAGGTCTTATAGGACTGTAGAGGGCTCTGCAGGCGTAATAAGGTTTTGTGGGAGCTGTATGGGGTCTTGCGGCGCTAGAGATTAGAGGGTTTTTGGGGTGCATGTGCGGTCCAGTGTTTGGGGTCATAGTATAGAACTGACAGGGACAATACCCACAAAGACGGGTAATGGTGCTGAGCTTAAGGAAGCAGCTACAAGAGGATTGTCAGGATCGACTCAGCCACCGCAAGAATCTCAAAAGAAACGACCGCAAAAGATGCTCCCAAACCGCCCAGGAGAGAGATAGAGAGAGAGCGAGAGAGAAATAGAGAGCACCCTCAAACCTGGGCCCCCTCAAACCACAGGAAACAGGCTTGAGCTGGCCCTTAGTCGCCTTGACGCGGCCCTCTTCCTGTGCCTTCTTGGTCCTCTCTTCTTTCTCCTGTGTCGAGCTTTGCAATCCAAATTCGTGGTCAAGGATCGTAGCGTTCGGACGCTTTTTTCTTTTGTAGATGGAGGGAGTGCGGTTCAGCTTCATCTTTGAGCTCGAAACCCGCTGAGGTCATGCAAGAGCCCGGCCCCTGGCCTTCTTCGTCTTCATGGTCTCCTCCTGGTCAGAAAGTGCTGCTTAGGGCTACGTAGAAACATGCAAGCGAAGTGTGCCCGAAAGGCTGCATCGTCTAGAGTCTATGCTCCAGACTCACCCCGAACTGGTGCAGGCCGACAGTGCGATACTCATGTATCGCTGTCGGCTTGAAGCTTTACACACATTTCTCCAGAAGTCGATGAGGATCAACTGTCGGCACGACAGAGGATCCACAGTGGATGCATTGGCAAACCACGGCAGGGCCCGGCAATCGATTCTCTCCAGACTAAGAAGCACGAGGAATGCACGCCAGCCCCTCTGCCCTGAACACAAGACATGGTGGCCTTCCAGACAGCCACAATCTCATCGAAGAGGCCGTTGCAGTACCTTCGGCCACTTGCTAAGACTCCGAAATTTGAATTCAACAGCCCAGCCCAATGTCGGTGGGGCAGTTGTGTGGTGAATGAAGAACTCCTAGCTGACACTGTGTTCTTCTTGTCACAGGGTCCGGCGAACGCTCTGCATAGCCGACTCTCGCGGAAAGACATTACGAGGGTATCGAAGCCAGCCTTAGCCTCAAGATTTTTCAACTCCAGGCCGTCAAACTCCCGAGGACTGCGTAATTGGACAAGGTCCCGGTCCTTCTCTATCAAGATGGTCCATGGCTTTAGTCGGGAACCCTCCAATAATTCAGGCCTTTCGCCCCTGCATTCAGCTCGAAGGGTTCCAGCCCGAAATCCTCGAAATCTCACGATCCTGACCCAACCTCCCCCCGACCTCCAGAAAACTCCGTATCCTCAAACCCTATAGCCCCAAGCCCTAAACCCGCCCAAGGCCCCCCGTCACAAAGCTCTCTGGGGCTCATACTTTTTGTACATCTGCTCGGCGATCCTTAGGGTCTCGAACTCGAATCATGTCTTAATGGCTGAGTCTGCTTGGTTTGGGATTTTGCGGCTCAACTTGCTTGGTCAAAGTCCAAGTTTAAGGTTTAGGCTTGGGGTTGGCATCGACCCGAAACTCCAAATCCGACCCGTCTCAGGACTTACTGTGCGTCACAGTATCCGAAAGCAGACAAACAAAATATCAGCCGGTTGAAAGGAAGGAAAATCCACTAAACCTCTACATAAACCCTCAAACCCCTGCCCCGCGCCAGAGAAACAACAAAACGCAGGCGACGTCATCTCTCCATCCCAGGCACTGTTTGGCGGTATTGAAGGCTTTGTCATGCTCCGCCTGCTTGAAGCGATGCATCTCCTGGAGCTTCTCAGATTCTTCTCAGGCTGTTCTTTGAGTCGTTTCGGGTTTCAGGTTTAGGGGTTTAGGGTTTAGGGCTTAGGGTTTAGGGTTTAGGAAGCTTAGGTTTGATGAGGCAACAAGCAGCTTGCCATAAGCAGGCCAACATTCGCTAAAGACATGCGACGACACTAAGGAGACTACCACGGAGAGTCAGACAAACCCAGGGCATCTTGCCTCGAAACCTTTTCCCTGTAGCCATGTGAAGCTCTCTGAGGGAGCGCGACTGTGCCTCGAAGAACTGTGCAGTCTGAAATTCGAAACAAAACAGTGTATATGCGAGTATTGACATCGTTCAGGTTGCTTGGCTTGGCAGGAATTTTCCATCAGGCACTTCTGCTTTGGTGTCTGTTTATGATTGAACTCAGTATTATTCATGAGACCTGAAGTACAAAGGCACAAGCCCGACATGAGGATCCGCAAGCTGTGCTGGAGAAGCCGTGAGAAGCAGGGTTCATTCAGCGAGCAAGGAAGCGGCATGAGTCTATGAGAGTCTATGACATGTCAGGCAAGTTGGCTGGAATATTTCTGCTGGGGGGACACCGAAGTCCTGCTCCATCTTCAGTCGCGCAGCATCGGCGGCCTTTTTGCCCTTCTCCTCCTGGAAGCAGCGACATAAGGCTTCAGACTCTTGGCTCACTTGCGTCTTATCAAACCTCTAACGCATGGATTCTTATTCGGGGTTGGGGCGGAGGGCTTGAGGTCATCGCAATGCGACTCTCTTGATCAGAGTTCCTTCTTAAGTCCTTATTAAAAGACTCTGACCTAATTTGGAGAACTACCCACCTCCTTTGTGGGCACCAGCAATGATTGATAACAACTCCATAAGCCCCCTTTCCTCAACACCAATTAGTTTGCGATCCTCTGGGTGTCTGACAATGGGTCTGCATTATCCAACATTGCGGCAACCTGTGCTGCTTTGAGTTGGGTGTCTGGAACCAACCTCAGCAATATTCACACTGTACTGCGAGCTCCTGATTCTTACATGCATGTTGGGCCGGCACCCTATTAAACCCCAAGCCTCAAACATGAAACCATACGCCCTGAACCTGAAGCCATAAGCCTAACCACGCCCCACACCTGAAACCCCAAATCTCTGGGTAACGACTACAAGCTTGGTGCCTTGAACGCATCGCGCCAGAGCTCGAAGACGCCATCCAGCAGCTCGCGGCAGTATTGGGCGTACATCCTCGGTTCGAGTCCCTTCGGCTCTCAGTCTTTAGGTTTCTTTTGATGCAAAATGTCCTTGTCCGGCTGAGCGGGTGCAAGGTCGAGGAGTAGGGGCCGGTGGGTTTCGGGCTCAGGGTCTTGGGGCTTCAGGCTCCGCAAGGGGTACCTGGATCTGGAGCAGCAATCGGTGTGCCTTCGACGCCTATCACCTTGTAATTGCCCCACCTACAAACCTATGGAGCAAAAAAGCCAACCGTCGAGTTTGGACAGGAACACGCACAAGCCGGGACTCCTGAATTACAAGCCTCAGATGACTCAGATGCGAGGCGCCCAAACACCAAACGAGAACGAGACACCACCTAAACCCTGAAAACCCTCCAAACCCTAGCCCTTCTGCCAAAAGGGGAGGATGCCCCCTTGAAACAAAGCGAGCATCTGGTCAGCGATTTGCGCTTTGGAGACTTCTCCCTTCAGGAGCCTCGGGGTCGGCACCAACACAAAGGGCCCTAATTGATCAGAATAGGGTGTCGGGGGCGAGTGTACCATCAGTACTTCGTCTTGGTCTTTGAGGTTCTATTCTAAATACTACCCTACAGCAACATGGGAGCAGGGAAGCTTTCTGTTTTGGAGCTCCGATGCTGTTTGAAACTCTAAAGTTCAGAGCTTAGGTCTCAAGGGTTTGAGCACATAGGGTTCGGGGTTAAGCGGATTTTAAGAGTGTATGACTGCTTAGGGTTTAGGGCTCGTAGGGTTTAGGCTTCGTCGTTCAGGGTCAACTGCCTTGCATGTCTTAAGAGCGCTGAGGGAGCCGCAGGAATGTGTTGGAGATTTGTTGTTCTCAATCTCAAACTCTCATGCAAACCGAGGCTCTACAACAACCGGACACGGACCCTCGAGCCTGCGGAACTGTATCTTGAGCCATGCGACTCCTCTTTGCGAAGTCGTTCAATCTCCGCCTTTGCTTCAGCCTGCTGGGCTTTCGATGAAATACTTCGGGGTAGTCGTAGAAGGCTTGGCGGCTTCGCTGGAATTCGCACTGCAGAAAATTGTGTAGGGCCCTCGGTGATTGTTCCAGTGCTTGACTTTTCCTGCACAAACTGTTCGGCTTTCGATCCATCACGGTCCAGGATCGTCAGGGTAAGCTTTCGGTGGATTTGGCACCCAGCCATGAACAGTAAATACCCTGAAGCTGTCAACCCCCGAATGGCTTGTAATCCAAGGCATTGCAAAGCGCAACACCCAAGTCCGAGCGAAGGTCAAGAATTCAGACGCCTCTTTGGAGAAAAATCCGAATTATGGAAACCTAAGAAGCCTGAGCCCTGAACCCTGAAATATACAAAACCTACTACAGATACAGAACCGCTCATGTACCCGTCATGCCACCGAGAAAATGCAATGTAGAGGTTCAGACAATTGGTAGCAGGATACTCTTGCTGTCCCCAAGTAACTGTGCCAGCATGTAGCACGTCCACTACTCGTGTCTTGAAAACATAGAGATTCAACCGTGATTTGCCTGGCCTTCTTGCGCTCGGCGGAGCCCTGCCGAAACGCATGCTCCCAGGCCTGCCACGTGTCGCTTGATTTTCAAACTTTGGGGGGGAGGGTCGGATTTTGGCACCAGGGAATTTGCAGGCCTTGGGTTCGGGAACTGGGCCAGCTGAAGCCTGTAACTTAAACTAAACTTTCGACCCAAAACCCTAAACGCCAAAGGAAAGCCCAAGCTCCCCGTCTCCAGTGTTCGTGCCTCCCATACTCCGCTGAGCAAGCTGTTGGTGTACTCCTTTTCCATCCTTGGGCGAGCCACATGCTCTTAGTGCTGTTAGATTAAGAGCTTCTTCGGGAAGCTTTTCTAGCCGTGAGAATATCCTAAACCAATGCCATTTTGCAGACACAGCCTAAGCTCAAGACGGTGTTGTTCGGATTTTCACCCTCAACCCTCGCGGCTGTCACCATCGAAGGATGCCCTACTTCAGGATCTGGGGACCACTTAGTAAGGAGGATGAACAAATATCACCGGGTTGGCCTTGGATTCATGGAGCCTGCAACAAAGAGCACCAAACTGAACTCCAAGCCCACAGCCCCAAACCCACTCACAACACTAGATTCTAAACCATCAAATGCAAAGCGGCAACCCTAAACAGATCTCATACCCCAAACCCTCAAAACCCAAACCCTGGAAAGGCAGAGTCGAGTTGCTGGTCCGCGATGTCGCGAGCCTTCTTCTGATTCTTTTCCGTCTCCTGCCATGGGTAGCGAGTCTATCCCCCATCCGGGGAACTCAGTTTCAGATGCTGAGCCTTGAACACTAAACCTAAACACTATAAAGAATGGGGAACTTACTTTCAGATACCATAACCAGTAAAGCGAATTTACTCGGGTGATCCGTCTTGGGTGATGCTCACCTGGATCTCTGCGCCCACCTATGCCTTGTCAGCTCTACATGGCTTGCCTCTTTGCGATGCCGGCGCAAAGCTAGGAGAAGCTCCTCCACGGAACCTGGATACAGTTTACGCCGCCTGAGACGACTCCCATTGATGATCCAGAAACAAGGTCGGTAGAAGCTGCGTGGATCGCAACCACTGCCGGTCCTCCTCACGTATGCGAGCTTTCTCTGCCTGGCGAAGAGAGGGTGTAGGGTTGAGCCAGATCGGCTCAAAGGGCTTTTGGTTTCAGGGCTCGGAGCACTCCAGTGTTTAAGGGTTGCTCTTGCATTTCTGTGAAGTTGAGCATGGTCAGGATCTCGCTCTGGCAAAGGCTTTCCAGCTGTGGAACGGTCACGACCGATCCAAGCGATATCACGCAAACTTCACAGAAAGACTGAAGGCCTCCTTTGATTTATGAAATCCCATATATCTACACCTGCCAAAAAAATAGCATCTGCTTCAATCTATCTGCAAGACTCCCTGCTCAATAGGGCTTTGCCTTCCGGGCTTTGTGTCAAGCCCACCAGGCTGAAGAATACAAAACGCTACCAAGTGAGAAGGGTCCTTGAGACCCGATAACCAGAAACCACGGATCCAAATCTAAGCCGCATGGGCCGGCTCCGGGCTTAGGCATAGACTATAGACTGCAGTCTCCTTTTTTGGTTGCTTTCCTTTCGCCGCTGCCTTTGTTGTGCGATTCTTTGAACACCTGGGTGGTTGTCAACAGCATGGTCCCTCGGAATGCTGCAAATGCATGCAGAATTCTGAATGGATACAAGATGCGTATTATTACTTGAGCTGAAACATCGTTGACTCTCCTCGAATCCCAACTCCTACACCCCAAATCCCAAATCTCAAACCCTAAACCGTGCTACACACCAAACTCCCAGCTGACCTCTTAGACTCCTTTCGAGTTGGGACGCTTCTGACAACATTCCACATTGCAATAAGTGGGGCATTCTGCCCTTCAGTGCCAAGTCCTGTCCTGTTCAAGGAAGTGGAGGGCCTAGGGCCAGCCTGGAGTTGAGGGGTTTTCCGGGGAATTCACTGTTGTTTTAGGGACAAGGGATTCCGGCTTAATGGTTTAGGGTGTCTGGAAGAGTTTAGGGGCCGCAAGCGTGCACCTTGGACTGAATACACCCTTGCCCTCACACTTGAAGGGAATTGAACCTCCCAGCAAGAGACTCGGACGTGAGCCCTGTTCCATGTTGTACCTGATGAACCACAAGCTGCTTGACTTGGGGGCTAGGCTGAAACCCTTTTGCGTTGTCTTCATATCCCTGCCGAATCTTGTCAATTCCCGATGTCTTACAGGATTCCTGCGGCTGGGGTTTAGGGGCGTGCAAGGTTCAGGGTTAAGGTCCCGAACATCTTGGGGTATGCGCTGTTGGGCCCTCACTGCGGATTTAAACTTCACAGGTGTGCAGGAGTCTTGGCTTGCAGGAGCCGTCTAGGCTCCGGAGGCGCGCTTCAGCAAAGGAGCGGGATCCAAAGGGGTGTGTGTAACCCCCGAATCCTTCGAGGCTCAAGGGTCGACCGGCCCAAAAGTGTCCAGGCTAAGAAGAGTCACAGCTTGCATGAAGCCTTCCAAAGACCGCGAGTGCCGGAGTCCTATGGGTTTCGGGTTTCGGGTTTACTAAGGGTAGACCCATGAATACTAAACCACCGGGTTTCGCGATCAGGAATTTAATCGGCGTTCGATGTCCAAAGTTTTGCAGATTCTACACCGTGAAACGCCGAAGCCACGAAATATGTTCATCCACAATCTCCCTGAACCCGAAAGCCCTCATACGCCAGATCTAAAGGCAAGAATGCAATCAGAATATAAGCTCCTGATCAAAGAGACTTGGCTTTGCACGGTTCTCCATATTTTCAGTAATCTAACAAATCCTAACCAATAGCAGTGCTGCTAATTAAAAAGTTCACTAACGCCCTGTAATGCACTCAAAACACTACCCGAAACCCCCAGCTGGGAAATTCTAGGCCCAAAACCGGGCGTAGTTGTTTTTTTTCGGTTGCAATGGCCACCCCTTGCGTTTAGGGTTGTATTCGCGGTATTCTCTGTGAAAGGTCTGCGGGTACATCCTAGCGGGCTGTCAAGTCAACTCTCAAACCTGTAGTAAGCCCTAAATCTGGATTCCAACCCCTCAGCCCTAAAACCAAGATCCTTGAACCTGAATGCTTCGGGCTCTGTGCCTGACCCTCGAACTAAGCAGCACCCGCTCAGTACCGGCGTGCTTCAACCCAGGGTGCGTCGTAGCCTGTGCCCATAGTTTGCGAGGTTCAGGGTTTTAGTCTTCAGAGGTTCAGGCTTATATGCAAGGGTCTAGCAGGGGCTCTGACTGGTACTTCGGCGTTTGGAATTCAAGGTTTAGCCTAAACTCAACGAGGAGCTTGAGGGACCATTGAGTGTGACATCGTTCCGAAAGAAAGACGTTACTGGCAACGGTCGGGCTTTGGAGTGTTGCCCTCTGCGATCTGTCAGATGAATCTTTGACTGCAAGGCGCCCGAGCAGGGCCCTGCTCTGAAACTCTCAGCCCAACAAGTCTCAGCCTGAATCCGTCTGCCCGAAACTCCAGAAGTTTTGAGCCCGAAGCCCAAATCTTGAAACGAGGCCTAAAACTCGAAACCCCAAGCTTGAAGACTCAAGTTTAAGGCTTTGTGGAAATAGGTTTTTGAGAAGACCTCCGGACGATGATTCGAAATCCTGGACCACCAAGCCAACACCCGACATGAATCCTACACCCTAAATTTTTGCCAAGGCACCCATTTGGGGAGCATATTGTGGAGGGAGCTGCTGTTGCGGATCGCGCTGACGCGGCTGAGTGTCCTAAGCTCGGAGCTTTGTGGGCTCAAGATTCAGAGTACTCTAAGCCCCAGGCTCCAGCTGGGCTCCTCTTTATGTATTTGGAGCTCTAAGGGGCAAGTTTGGGGATTTCGGATCTAGATGCCCAGAGGCTCCATTGTAGTTCCTTTTTGTGGTTTATATTTATAGGCTCCCAAAGGCTAAACCCAACAAAAATCGCAACAATGGAGCCTACTAGGGTAAGCACTACGGGGCTCCAGGAAATGGAAGTTCAGTGCAACTCTCGGATCCGGCTCCTGCTCTGCTCCCAACCTCCACCCCCTTCCGGTGGACCATGGGTCTAGTCTTTAGGGTTTAGGGTTTAGGGGTTTAGGGTTTAGGGATGTAGGGTTTAGGGTTCATCAATCAGAGTCCACCTAAGTCTCCATTGTAGTTCCCTTTTTTGGGTTTAAGCATTTTGACTACATCAAGGATCCTACAAGCTAACCTCAAAAAGGAACTACATGGACACCACAGTGGAGTCCACGGTTGAAAAAGGATACCTTTGGGGTTTGAGGCGACCATGGCCAGGTCTTTTCTTGAACTACAGCACGATTCCGCTAACTCTCCCAAACGAACCCGAAAATACAACAACCTATACGGATAGCCTATACACACAGTTTGACATGCTGAAGACCCTACGACCTAAACCCAAACAAAACCTACACAATCCTAACCCCCCGGAATCAAAGCGCTTCAGAAAGTCCCTCCGCCACGAACTCGTGCCGGTGACAGACCGCTTCGACAAAAGGCCCCCACAGGCCTCCAATTGCACCCTAAACGCTGAAACCCCATTGGCCCAAACCCCAGACTCTGCATCCTATATCCCGCCAGCCCGGAACTCTAATTGCTAAATCCTGAATTCCCCGTAGAGTCTGTAGAGAAGTACCCCTTCTTGGGCAGGTGGCCGCAGTGATTCCGAACACGGAGAAGACGCTGTTCGGATCCTGCAGCTCTCCTCGGCCAACAAGTCTTCACTTAGTACGATTGCCAACGCTTCTGATCATTATTGTCATTGGTGTTGCCATTGGGATTGCTGGTATTCTTCTGAGGCTGCGCTCCACGGAAGACCTCAAAGGGGCGCCGCAAACTTTTCGACAAGCGTCGGCGCATGAGGTCATAGCATCGCTGAGAGCCTGGCAAAAAGGCATTGCTTTTTCGGGTTTTGTGTGGTTTTGTTTGGCTGAAGTTTGGGAAGGATTAGGCTTCTGCAGTCTTATTCTTCCTGCAGGAGAAGTAAAATCTACATTTAGCACTGGTTCTTCGGGTTGCCGCTGAAAGCCCAAACAGAAATCTCCTCCCTAAGCCTCAAATCCACCTTCAATGCCAAGCCTCTAGCGCAAAACCCTAAAACTGAAACCTGAAATCAGAAACTCCACCGCAGGGGTTCATGCTTCGAACAGGGTTGTGCGGGTAAACTAGGGACCGTAAGGGATTTGGATATTATTGTAAACTGTTTCAACCCGCACAACCCTAAACTCCAATTAACCCAAACCATGCACTTCACAAAAAAACCCTAAATCCCAGTTAACCCAAACCATATGTAAACCCAAAACCCTAAACTCTAAACACTAAAACCCGATGAACCCAAACCGGCCGAGGGAGCAGTACTCTCCGATCTCGGTCTCCAGGATGGGCGGCTGGTCAAGCAGTTTGTTGCACCAACGACACGACGCGGTGACCTTGGCTTCAGAGCCCCTCGGTTCAGGGCTTAGGGTTTTTGGGTTTCGGGCCCTGCTTGATTTCTGAGAGCCCCGTTCGGCTCCCTGGCCAGCCTCAACCCCAAGCATTTGAAGGCCTGGCTCCAACCCGACACCCTGAGTTTCAAAGGCCCTCGGCCATCATGACAACATCAACTGCCCGAAGCCCCAACTCCCAAAGCAAACTCCAAAGGGGTATGCAGCCCTCCGGCCCCCCGAAGCCCCCAGAAACTAAACCCAATTGCCCCGAAACCTAAATCGCACCGCTATACCTGCTGATATCCCTAATTCCCCCAAACCCACCTCGACTCCTGGACCCTCAACACCAGACCCCAACCCAAAATTAACTCGGCGAAGCTGCGACAAGCTGCATCTCCAACGGACCGGCGCGAGTGTTTGGCAGGAGCCTTGTTAGACCCAGGAAAGAAACTCTTCCTCTATGAGGGTCCATGTATTTATTCCCATATCGTAAATCTACATAACAGCGGCAGTGCGAAAGCACATGCTTTCTGGTCACCTGGACCCCTAGGGTCACGGAATTCGGATCCTTAAAGGGCTGCGTACTGTAGGGGCCTCGATAATGACCCAACACTCCTTTGGGGGGGTTCCGCATTATAGTTGTAGTATCATGGGCCCCAAACCCTATTCTACTTATTAAGGCCCCTACATTACAGTAATATCCGGGGTTTGGGGCAGGGAACCCAAATCCTCTGAACTGAAATCGCAGTGAACATCGGCATACCCTTAGGCTCCATTGTAGTTCCTTTGGGGGGTTACCTTATAGGAACCTAAATATAAGCCACAGAAAGGAACTACAATGGAGTCTATGGGTATGGCAATCATGGGAACTTCGATCTCTTGGTAGAGGGTTCGACTCGGCACATTGAGTGAACTACCATGACCCCCTGACCTGCTTTGATAGTCAACTCATGTAGCGTTCAAGAGAGTGGCTGACGTGCGTGGCCACAAACCCTAAACTTTAAACTCATCCAAACTGGCTTGTAGTTTTAGGGCCCTTGAACGTATTGATGAATAGGTACCCTATAGGTGCCATAAATAGGAAACTTCTAAGTTTTCCAAAGTGCCAGCCATCGAAACCCTCGAACCCTAAGAGCCCTAAACCCGAAAACCTGCCTGTGAATCTTGTCGAAGGTATCTGGCTCCACGTTCTGATGCCCGGCCTTCCGTCGCAGGTCTTTCACGGCCCTTCAATCAAAATATAGGGGCCTGGATATTGCGACCAGACCTTCGAGCATCGATGTTCGTATGGTTCTGCAGGGGTTGCAGACGCCTACAGTAGTGCAGATCATCCCTTGAAGGCAGCACCTGAAGCTGGAAGTAGACTCTGTGACTATCTCGTCGCGAGCTCCCTAAATGGCTCCATGCTCGGGCTCCGTATGTCGTGAACCCAAAACCCACATAGACTTTGGCGATGGAAGGTCTTCGGGCTTCGAGTTCAAAGCTGCAAACAGCGTCTCAAAGGGCTACAAAATTGTTACATAGACTTTAGGAATTGGGGCTGAGTTTGACGGTTTAGGCTTGGGGTTGAGAGTTTGAGGCTTCCGGCATCCCTACTTCAAGGATTCGGGAACCAGCAAGGAGGCAGGAAATCTGGTGCAAAGCCTCAGAAGGCCCCAAAGCAGTGGGATTCAAAACCCCAAAGGTCAGGCTCCTTTGATGTACAATCAGTCTGTATTCGGGGTCCCATGACTCAAATGGCGATGATAACTTAACTATGAGCAATGAGCAGCACGTTATCCGATGCGTACACACTGTTCATGCAGACTGCTACTGGCATCTCTTGTCGAGCTACTCACGGCATCAGGCTGACAACAAGGTCACGGTGCTTATTCTGGTTGCCGCGCTGTCCGGCAGCTCTGGCTGCAACCGTGCGTACTACGGTGGCATGGCCTGCGTGACCTGCTGATGGATAAGTCTGATCTCGTGGTACTTCACCTTGGCTTGGAGTTTCTGAGACACATGCATAGCTACCATAGATGGGCCTCTTGCACTGATTTTTGGCTTGTCCGATCCCCTAAAGCGTAACCATATCCCAACTAAGTCGCACCACGCCCTAGCTAAACTCTGCCATAAGCTGAAACTACCATCTGACCATACTGCGGATGCTCCTCTAACTGGCTCTTTTTTGCGGACCACCAAAGATCAACCTCAACCCTGAATCTACTTCAGCCACTGTGGCTGATGGACAAAAAACTCCTGCATCATCCCGAAGAAGGAGTATAACAAAAAACACTGAGATGTTTTACGTACTTGAGGAAATCGGGAAGGCGTAACCCAAAGCCCTAAATCGTGTGAAGCTCCGCTCCAGGACCGGGTGAACCCGAGACCTCAGTTCCAAACCCAAAGTAAGCCCTGAGCATCAATCCCCAAAGCTCGACAGTTGTTGTAGGGCTTAGGTTTTAGGGAGGGGGGAGGGTTCAGGATGATGGGGACATCTGTTTGAACGTGTTGAATGCTGAACACTCATGTATGTGCATGTATGTGTGTACATAGGCATATTACATATGTTTATACACAGGGACACTCGCCGTTTGGCCTTTTTTGAGGTTTCTCGTTCATGGTCGGGGTAGCTTTAAACTCATGTAAATTTCCAGTTCTTAGCCATAAAAATGTAAAGGGTCCTAGAGGAGAAAGGATTTGGGATTTCGAGGCTTGGGACCGGCAAGGCTTCGCCAATTAAGCTGAGCAGCCCGAGTCTGGTTCGAAATCCTTTGCTTCAAGTCTCCGACGATGGCATTCTTGTCCTTCAGGGTTTAGGGTTTAGGGTCCTGGAAGCTTCAAGGAGGAAATGCGGGCTTGGCAGTCGTGAATTCCCTCATCCTTGAGGAACCCTCTAGGTATAAGGACTCTTACCTGCTCGAACTTTCGTGGAACATGCGTACCTCCACCAGCCTTGTTCTGAAATCCGGCCAAGTCACCATCTGGTAGTTCAAGGTCGAGCCACCCATGCTCCGCACAAGCACCTTGGTGTTGTGCAACGCAACGGATGCATTAATATCGGAACGTTAGCCCAGAGGCTCCGAGTACCCAAATACCAGCAGTAGGGTTTTAGGCCTCCACATCCATACTCTGAGTGGTTTTTGGACTTTGAAACCCTACTATCTGGGTACTTGAACCCTTGGGGTAGTATTTGTAAGCGAGCTTCGGCGGTTTCTCAGAATCACAGCGAAATCAATGTAGGGACCTTAAGAGCATAAAAGTATTCAGAGCCCTACACTATGCACTTGTGCGCTCAATTGATGCTGCCAGCTTGCGAAAATCCTGTTCTGCTGATTTGAATAGCTCCTGGTTACCTTTTTACATGATGCTCACGTGCCCCCGGCCCCCAACGACACAATCTGCTCCAAGTCGAAGACCTCAAAGTGGGGTCTTTCAAAACCCCAAATGCCCAAGCCCCCCGAACCCCCGAATGCAAGCAAGGCCCACGCGTTGTTCAAGCAGGGCTTCAAACTATAAACCGAGAATCACTCCACGGGGCTGCTTCAACCAGATTAAACTCGGAGAGCTTCAACCCTTCGCCCCCTCCCGCTTCCAAAAATCAAAAGGGAAACCTGACGCCCCAACTCTGACAGTTGGTGCAAGGTGCCTCAAACTGCGGGGCGGCAGCGGTGTAGTCCTCGTTTAGAGTTCATTCTACACAGAACAGGGCAAGAAGAAATGCTCTCATCCAAGCAAAAGAGAAAGAGCACCTTGGGACAGTCCTCCATGTGTTGGCGGGTGTAGGCCATGGCTCCTTGACCGACTCCAAGGGAGCTCTCGCAGAGTCCCTCCAAGATGTTGAGCCCACTGCAGAGTGATGTCGGAGACATATCTTGAGTGTTTTTGGGTCTGATTTGTACGTATTCTGTTTGCAGACGGGGGTACATCACACTGAAACCTGCACCCTAAACCCTATAGAATCCCCAAAGAGCCTCGGCATTCGAGGGTCTTGTACCTCTAGGAATCTGGGGAAATTCCGGGCTGGGGATTGAAAGCTTCGGTGCTTGGGGATGGAAAAACTATACCATGATATACTAAATAGTATAAAATGATATACTATGACCATAATATACTCTCATTCCAAGCTTGCCTGGGCCAAGGCTGGGCATCTGTGGGTTCTAGGCTAACCGGGCCAGGGCTCAGTCTTAATTTGGGACGGGTCACCTTGGATTTCGGGTTTAGGGTCTATACGGTTTGAAGGCCAGCAAATACGGGAAACCAAAACAAACATTTGCACACAAGTAGACCAAAGCCCAGTCTCCTGATCCCTTGGACCACCTCTCATCCCTCAAGCCCTCAGCGTATTTTGGGTTCCCCCTTCGGATCAGAAACAATGCTAACCCAGACCTGCAGCTATAACCCGGAAACTAAACCTCGAGTTTAGGGTTTAGGGTTTGGGGTTTAGGGGCCCTAGGCCTTTGACCACTTCCAACATAAGGCAACCCCTAACTACCCCGACAGGGCCGGCACCAGCAAACACATCCGAAAAGGCCATTTAAACTATACCCAAACCCGAAACTCCAAGGCAGAAATGCCCTAGAAGCCCCACATGCTAGCTGAATGGACCGAGCCCTACCCGTAATCCCCGACTCTTGGGGTCGATGTGCCTCGAAGTGCTGTTTGGCTTCCACGCGCTTCTTCCGCTCCTCTTCTTGGAGCTTTTTCCGCCTTGCTGAGGATCTTTTCCAAGCATTCCGGGCGGAGTTCAGTCATACCTACCTGGGTATAAACAAAGCTATACCCCTGTAACTGACGGGTCATAACCTACTATTTTGCTTGGTGTTTGGGGATACAGGGAGTTGTCGGCTTCCCCGGCCCAAGAAAGGTTCCTCTCTTGATCATGGCATATGGGGTTCTATGCACCCCCTCAGAAAGCGAAGGATACCCAATCATACGCTCGGGGCGTATGGGAGAATGCCCTGGCTGCTCTACTTCGATGTCAAATCAGCATGAGGACGTGAACAACGCTTAACAACAACACTTGCAGCAGCATCTACATACAAACGGCCCAGATCAGTGCCCTCTTAGGGTGTTGGCCTCAGGTTCAGGAACGAGCATATTACCACTCTGCTGCCGTGCGTCTCGGCTTCATGCTCTTCAGCCTGCTTTTGCGCCTTCTCCTCTTGCTCTTTCCGGGCCTTTCCATGATGCATCCCGAACTCTATCATCCGTAGATCTGATCCTCGGCTAAGCTGAACATTGCACCCTCCCGTCAACCCTGCGACAAATTTCATCTGCCGCCCAAACCCTAAACCTCAAACCCTTCTCAGAAGACCCGCAACTAACGAGGCTTTTGAAGTGGGAGCTTCACACAACTAGGAGCCGGAAGTGCGATCTATAGGGCGAGAGGTTCGGATTTAGATTGGGGTTCAAAGCTGTAGCAGACACTCCCTGGACCCTTGAATGTACGGTAGTACTTTTATTGGATGACTTATTTTATGGTTAATCAGGATCCCACATAATAAGAAGCTAAGGTAGCCAAGAACAGTACTACATTCAATTGCGTTTGGGTCAGGTCGGCACCTGCTCCTTCTCCGCTTCAAGGTCCGCGCGTTGCTGCTCGTCCTCGCGAGTCTCGGCACTCCGCCGGCCCAGATATGGCAGAGGTCCCAGTGTTTTTTGATGATATTCCCCCTGATATTTAGGTTTAGGGTTTAGGGTTAAAGGTTGTAGATATCCACTGCTAGCCCCCTATACCTGAAACCTTACTCAAACCACGAACGCGCCTGTAATGAGCCCTTTGGCTTGCAGTAGGATCGATTCCCCAACCACTTCAAAGATGCTACAGCAGCCAGAAAGCAAACAAGCTCAAGATCGATTGAACCCACATGCTTAAACTTCAAAATGGAAGCCTTAAGCCCCAAGACCCGCAAGAGTCACCACAAGCCCTAGCATGGATTCTCCAATGACAAGGGCTTGCGGACTTTACAATCGCTGGGTTGGGGTAAAAAAATTCACCGAACCCAGGGCCTCCAGGGCATCGAGGCGCTCTGCCTCCCAGAATGAGAGTGCGCAGTTTAGGGTTCCGAGTTTCGGGGTCCCAAATCCTGTTCGTGCTCTCGGCTTGCATTGGAGCTTCGTTCGTCTCTCGATGTCTGGGCATGCACATTTTCATGATTTGCCACATCTGCCGTCGTTCGCAATGCCCTGACTACTGGAGCAAGGTTAAAAGGGTGTGGGGCTCAAGAAGTGCAGAAGTGCTGTGTTGTTTTCGCGGTGTTGAGACGTTTCGGGGCTTCCGGTCTATAGCCTCGGCATTCTGAGCCTGTGCATCAGAATCAGGATGATTCGTCTTCTAATCTCGGTCCCAAGAAACTACCACGAAAGAATGGTATTACTAGAAAAGAAGCGGACTGCACGGTTACTGCCCCAAACCCTCAGCCCCAAAACCCAATGAACGCAAGATTCAAGGGGACTTTTGGTGGATAACGCGGGGATGTGGCCCAGAAGCTGCGCCTCGGCAATCGCCTCTCGCTGTTCCCTCTCAGCTCGTTTCGTCGCCAGGTTGGCTTCCTGAGTGGGGAGGGTTGGTCCATCAACCTGTTCGAAGACTCCAACGTACCTTCTGCATTTTAAGTATTTGGGTTTAGGATGGCAGTTTCGTTTGTTCGTCTTTGAGAGAGCACAGGGCATTCACACGATACCGCTTCTTTGAATAGCACTATCCGTAAAGGGCGCCTACAGGGACCCTGACCAATTTATTTCCAAGGAGCTGCGTTGTTTACACTCACAAAGAGCCCTTGGTTATATAAACTCTACTTCAAACCATTCGCATAAGCCCTGCAGGAAACCTATGAGCTTTATGCCGGAAATGAGCTCAGCGCCCCGAGCTTCGAAATGCCGGATGCACAACCGATACTCTGTACCCCTATAGGAGTGGATGTCCGACTTGTCAAGTAAAGCTTCAACGGCACAGGCTCCGGGCTCCCGTTCAATTCAAGGCCCCCAGTACCACTACAGGAGAATGGCAGCAGACTTTCGGCTTGGAATTAATTAGTCGGGCAGGGTGATGGCGAGTTTGAAGTTCAGACGGTTTTGGAGGCGCTTCAGGGCTCCGATACTCCGCCGGCGAGGCTCCTTCAGCTGCCGCTTGAGCTCTTCCTGGCAGGGGAATTTCAAGTTTGGATATGCTTCCGTCTTCAAGTCTGCTTCCCCATCCTCAATCGCAGGCATGAGCTCTTCACAGTCACGCGTACGGAGAATTTAGAAAACTGAAACGGTACTACTTACAAGCTTCGTAGAGACTTACAAGTCGACATTGTACGGCAGGATACTTGTAGCCTAAAGTTTCTACAACTTAACGGGGCATGCCACCCGACACCCTATATACGTACATCTGCAAGCGATGCTGCCCGCCTGTTCTTTCGCAGATGCGTCCTTCTCTACCCGCAGCGCCTCCAACTCCTAGCGCGTCATGTGATGCTTGTGAGCATCATAGGAAAGGGGCCGGCCGAGGCGTCTAGGCCTACTCAAGCCTTCGTATTCACACTTCGGTGACACATTGATGGCCGGATAGATGCTTAAGTGCTGTCGGAAAAGCGCCATGTTTCGCAAAACTCCGGATCAACGGCCCGAAAGAGTGACGAAAGCAACAGAACGAGTAAAGCACTGATCGTTGTTTGAACGCTCGTTCAACTCGTTGGCAGCGGAATGTGCACTTATGTGAGGATCCTAAGAGGCTGCGGCACTGTTCGAAGCTGCTATTCTCGTCCTTGAAACCGTAAGGATGTGTCGAAACCGCAGTGTGGGCGCTGACATATGACAACCGAAAAACCCAACAAGATCCTGCAAATAGCATACATGCTTCTGCGAAGACAACGAGAACTGTTAGCCTTCACCGCCATTCACTGTCAAGCCCACGGAAGCTACGGCTGGGTCCTGCTGCAGGCCGCCAAGCTCCTGCTTCCAAGCATTCGGTGAGAGCGGGGGGAGGGGCCGACGGCGCTACATCAGGACCGCATCTACAGCACACACACCTCGGTTGCAGGAGTGGCTACAGGGACTTATTGCTGAGTAAGCTGTTAAACCCAAAGCCCTATGGAGGCTTTTCTGGGGGTGTCCTCCGCTTTCTTGGTGGCAGCCTCTGCTCCGGCTTGCGCCTCCAGTAACTCTTTCTTGGTCTTCGTCAGCTCCTCTGAGAACCCTTATAGGGCTTAGGGTTTCCGATTAAATGCTTTGGGGTCAGAAAGTACATGAAGCTAGCTATATAGGGTTAAGCTTAGTAAGGTGTCCTTACCCTTATAGGCTATTGGCTCAGGGTTTAGAATTGAAGGAAGCTAACCCTATATGGGAGTCTACGGCTGCGAGGCTGGGGCCGAAGTAGCTAGGGTGTATAGGGCTTAGGGGAACACAGGACTGAGAAGAAGGGCACCCGATTCTTTGTCTTTCAGTCTGGCAAGGTGAAAGAATGACAATTGGCTCCAGAAAAATCCCAGAAGTTCCGATTCTGGGGCTTCAGGATTCTTGGGGATTGTGGCTTAGGTCTTGAGCATCATTCGAACCCTTCAGGTCAAGGCTTTGACGGGTACATCCAAACCACTGGGCCTTAGACGTTGGGCTGATTGAATGGACAGTGGACATAGAGCCGGTCCCCAAACAGCACACCAACAACACCGTACATCCGGTCCTCTTTGAGCTTCCGTATTTCCTGCGGAGAGCGCGGGTGCCAACCCGATCCCGCTATTGGACAGAAGCTTACGTATACGGTTTACGGTTTAGGGTTTAAGGTAAGCTCTCTAGTATACAAACTGAACAGCACGCTAGACTTCCGACAGGGGCTAAACCTTACATTATTCGCAAATCCTCGCACCGACGCCTCCAAGCCTCGAGTTTTTTGTTTCTGACAGAATCTGACAGCCACCGAAACCAAGACCCGAGAGATGCGAGCGCGCAGGATTGAGAAAGCTAGGACCTGAATCTTTCACGGGACACTTGCAAAATGGCTGCGTCAGGGCGGGGACGTGGACGTTGTCAAAGCTTGTTGTGCACCAGACATATTCCATGGATTTCCGCAGCTCAGGGTGCAAGCAATTTAGCCTTGACTGGTGTGGGCTGTGCTCCAGTAAGGTTCCCAGTTCTTGCGACTGAATCTCCGATGCGGTTCGAAAATTCCGACCAACCACTGCTCAGAAACAGAGCTCTGCAGGAGTTTTGGCTGTTAGCTCTGCTAGATTCATGGAGAAGCGGCATGTGTACGGAAACCTCCGCGTGCTTCTGCGTTGCCAAGCTTCACTACTGTATATGGGTATCTAGCAGGCTAATCGGGTCGCGAAGTGCCCTGCGCTATCGGTGCAGCCGGACCTGAACAAACACTCACAGCAGATGGAAGATACACAGACCTGCAAGTATGTTCTTGGCTTCAGACTCGGTTGTGAACAAGAAAGTACGAACAAACGTGCGGCAATTGTGCAACTAGCAATACCATTGCTCTGCCTCGGCGCTGGCTGCGGTGGCCCCTTCTCCCGGGCCCACGGCCGGAGCTCCGGTGGAGGGCATGGGAGATGCCTCTTCAAACCAAACACTTCTCGTAAAGATCAGCGCCGAATTCAGTGCCTATTTGCGGCAACGGGTTCGAAGGCTTCGGCTTTAACATGTAGTGTTTGGACCCGTCACCATTGCTGCTGTCAGAATCAACTCACACGCGGAATTGGCAGTCGTGTTGGCTAGTCTAAGGCAGGCCGATTAAGGTCAGACGGCAACACCCCAGGAAACGGCTGTCACACTGAACAATGCCCATAGTTGCTCAAAAGACGTAGAATGCCGACACCCATATCCGAATACGAAGCCAATTCTGCCTTGGCTTCCTAGTATCTCCTAGTATATCATAGTCTATTCTAGAATGTTATAGTATACTATAATCTAGTATAGCCTGTTATCGTCTGTAGTATTTGCTGCGACGGGAGGAGCCCTTATGCCCTATAGACCTGGCTCACACTATAGCTGTGAGTCGCGGATGTCTCAGTGGGAGCTGCCTCTGAAGGCGCCGCTCCAGCAGCGGCCGGTGCTGCAGCCGCGGGGGCTGCGGCCGCCGGCGCCGAAGCTTCCTGCTGGAGTAACATACTTATAAGGATTCCTTACAGGGATCTATAAAGGCTTCGATATATGATTCCGGATTGCGGAACCTTCTATTTCCATTTTTCAATGCCTATGAGGAAGTGTCACTTTGGGTGTAGCCTGAAAACACCAGCGCCCTAAAACTGCTCAAGCAGTTGAGCTGTGAGGCCTAAAGCGCGAACCCCATCCAGCACATCCCTGACAACATCAACCTGCCAAACAAAATGCAGACCACGGGCGTGGTCGCGATCTAGCCTGGGAGCTTCGCATAAGTACGTTTGCTAAACATCGCTACACACCCCTGTTTGGCTGCGACCGGCCCCACCTCAGGGAAGTATGCGGGATGCTTTGGGGTCTGCTCTTTCAATCTCCAATTTTTGTGGTCTCGAGTGTACGGCTTAGGGCTAGGATATCTGCCAAGCGACAGCTGAGCTTGAATCTTCCGTCCGATCAGCAGTCGCTCAGCTACGGGTAAGGGCGAGGAACCGTAGGATTGCCTCGAGACTCAAGTCCAGACCCAACATCCTAAGGCCTAAACTCGTGAGCCTCAACGCCACACCCAAAACCCCAGAGCTCCCAGACTACACCCAAACCCGAAACGAAAACTGTGCATTTGGACGCTGTGGACCTCGGAACGCTGTTGTCTTCCGGCCTCGACGGTGACGGTCTCGGCGGCAGCCGGAGGAGCGGCCATCTCTCCACGGAGCTCCTGCGCCCCATCGATTTGATGCTTCTTTGAGGCGGGGGGGGGGGGTGCTATGGGAATGCTGAATTTAAGGGTTTCGGGGCTATTTTGTGTCGCTGTTGGATGCTTGGTGGCTTTTGGGTCGCCTCGTGGGCTTGTCGGTTTGCGTAGGGTTTGGGATTTTGGCTGTAGGGAGCATGTCATAACGGGCTGTAGCTACCCTATTCAGGCTGCTGGGGCGGAAGTCACCGCCGCCAAACAAGAAACAAAACAAGAGCAGGCACAACTTGACACATCATCACGATGACCAGGCAATGTAGACACAAGCAATAAAGCTCCAAGGTAATCAATCAAGCCCTACCTACACCCATAAAGGAAAAACAGATAACCGGATAGAACTAGCACGCCCACACAAATGCAATGAAGAAGAGCAAACTTCCAGGCCCCAGCTCCTCGAGTTTTTCTGGCTGCGAGGGTGCCTGGGACTTGAGCTGAGCAAGTTCGGCTCGAGCAGACTTCAGCTCCTGCGCTCTGGAAGCTCTTGGCGGCCCAGGATTTCGGGGATTCTGGGTTTAGGGCTTAGGGATAGGGTTTCGGACGTTGACGGTTGTGGGCTTTCCTGACTTTCTTGCAAAAGTGTCGGCAAGAGTGTTTTGTGGCTCCAGGCCGAGGGAAGTGTCGATTCCCTGGACGGAAAATGGCATTTCTGGGCGACGTCTGGAGATTCCGCGGTGGGATCCCAGCATTGCAAGCAACAGCTCCCACCCGGCTGGTCCTCTTGGAGCTTGCGGACATCCTGCCAAAGCTCAAAGGCAAAAGGCATTCAACACTTCACCAACAATCTCAAACATGCGGCATCGAAACCCTCCATGATAGGCTTCCGACTTCTCAAGTGTGTCTAAAACATACAGTAACACATGGTCGCTCAAGGACACGTCCTGATGGGCCGTCACGGCTCACAGACGAGAACGAAGTGCACCGGGAACCCTTCTTCCCCAAGAGCATGCATAGTGCCAGGAATCCCTAAACCCTAAGCCGTAAACCCTAAATGGCGACATCGAAATTTGGTGCCGTGCCACCGCTCCTCGAAATTCTCAGCTCCCTCCTGGCGCGAGCTGCTCTGCTCCGTCTGCCTGGTTGCCTGCTCCTGCAAAGAATCGACTTCCATGGGTGTACAAATAGGGCCTATAGGGTCCAGAAATAACGACTTGTCGTGATTTTAGTTCAAGTCTAACGCCACTTCGATGACAACCCAACAGACACGTGGCCTGTGACCGTCATGATCATCATCGCGGTCAGTGGTATCATCACCCTCAGATTATCGAAAACATAATACTAGTCATAAAAAAACAATATATTAAAGATAAGGACGAACAAGACACCTCAAACATGATCATCATCATCAACAACAACAACATAATCAACACATCACCGTCTTTATGGCCCATTACAAAGTTGAGCATTGTGCTTGATGTTCATGTCACGTATCTGTACACCATTCTCAAGCCCAACGTGGAATTATGGTCTGGAGTTGTTGCTTATGCCGTGTGGTTGAAATCGCACATGCTTCAATCGTGTTGGCTGCACATGGAGTATACATACACACTACAGCTTTCATGCAGTTCTTTTTGCAGCTTCAGAATTGTGAGGTAGGTGCCAATACGACAAATCACTCGTGAAGCGCACCAGTGTTCAACATTCGTTCTCATAGCTGCCCTCGATCAGAACTCCAAGTTGTATGATGCTGTCTGATACATGCCATCTCTGGTATATGGTTGGTTCGATGCTGATGGCCTCAGAGCTTTGAGAAAAGAATTGCAAAAGAATTGCCCACTGCTAACTAAGAAGCGTTGTTGCAGGGTTGCATTGGGCGTAGTTTCGCTCTTGTTTTCGGGTCAAGGCTTGAGGATTTCTGTCGGTTTAGGGTCTTTGCGGATTCAGGGTTGGATTTGTGTAGCTCACATGCAGTGCAGGCGGAAGTCCTCTCGAAGCTTCCGCACCTCCTGCAGGAGAGAACATGCAATGACACACAGCCATAGGCTCCAATGTAGTTCCTTTTTGTGGTTACTCATACTTAGGATCTTTCAAGGTACCCCAAAAAGGAACTACAATGGAGCCTCAGGGCAACCTGAGGTTTGTGGGTTTCAATGACTAGTGTGCTTCTACGTCTTGGGTGCAAGGTGGTTGTACCGATTCCCGGCGAGGAAGTGAGCAGAATCCTACATAAGAGTACTCCCCTTTGCGGCATGGCACTGTAACGGGCTTGGAAGAGTCAAACTTGGATGCATTTTAGTTTATGAACATCAGGCCAAGGCCCAAATCCCAACGTCTGAACTAAGAAGACAGCACTGAACATCAAGACATGAGTGGGGACTGACCTTCAATCCAACTAGTCCTCAGAACCACGGCGAATTTCTGCAATGAAGCTATAGAATCAAACTACCCTTAAACCCCGCGTTGAAAAAACGTTACACTGGAACTACGAAAAAACAACTCTCACAGAGATGATGTGACTGCTACTGATGTTTTCAGGTTCTCCCGCCACGCATGAGTTGAAATCATTATTCAGACACAGCTGCCCGACGGTCTTGGGCCCAGGGCTTCCATGAGAAGGTCTCAGGATGGGCCTTCCACAGCCATTGCCAAACAGGAAGACTTTTAAGCGATTACCGTGAGATGCCAATGGGGTCCTCCTGCAGCTTCAGCACCTCCTGGCCAGAGAAAAAATAAGCCGTGAAGGTTTCCAACAGCCCAATTTGAATTCATAAAGGGTGTAGGTTTCATCGCGACTGCCCCATCAGCTTCCAAAGCTTCGCAGTTGATTATGCTTGGGGTATCGAGCTTATCGCCACCTAAGTGGACAACAACAGGTGGCTGATGGATGCCAGGAGCCGTTCACATCTCGCAGAATTTAGAGAGGAAGGAAGGAAGAAAGAGAATTCAATGTCCACTGGGCTCTGCGAATCCAACAAGAACACACGAATCCAAAACAACCCCAATAAAGGCAAGATCAACCCTGCAAGAATCGTATAGGGATTGTTGTGGAATCCAGATCACTTCAATCCACACAGAAGGTTGGAACAGCACCGCTTTGAAACCTCGGTTTTACCCTCCAAGCTCCTCGAACCCCCACCAAACCTAACCGCCGGAGCCCTTCGCTCCTCCCCTCCGGGGGTCGATGAGCTGAGAAGTTCCACTTGGGCTTTTGCGGCCGCGAGCTCCTGCGAAGGGCATGGGCTTGGCCAAAAAGTTACTTAAGAACACCGGGGTGGTTTAATTTGAGTTGTAAGGGTGGGGGTACAATGCATAAGGGCGGTCAGAAGCAAGGGCAGGGTCGTCAAGAGTACGGGCTGTAAGGCTTTTGGGTTGAGGGTTTCGTGAAGGCTTCAAAGCGTCTTGCTACAACCGTAGTCGCACATGTTGTGCTGCCATTGACCGTGTTCATCGGCGTGTCAGGCCACTTACTGGATCGTACACGAGGGATTGAATAAAACTACCGGTGTCTCTTAAGAACACATCTTGAAGCCGAGCCCAGGATGACAACTAGTCAGTTCCTGAACCCTCCTTGTACCATATAAGCTCAGAGTAGCGGGTTTGAAGATTTTGCACTACTGCGGGATGAATCCGCAGCACAAGTCCGGTCCTCCTGCAGCTTCCGTACCTCCTGCATGGCTGGACTGCACTCAAACAGCATTCGGCCTCTGGCCTTGGTTTGTGCCAGGATGTCGGTTCAGGATCTTGGGCTTATAAGGTTTCCGATTTTTGCTGTTCGAAACTTGGGCCTTGACTCCCAGGCAATGCTCTTGAAGTCGTGGCGACTCTATGCTGTGGTGGCTGCGTCCGAATCCGCCATGCCTTCTCCATCCGTTGATTTGGAGGTGGGCAGGTAGGATTCAAAATGAGTCCCGGCTTCCGGTTCGGGTCGAACCAGCATTTTGTTGGGGTGGTAGCCCGAAGTTTGAGAACGTCAAGGCTCTTGATCTCCGAAGACCAAGACCTGCCTCTACTCTACCTCTGATGCACAACAACACCCACCGAATTGTTCAGGATCCATGCCAAAAGCCGGAGCCCAAACAGGATGATGCAGACCCCTGGTTACTAGACTAATTAACAACCGCACTGGATACGGCTTGTGATAGAAATCCTGATCTTCACCGGCGTAAAGACAAGGGTTGAAGCAACCAGGGATCTGCAAACAAGGCTATCTTCTCAAGGCACTGGACACTCACAACTCCGTGATTCGTACACCCCGTCAGCCCCTTCCAAACGCCCGACACCTTCCATTAGTTCGAACCCTCAACCCTGATCTGCAAACTCGAAGCTTTAGCACACATAGAATATGCAAATATTCATGATTACATTGTTTGATCGTCGGAGTATGCAAGTATCATTGCCACGTAGCAACGCTTTGGTAGTGCTTGTCATCATGCCGACATCATGTTATACAAGATAGCATTAGAAACCACACCGCCGCCCAGATTTCAGCCGGCTTGTTGAAAGCAAGGCCGAAGTCCTCTGGTTGAGCGCCAACTCCGGGTTCTGCCTTCCAAGAGGCTCTGGAGAAAGGCGGTGCGAGGGTCTGGGGTTTTATTAATGGAGACTCGGGGGTTGCAAGAGGAATCCGGGCTTGGGGCTTTAGGCTGAGGGATCGCGGTACACGTCATTGGCCGCAGGGTTTGCTGCGTGAGGAGTTTGGGGGGTACGTGCGCCCTTGAACCGCACACCCCAAGCCCCCTGGCTTTCAACTTGACAAAACGCCCTTCTGTATGCCTTCGAGCCGGCCGCCGCTGCTTTTGCTGCCTCAAGCTCCTGTTCCCGAGCAGGGTTTCGGGAAGGTCTCGGGTTTGGCTGCGTCCCGCAAACTGTAACTTGGTCGTGGGGTCTTGAAATGCCTACAGGGAGGCCCCAGTAATAAGACTAGGATTTTGGGATATGCGATAATATATATATATATATATATATATATATGGACACTTACGCGGATATCATTGCAAACGCTGAAGACCTCCATATTACGGCGTGTGTGGCTCTCCCTTATGGCCCTTGTGGCCTGAACCTCAACCCTTGGCCCGTCAGCAATAGTCGATAACTCACTGCAATGCAGCCGCGAAAGCTTGCAGCTCAAGCCATTAACTTCCGTCCCGGAGTTTCAGCCTAAAAGCCAAGAGCCCCAAACGCTATGAATCCTGGAAATGCTGCCTTGACCTATGGAACCAATGAAAATCATTGAAACAACTGACTTAAGATGGACAGTCAGCACAAAACAAGCACCCACAAAGGCCCCATCTCTCCAACACAGCGGCAGCGGTACATAAGGAGGATGTTGATGAATCTACACCTAATCCGCCAAAGTCTGACCGATGCATGACAAGTCTTCAAACAGTGCAGGCTGACTACTACCGACCTTTCACATGCGGTCATTGTATCCCTTCGCTGCACGGTATAATCAGAGCTGAGGATGCTGAAAAACGTCCCCTGAAGACCTGAGTCCTAACAGTTGCTGTCGAAAAAATGGCCACGTCGAGGGGCCCACCAGTCCCAGAACATCCTTGTCACTACCTATAGACCTATAGAATAAATACTCCCTAAACTCCGGAACCCTAAACCCCGACTCCAACTCTCCAAAGGTTTGGCTTCCACCCCTAACAGGAAGCAGTCCTGCTTGAGTTTCTGCACGTCCTGGATGCTGAAAGAAAACGTCACAAGAGGCCAATGGGAGGGGCGAGCAGCCAAGTAGCCCGGCATGGAGATCGTTTCCAAAGGCTCTTGTTCTTAGGTGGGTGCCGTGGCAGAGGAACCCTGGTTTCGAACAAAATCCACTGAGGAGCTTTCGGCCTGGAGGCTGGCTATATATTCCTGAACCTCAGTGCTAGGAGGTCTGTTGGGTGACTGGTGCAGAATCCTTTATACGGTAGTCTGGGGTGCACATATAGATCACATCTTTCCTGGCCTCATCAACACTCGGGACTTGCGATCCGTCAGAAGCCTTCAAGCTGCGGGTGCATGGGCAAATCGTCGAAACACGGCTAAACCTAAATTCCAGAACCCAAACTTCTCACCCCCGAGGGCCTAAATCTATAGACCCTAAACCAAGAACCTAGTCAGGATGCCGAGCCGAAGACCTCGCTTGCCTAAAGCACTCATCTCCCCCATCACTCGAGAGGCAAAGCTCGTGCAAAGCCTTGAAGGCAACAACTCGTGGTCTCAGTGCCACCCTGTAAACGAAGGTAGTTCTGGCACCCTGCAGCCCCTTGGGTCTACCCTGGATTCCTCCGTCGAGGCCGCGCTGCTTGCGGCCGATTCCGCCTTCAGGCGGGCGGCCTCCGCATTCGCGGAAGCAAGCTCCTGGTAAAACGAGGTTTGACGGCCGTTTGAGAAAGGCCGCCTGGGTTCAGAAGGTTCGTGCTGTAAATTTGAGGGCTTGTGCTGTTACGACTTGGACGACATAACACTATGGCTTTACCAGGGCTGCGAATCGGCGAAACACGAGCATGGAGAGCTGATAGCGGCAATTTGAGCAGTGGCTTGAAGTGCGTCTTGCTCCCAAGTATTAGATTGAACTTGCGGAGCCCGTTTGAGACCAAATGAAACACCTGCTCCATTATTCGGCAATCGAAGACACGGAAGACACGCAGGGTCGGTCCTCTTGCAGCTTGTGCCATTCCTGCGGAAAGGGTGGAAAATGGTGGAAATGCCCGAGGTTTGCGAGGTTCAAGTTTGGATTGCAAGGGTCATACAGCAAGTGATCCTAGCACGCCTGAGGGTTTGCAGCTTACACTGCAAAGGTCCAGGGCATGATGGGAGATCCGGGGGTATTGAAAGCCCACGGTTCACATGAAGCCTCTTTCTATACCCCTCATTCTGAACTCACAACCCTCAAAGCTTCAACCCCTCTGCCCACATGTTCTTCGAGTAGAGATCTACGTAATCGGAAGCGCATTTCCACGGGGTCTCCTGCGCTTTCTCGTCGCCTTCCGGTGGCAGAGACCTCAGCCGTGCCACCTCCGCCTGCGACGAAGCGAGCTCCTCGCGGCACAGCAGGTTTCGGGTCTTTTGCAGGATTTGAGGATGTCGGGTTCTGGGGTTTAGGGTCCAGGTTTCGGGCTTATATGGCAGGAAGAAGGTCTTGAAGCAAATGCCGGTGCTGATGACGAGGATTTGAAGTTGCGTGCTGGACATCTAGCAATTGAACGCTGGCAGACCGCGTCTTTGACACTGACGAGCAGCTTCGGAGACTGTTTTCCGTATCGTTGCTAGGGTAGCACAACAGCATGCTGCCCAAAACTATCCAGCAACTCTCCCCTTGCAGCTCCCACAGAAGCAGTCCTGCTTCAGTTTCTGCACGTCCTGGAAGCTGAAGGTCGTCAGCAAAGGCACAAGGGGGGTTCACCCCTACGGGACCGTGAGGACCAGCATTTCCAACAACACCCATGAATGGGCGCACTGCGGCTCGCAGCTTTCAACATCTAGACTGGGCCACTTGCAAAACAAAAACCTAATTCGACATGTGAGCCCGGGGTTAGAAAATGGCCAGGGAAATGCCCTGCGGCTCTCCATTCCTAAACTCTGCATGCAACGGCCTATAACCTCCCGATTTCGGTCCTCTGTCGGGGCAGCGATGCTTGCGGCCCCTTCCGCCTTCAGGTGGGCTGCCTCCGCCTTCGCAGCGGCGAGCTCCTGGGAGAGCGAGGGTCGACTGAAGTAGTCGGCAGCAGGCTGACTGTAGCTTGGGCGGAGTCTTGAGGGCTTTCTGCACGGATGGGGGCGGCTTTGACAGCGCAGTGTCCTACACAGCTGTCATGCACGCTTCGTAATGCAAAGGGTCTAATGGAGCTCACAATCTTTCTTGCTGGGGCTTCTAATGATATATAGAGAGAGCACACCGGAGAGCCAAGAACTACATGGCGAAAAAATGGAGACAATATGAATAAAACCCGAACAGACCTGAACATGAAGAGCCGGTCCTCTTGCAGGTCGTGCCATTCCTGGAAACAGATGAAGCTCCGAGCGTTTGGAGATGCCGGTGTTAGGTTTGGGCATTTGGCTTTCGGCTGCATTAAGTTTGAGGGTCCAGCAGCCTGGCCGACGAACTGCTCAAAGAGGCGTTTATACGTTGCGCCATGAGGGGCTAACAGGCTCGGCGAGGCTTGAATGTTCCAGATCTTCTTGGCTAATTCTGGCCTGAATGCCAGGAGGAGTCTCGGACAGTTCGAGTGTCGGGGCAGGGGCCTCAGGAGGGGTGTCATCACGTCGTGCTCGGACAGATCGGAGATTCGCTCTCCCACCATGCTCAGCCTGAACTCCACGTTCAAACCTCCAAGCGCAAGCCGCAAGCCCCTCGAACCCTGAGGCCCTAATCTAATCGGAAGCCGCGCCATTTCCACGGGGTCTCCTGCGCTTTCTCGCCGCCTTCCGGCGGCAGAGACCGCAGCCGCTCCACCTCCGCCTGCGACGCAGCGAGCTCCTTGCAGAGTTACAGCTTCCTTTGTTTTTGCTGTGTTGGCTCAAGGCTTACAGTCGTTTTTGGGACGCTGAAAAGCCTGGGCACTGAGAGCATTCGAGGCCACACTGTCGGTCTCAGGGCTTGGGCCTCTCGGATTTTGCTGCTTGGCAGGGCTCTGATTCGACTACTGTCGCTGCTTCATTTATTGAGGATATGCTGAATCAACCCTCTGGTGAGTTGAAACTTTCCAAGAGTCTCAGCATAAGGGACCCCCACGACGTGACACCGAGAACGCTATGATTATAAGCAATTATAATGACACTATAATGCTGCGATCATGCTATGAGAAATAACCCTTAGCTGCACACCCAGCACGAGAAGGCAGGAGTCCTCTCGAAGCTTGCGCAGGTCCTGGCACGACCGGAAGCTGCACAAGCTCTGGCCAGTGCTTCGGAATCTTGGAGCCTGTTGGGTCTTGCTGTGAAATAAAAGGCCCAAGCATTCGGAGCCGTTCTCCGGGCTTCGTTGCTCTCATTAGGCCGCTGAGCTCTGCACAGCTAACATCCAGAAAGCAAAGTCTGAATGTCTGCGTCCTCTTGCGCTTTCTCTGCTTCTGGAGTTGGTGTAGCCTCCAGGAAGCAGGAAGCGGAGCCCGCAGAGCTCCGGGTCTTGGAGATGCAGGCTTTGGCGGGTCACGAGCTGAATGGGTCCCTTGGGACTGGCCTTGTATGGGTTGGATCTTGAACTACGGGCTCGGAAGTTCAATTCTTGGTTAGCGTTAAGTGTTGGGTTCCCTACTGGCGGGGGATTCGCTTCGCGAATTTTGGGATCGCTTTGTGGGTACACCGAGGCCGTCGGAAAGCCGGGCTCCAAACTTTCGAGAGTTTTATCTTGCTAAGCTGCGTGTGACGAGTGGGGAGGGCCTCCACGGTTTGGTCCTCTATGGCTTTCTGATTTGGGCTTTGCATCTGCGAGTAGGAGTCCTCGCAAGTTTACACACGACAATTTAAGGCCCCCACCAAGACCAACAACGACACCGAATTTCTTGCCAAACCCTCTGGCATTGAGCTCTTAATAAGTTCGAAAGCCTCCAAACCACCGAAGTCCCTGTTCCCCGAAGCTCTGCCTCCGGTGCTGCTTTCTCTGCTCCCGGCGCTGGTGCTGGCGAAGCCTTGGAGTTTAGGGGGTGAGGGCTTAGGGGTTTTAGGATTTAGGGTTTAGGGTGGCGTCCAAGCCTTACAGCTGATCTGAGGGATCCTCTCTTTTTCTACACCCAACTCCGACATGACGCGTGAAGGACCCGGACGCCCTCTCAACAACCCTGCACATTGTCTAACGTCTAACTAAGGCGGCTCTTTTATGGGTTTAGGACTTAGTCTGGGAGCTCTGGGCGGGGACGCAACATCTCGTTGCATCGGCGCTATATGCCTACAGCCCTGCATATAGTTATGGTCACATGATCCGGGCACTTGTGGTGCCGGGTTTTGAGACTAAGTTTTTGTTCGTAGCGAGTCATTAGATGTCCTTGCGGCATGGAGCTCGAGGGATTTATCATATAGTCAGTTGGCCCATTTGGCGCCAGGTCGAACCGGATCCTACAGCCCTGTTTCTAACAAGAAACCTGACTCTAAACCCGAAGCAGCAAACCTTAATTCAGAGAGCCACTGCCCTAAAAATGCTGACTTCAAGGAGTCCCGGCCCCAAAGCCGCCTTCGCAAAAGCCTAAGCCGGGCGCCTTGAGGCTTGCAAGCTCCGCACGGGCGGACGCCAGCTCCTTCCACGGGACATGAGGATTACAGTAACTTTACACCTCCAATTTACCCCCAAGGAGACAAGGGTCTGAAGGAAGCCTCAGTGAGCACAGATGCCCGGCAAATATGATACGCAGGATGCGCAATCTGTCTTGGACTGTGCAGAGCTTTGTTGGGTGGGGGTCGTCCAAAAGACTATAACCTTTGTCGTGATCCTCGGGTTGCACTATGACGCATACTTTGTACGTGTACTTTGCAAGAAAACCGAATTTATTCAAAGGTATCCTACCGTGACCCCACGACTCCAAGAAAGGAAGCGAGAGCACGAAGAGCCCAGGAATGCCAAACAGGAACCCCTGCCACCCGGAAGCAAAGAAGCAAGCAAACAAAGAGCCTCACAGCTGTAAACCTCCAGCGCCGGCGCCCAAAAGCCCCAACACAAATACCAAAGAGCTGAAACGCAAAACCCTGTAAACCTGACCCTTCCCGGCACTCCTCGCGAAGCTTCCGAAGCTCCTTTGCAAGCAAATCATTTTTGCTGGAAAGCCCCCTCGCATGGCTGTTGGAATCCAGCAAGGTGTAAGTCCCTTCATACAGACAGACATCAGCTTCCCAGACCGGAAACGAACAAACTCTTCGACAACTGGGCTACACCCTGGCTTATATACTCTACAAACTCTACGTACAAGCACAAGTCCTCCGCATCGCCGCCGGAACCGCCTTCGACGGCCTTGGAAGGCTCCGCGACCGCCTGCCAGGCTCCAATCACGGGTGGACACGGAACGCAAAGTGGCACGTGACATTCTGGGGTTCAGCGTTTAGGCCTTTGGGGTTCAAGGTTTGGGGTTAGGGGGTTTAGGTGCTTCGGGCTAGCAGCTTCGAACTTCGATCCTGAGAGCTTGCATCCTAAAGTTTAATGCTGGGTTTTTAGTCTCCGACACTTGCACCTACAGGATAAACGCGGAGTGTGCGACATGTCGCACTTCGGAGGTTTTCGATTCCTGTTTACAGTTCGATCAGCGGAAATGCTGATCCACAGGGATGCGACCCGCCTGGAATCGGACAGTCTCCGCCCTGGCAGCATCGAGTTCCTTTGCAAAGGGGCGGTTCCGAGCAAAGTCATGCAGTCAACCTACGCCCAAACAGGCTTGGTTAGTAAAGGGGCCTGGTTAGTAAAGGGGCCTCAGTAATCAGAATCGGGCTTTAGGGTATTTCGCACACAAACTACAATCAGGAGAAGGAGTCAACAGTGGCAGTACTCATGATTTGAATCTTAAGCACATTAGCTGCATCCAAACCCCTGGCAGCAAACTTGAAGCTCAGAGTACGGATCACAAGGATCAAAGCGAGTGCCGTGAGCAGATCATGGGAATATGCATCTAGTGAAACAGCTACTCTTGCTCTCAATGCAAACTTGAAAACAACGACGCAACACAACTCCGAAAACTGTCTATCCTTGAAACTCTCAATCCCATATAACCCTTCTACACGGGTGCTCCTCCTGGAGTCGCTTCAGCTCCTGCGTGTTGAATTCTTTTTTGAATCCCTCCCTGACTACACCTTGCATGAAGTATGTGAGCTGAGCAGCTGAGACTGAGAGCTGAATGCTTGAGGATTTCAGGGTATGGTTTTGGCGCGACGCTGCAAGCCAGACCTGCCCCTGGTCGGAGCCGCTCTGCATCCGCGAGATGTCCTCCAAGGGGTCAACAGACAAGGGGAAGAACGCTCGTTTAGGCTTCGGGTTTGTCGCTGAGAAGTCTAACGGTATCTTCTTTAAGTTGAATTTGGTTCAGGTTGGGTTTGGTCATCGCGGCTTGGAGGCTTGGGGTGCAAGACTCTTGCGGTTCCGACTGGTATCAGAACTCCCGCAGTTGTTTCAAAGGAGGCTCCGGGCACAAAGCCCCTCGACCTAGACCCTCAACGCGCAATCCAGAAGCCACCCAACCATCCAACAGTGGCCGCTGTGGGTACATTATCGAAGTATAGCATATGTAGGCCGACAAAAAGATACAAAGAGAAACCTCTAGACTCTAGACCAAGACTTATGGCGGTCACGCCTCTTTCAAGACTGAGATCTCCTCGCCCCGCTCCTTTTCAGTCAGAGCCTCTCATTTGCTCGCGGCGTAAAGGTAAAAACCATCATGCACTTTCCAGGTTTCGTTCGGCAGACGCTGTTGCAGGCACGTGGCTCTTCGGTAAGGGTGACATTGCGAACGAAGGTGTCGTGGTATGTAGAGGTTTGTTCAGGTTTTGGCGACGGAGGCTTTTCAACTTCAATGGTGGTGCGGTGGATGCTGGAGGTGAATCTTGTGCAACGTGACACACAAACACAACACTTCAGCTCATGGAATAATCACATGCTCCGGCGCGGGCACTGAAACTCAAGCAAGCGGAAGCCCTTAAGCGTGTAATCAAGCCCAGAAAGTCAAATATAACCAGCAACAAAACCTCGAAAACAGGGAAACCTAACACGTAAGATTCCATAAGGCTGGAACAATGCCAAACAAAAGCCTGAATCCTCAGCCCTTCAGCCCTACGCTTGGCAAGCCCTTCAAACCCCAAAACAACCTACTGACCCGGTGCTGTCATGCTGCCTTCGCTTCATAAGCTGCCGACAGCAGTTCTTCTTTCTCTGCAACTTGTTGCCTGTGCTTCCAAGGTATAAGGGCCGCAGCACATTCGGTCTTAGGGATTTCGCGCTTACGGGCTAAGTTTGAGGCCGTAAAGGGAAGTTAGCACAGCCGTGGGCATGAATGGATTCGAGGCGTTTTGCTTCATGTACATCATTAGGCTTGTATGTGGCTTGGGTTGCAAGGTTGATGCGTGGGTTCAAGCTTGGAAGCATAGTGTGGAACACTGGACACATAAAATGTCGGGATGACAGTTTGGACTGGTGAAGTGAGAAGCCTTTGCCTGCAGGTATGCGATTATGGCGTAGGATTTTCAGATGCATGTTTGTCCGAATTTTGGTTGAATGCGCGTTTGCCGGCTGCCAGGATGCCCTTGGCTCGTTGCAGCAGCACTTTTGTCGCTGTTAGAAGGTGTCAGTCCTCGAACTTTAACAAAAGATGGCCCCCGTTCTCGGTCGACCTCCATGTAGCCGTAGCCGAAGCCACACTTTCAGTTGGCAACGTCGCCGCAACGTGCTGCTGCCGGTAGGCTGCACGCAAGCCAAACCAGACCAACGCTGTGAGCGAAGTTTGCGCTCTGATTGCCCGGATACAAGCTTGCCCAGCCCTGTGTGTCTTTTTTGCCAGGGTTCACTCAGCGGCCCACAACAAGCACAGCCCACTTCCGACCAACGGTGCGACTCAATGCATCCAACTGCTCACCAGTCTGCCTGGATGCTGTTGACCGGAAGGCTGTGCACAGTCCCACACCCGACCAACGGTGAGACCCGATGCGACCATCTCTTCCTGGTCGCACCGCCAACTGATGTCCACTCCAGTTGGCTTGCATGCTGTTGGCGGGAAAGCCGTGCACAGCCCCACTCCCGAGCAACGGTGCGACCAGCGCGGCCAACTGCTGTCCACTCCAGTTGGCTTACATGTTGCTGGCCGTAAAGTCGTGCACAGCCCCACACCCGACCAACGGTGCGACCAGCACGGGCAACTGCTGTCCATTCCAGTTGGCTTGCATGCTGTTGGCCGGAAAGCTGTGCACAGTCCCACACCCGAGCAACGGTGAGACCAGCGCGGCCAACTGCTATTAATTGGCTTGCATGTTGTTGGCCGTAAAGTCGTGCACAGCCCCACACCCGACCAACGGTGCGACCAGCACGGCCAACTGCTGTCCACTCCAGTTGGCTTGCATGCTGTTGGCGGGAAAGCCGTGCACAGCCCCACTCCCGAGCAACGGTGAGACCAGCGCGGCCAACTGCTGTCCACTCCAGTTGGATTGCATGTTGTTGGCCGTAAAGTCGTGCACAGCCCCACACCCGACCAACGGTGCGACCAGCACGGCCAACTGCTGTCCACTCGGAAAGCCGTGCACAGTCCCACACCCGAGCAACGGTGAGACTCAGGCCATCTGTTCCACCAATGGCCAGAACCTGTAAGAGCAGCCCGACTTTTGACCAACGGTGCTACCCCAAGCGGCCATCTGCTCTCACCACCAGTCTTCGGTTCTGCGCAGCCCCACTCCAACCAACAGTGTGACCCAGTGGCGGCCATCTGTTCACGACTGTGCTCACAACCCAAAGTCATTCCACTCTAGCGGTGTGCATGCTGTTGGCCGGAAGGCCATGCACAGTCCCACACTCAACCAACAGTGAGACCAAGCGCCATCTGTTCTGCGAACGGTCAGACATCGCAGGAACAGCACCATGTCCCTGTGCGTCCGTCTGCTCACCATGCTTCGGTGTTATGCGAAGCAAACGCAGCTGGTTGGCTGGCAGGCCGTGCACAGACACACACCCGACCAACTGAACGACCAACGGTGAGCCGCAAGGCAGCCACCTCTTCTGCGAATGGCCAGGAGTCACAGGCAGGCAAAGCCCCACTACCGACCAAAGGTGTGACCCGATAAAGCCATCCAGCTGACTTGCATGCTGTTGGCCCGAAGGCAGGCGTACAGCCCCCCACACCGTCAATCACGGGATCATGCAACGTATGTCCGATCACCAATGCGTGCTGGTCTTCTGCATGCCGGAGCTTTGCCCACTGCAACAAGATAAGGCCATCTTTTGGCAGCTCTGACCGACAACACAAATGTCTGCCACTAATAGCGTCTCAGCAATGGTCGCTGAGGCAGTTCCCTCTCACGCATCTTGGCACAAAGGATGTGCTTGCTACAGGCGAGTCAAACCAGCGATTGCTGCGGAGAGAACCATGAAACCTTCCTGCGATGCTGCCATTCGAGTTGCAGAAGCCTTGGAATCTTGCAAGTTGCTGTATTCCCTACGTCTAAATGTGATTGCATCAAAGCTGTCTTCTGGAGTTGTTTGCGACTTTTCTGTCAACAAGAATCAAAGACACCTTCTACGATTGCCCACTTTTAGAAGCCTGCCTTTGGAAATAGTCATCGAGTTATGCTATAACAAACACCGATGAGACATCCCGGTCTGCATCACAGCTGGTAGGAGGGCTTTCACCGAGGTGTGGGCTGAAGTTCCTCGACCTCCTTCTCCAAGTTCCGCACGCCCTTAGATCCAGGAAGACTGCTTCCTTGCGCTGAAGCCGCAAGTAATTCTCACAAGAGTGGTGCTATATCACCGGGCAGTGACAATGACGATCATGATACCAAGTGCAACAATATTGCCAATCATGATCATGTCATAGTATTCCAAAACTCGGTCCTACTTCAGATCAGGCCCACTATGCAAGCGCGAAGGTACTTCAGAGCGGGGAGTCTTGCTACTCGATAGATGGAAGCTTATGGCTCTGATCTAGACGAAACGAACCGAAGCAACAAAAAACACAACCAGTGTACTCATCACTCAACTCCACGCGGAAACACATCTGGGAGGCCATCATACAAACCTTCAGGCAAGCAAGGTCTTTCGGCTAAGTTCAACAGTGGAATGCCCAAGGCTTAACAGGAGCTTTCAGCATTCACGTGCTGAATCCACCCAGGCTGGATAATCCGAACACTGTACCACTTTGACCGCAGTAGGAGTTCACTCTTTGGCTGCTCAAAGAATGAAAATTGCGGCATTTTGTTTCGAGTGACGGCATGTGCTTCTTGCGCACGTATGGCGAACCTCCACCGAAGCCGAAGTACCGAAAGTGTGCTGGGTGATACCGAAGTCTGAATAAATAGTCCTAACAGTCTCCCTGAAGTTCGTGTATACGTACACCAACATAGTATGAGGCAATGCCCTTAGCAAGGACTTGATGGAGATCTTCCGTAAATCCGCCGGGCGTCGTCACGCAGCATATTCACCTGGTCAAAGACCGGGTCGTTACGCAGAGATCGAAGCTCCTGCGTGGAGAATTGCCGAAGATCGGTAGATTGAGCTAGGTTCAGGATTCAGGAGTGCTTCATGGCAAAAAGTGCGGGAAATTGATGAGATTAGGGCCTGGACGAAGACTGCACGTATAGTCGTCCTTATAGTGTAGCACTACAGTAACGTCCATGTCTATCGAGCCCGACACCCAAAAGGCCTCCAAGCCAAGGCACAGCAAACTGGGGTTGTTCTACAAGGTCTCGTAACGGAGGGAATGCACTGCCTCATATAGAGGTCCCCTAACCAAATGGAAACCTGCTTTCTGAGGTATTTCGGGACTGATACTATGGCCTTAAATAGATCCCAGAACCACGAACTTCCGAAGCCTCAAACCCACACCCTCAACCTCTGGAAAGCTGAAAGACTGCAGAACCCCAAAGCTCCAAAGCCCGGAACCTGAGATGCCAAACTGTAGAACCCCACAAGACCGGAAATCCCAAAGAACTCAAAGCCCTAATTAAACCCCAAACGCAAAAAGGCCCTAAAGTCTTCCGGAACCTGAAATGATTAAAACTTCTCAAGACCAAATCCGAAGCTGCAAGCCACAGTACATCCCCTCAATGCCGCAGGTGTACATTCCTCATAACAGCCCATCGACTTCAGGCAGCCACGTTTGGTAAACAGCGTCTGCAGTAAACAGCGTCTGCAAGACCCAAAAGTCAGCGGGCCTCGCCTGCTCCGCAGTGGAAAGCTTCTTCTCGGCGTTCGAGCGAGCCTCGAGGACAGGACGCATCGAAGAGTTGGGATTGTGAGTTTTGGGATTCCGAAATGGAAAAAACCTAAACGCCACATGCCAAGACTCATATTTCGAGGTTCCGGGTTCAAGCAGCTCCAGGTTCGGCAATCAAGGAAATTGGTTTGGGATCGCAGATGACGATTTAGGATCAAGACCCTAAACTCCAAACCCTAAACCCTAAACCGCGTCAGGCCTCTTAAGGACATGACTGGGAGCCCCACGACAAGCAGGGAACCAACACTGAGGCTCCAAATAGCCCACAGTAGGTAGTATCTGCACTTTAGGTCCCAAAGTAAGTTCCGTTTTGTACATACTTGGAGCCTTAAGGCAAGGAGGGGATTCGGAAGCTCTCCCTGCAGCGCGGAGCAGAGCAGCCACTTTTCTTCGCAGCGGACGAGCCGTCCGGTTGAAGATGCCCCTGTTGGAGGTTCATTGGCAGTTATATATAAGTATAGGGTTATAAGTAGGGTAACTATAATTATAAACCATTTAGGGGACTTATAACCCCACTTCTAACTACCCATGAACCTCCAAGCTTCAACACGAAGCCTACCCCAACTAGCCCCAAAGCCCCGGTAAGGGCCCCTGCATGTGAGACCGACGGTGTGCTTCCGCTTCAGTTTGAAATCGGCGCTCCATGGCATTTCTGGCTCAGTGGAGGAACGGAGCCACGGAAGGCTTCGGTCTGGCGTAAGGATGAGAACCTGAGACGCAGGGGACTTAAAGGGTTGCTTGGCTGTTTCAGAGACCTCGAAGAGGAAGCTATAGGCATGTTTCTTGCAATCCTTGACGGGTGTTCAAGCTTTCAATCTCACCTGTTATCATGTTTACAAGCATCTTTAGTGAGTACCACCTGCAGTCTGCAACGACTCTGTTTCACATCTTGGTAAGAGCCTGTGAATGCCGGCCTCAATGAAAGCAGCGATTCTCGGCGGAAAGCAATATACCTTCCGCTTTAGCGGAGCCTCCAGCATCCCTCAGAGTCGCCTTCAGCCTGCAGCCCTCCCCAGTCTGGTCGTTTTTGCGCAAAGGTCGCGAGAGAGTGTCAGACGCCCCAAACCCACAACCCCCAAAGCCGCAAGCCCTCAAAAAAAAACAAAACAAACCCAGAATCCCTCAGCCATGGCTCCTGAATGCTCCCCGACCTGAGCCCTCATCCTAACAGAAAACCTGAACACTCTGATCCCAAATTCCTCACCAGAGCAAAAATGTCTCAATCAACAAAAAGATAGAAAGCGACACGATCCTTTGATTCCGAGGCGCGAAACCCTTAACCCCAAACCCACAACCCCAAAACCCTATAAGCCCTAAACACCCCTAAACCTAGACTGGGGCCTTCCTAAGCCATGGCCCCTTCCTTCTTAGCAACCTCGACACAAGCCCAAGTGTACAAAAAGTGATTACCTACAAGTGGAGTCTACTGTCTACAAAAATTGCCTACTTTGCTCTATTTGGAGCCCCTGTATGTCCGAGGCGCCGTGCCCGGGAGCTTTGCTTGGAAGCTTGGGCCCCAGAGCCCCGGAAGCATCGGACTGCTGGAATGGAGCCTCGGAGCTCCTCTTCAAATCTTGACGCTCTGTTTTGAAAGGGCCTTAGGGTTCACTAGGGTTTGGGGCTTGGGGTCTTGGATTTGGGGGTTTAGGGCTTTAAAATGGGTACTTTTATGAATTGATCAAGGTCTTACGGCGGACCCTGGCTTCCCTGCTGTGGTTTCTGAGGCTATCAAAGCAACTGAAAAGGGGTCCGCGGGTGCCGATGTAAGTCTTTGGACTTCAGCTTCGTGGGGCATGTCTTTGAGGCCCATAACTTGAAGTCACCCACACGCTTTAGCCCTCAACGTCTGAAGGCCCCAAGGTCCAGACTCGCTTCTCTGGGGTCCTTGGAGGACCTGGCGAGGACTTCGGGCCGTCCTCTGTCGCTTCTAGCCTCAGTTCCTCCTCGGACTCCGGAAACGAGTCCTTGTCACGATTTGGGGCTTGAGGCCTAGAGAGTAGGGTTGCGTGGCTCGGGTGCCGGGCTTAAAGCTTAGTGCTTGGGGCTGGAGTTTAGGGTCCGGAGGCCATGGGGCTTTTCAGAATTCTGGCTGCGACCCGACGTACAAAAATGAAAGGTTCATGGGGCTATAATGCAAGGCGGTACTAGGATTTCAGAGTCTATCGTTTACGTAAAACCCTAAGCCTCTCAACCCGAATTAAACCCCCAAACCCTAAGCCCTCATTAAGCCCCAAACCCTAAACCCTAAACAAACCCCAAACCCTGAACCCTAAACCCCAAACCCTAATTAAACCCTAAACCCTAAACAACCCTGAACCCTAAACCCTAAACCCTAAACCCTAACCCCCTAACTTCAGGGGCTTCCTAGGGGGTTCCCTCT